CAATATACTCGTATATGTCATAGTATAGTAAAATAATGAAATAGACCTAATATATTTTCTTTAATAATCTTCGTTTATATTGTATCGATTTCCCAACGTTTTTCCTTGGTTATTCCCGGTTTTTCACATTTGCTGGGAAAACTCCTAGAAAAATCAAAAAGTGAACTCCCTAAAGTACCACCCCAAGAAAATGTCCTTTCAGAAAAGGGTCTACATCGTATGCATCGGAATAAGCTTTCTTGTATGTAGAAAAAGTGTTCACATAAAAAAAAAAAAAACATCTTTATAAAAACAATTCATTCTTAGCCACACTCAAAGTCTAAAATTATATTACTTTAACTTTAATATACAAACCCATATTCAATACGGGCTATTTTTCAACGAATTAAAAGATGTGAAATACTCATAGATAATTAATAGTATAATAATTATAGGGTGCAGGTTATAATGCAAATTATCATCTGAATGTCCTAAAGCAATGCTTTCCAAACACAAAATTGTTTTCATATATTAAAGAATTAAAATATGAAACTTTTATTTTGCATTTTTTTTTTATAAAATATTCCTAAATAATCACCCTGTAAAACAGTAACAGGTAAAAATATCCTAATCTATATTATCCGAGGAAAAAATATCCAGTTCAAAATATCCGTGGAAAAAATATCAAGACGAGGAAAAACTTCCAATATAGAAAAAATATATAAAAAAAATGAGCCAACACTGCCAAAGGACATGCTATTATTGTATAGGTGGAAAGCGGAGAACGTAAGATATATATTATAAGATTTTCGTCAAAATTTGTTTTTGAGTCAGTGAACGACTTTTCTATTTTCGAATGCTATACACCTATGCTCCGATTGAAAAATCTAAAATATATCCGACAAAAAAAAAAATAAGATAGAAAAATATAAAACTTACTGTTATTCCGAAAACTGCAAGTACGCTTAATCGGTTACGTTACTTTTAGATTCTGACTGGAGCGAATGCGTTGGTCTTATGGATTTACATAGATGTTTACTATTTATTTACTTGCTCGGATTTCTAACTGTAACACCTTTTCTGAAATGAAATTAGTGTAGAAAAGTACTAAGAAGGTCATTATTTGGTTTTCTCATAGAATTTGAAAAACCGAAAAAAAAAAACGGGAAAATATAAGAAATGTAGGAATTGGTTCAAATATATACGGCTTTTTTTTTTCTGTGCACAACTTTCCTACCAACAAATTTGCTCTAACATTTATATTGATAGCAATGTTTTTTAAAGGAAATTTCATTATAAAGGTACTTTAAAGATGTCGTTTTTCGATTTTCTCAGAAGTTTTCCCAGCCAATTTGAAAAACCGGGATCAAACATAAAAAAACCGGGAAAATCGTTACAATATTTAACAAATATTATTAAAGAAATTATATAGAGCCAATTTCATTATTTTAATATAAAATGGCATATATATTGTTGACAACTATCAACCGAACTCTACTCAAAATCGTTTTCTCGTAAGCAATGGTTTATCGTTGCTTACAGATCTATATTAAATTATCTATAACAGTGACTGCACACATCCCCATTATCCTAGGACGTCTTTTTAACTTAGTGATTTATTTTATTATGATCTAGCAATTATCTCAGAGGATTTGAAGTGAAATTGATTTCTGTTTTTTCTAATCATTATGAAATCGTTTAAGCTTTATTTTAAAACAATTTTCAGTTTTTTACTCTTACTACATCTATATACCTTAAATAAGTGCATACTTTTCATTTTTAAATTGGAGCCTCCCCATAGAAAAATATTCTCTATTCAAATCTGTGTTCAAAAGAGGGGGGTTCCTATTTAAAAATTAAAAGTACGCNAATAATTAGATAAAACAAATATCAAATTCACTTAAAATCCTCTTAGATAATTGCTGATTCGTGATAAAAAAAATCACCTTTTATTTTTATGCCTTACATAAGTTTTAAAAATCAACCCCTAAATAATGGTTACTCTATACCAATGGTCTTCAAACATTATGACTCGTGACCCAATTTTTTGACCATACATTTTTAAAATAAAATAAAAGTTCAAATTGCTTAATGCCTTAGTGTGCCATTGTAGAAGTGCTTTTATAACTGAATAAATAAAAATTGAATAGCAAATTTATCCAAAAAATATAGATTACGAAAATTAACTTGGACGACACTACTTTAATACGGCCAGACCGCTAGACTAAAAGCAACTAAAATTTATATTTTATAATACAACGGTATCAACTCTGAACACAACGAAAACAACAGTAATTTATACAAATAATCTATAAAATGTATAGATAAATAACAGGACCTTTTATCGGTTAAGGTCCGGTGGACACTTGCGTTATTTTAACGCGCGACAACGCTGCGGCGCCAGCCACAAAGACGGCTTTAAGTACCATTCTTATCTTCTACAAATATGAAAAAATACGGTTTACTCGAAAATTATTTTATCTGATATCATATGAAATTATTTATTTGTATCATACCTAACTTACACAATATATTTTAATATTATATAATTATAATGTATATAAATATAGATTTTTTAAATTTTAAACAGTAGACTTATCGCGGCCCATTCTTAAAGCTTACGCGACCCACTGTTTGAAGACCACTGCTCTATACGATACATTGTTGGAGAAACTGGGAAGTATCAAAAATCTATTTATTATGATAAGCCATAATATACCTATTAAATCGGCGTAAAATTTATCTACATTTTTTTAAGAATGGATTTTGACCCACTTCCCCTTCTACCGAAACCTTCACTGACATTATCGTGTTATATAATATACGTTTATAATAGGTAGGTACTCACCGATTCAAAAATAAAAATCGAACACAGCGCACGAACGACTACAATCATGCGTTTTACGAAGCCGAATAAAATATTGTAGGTATTATACAGAGTTATATATTTAATAAAAAAAACGGAGAAAAAAGTAAAAATTACCAAACGGTACAAAAAAGTAAACGCTGTAAAAATGACGTGGGCGTACACCACGGCAATTGGCGTTAAACAGTGGACTATCGACAGTCAACAGTGATTTATTTGAAACGCTGTCGATAGATCCGGGAGATGATAAATGGATAGTGTTGTGCCGTGAGGATGCACTGTGGCGATTCGGTTTGGTGGGAAAGCGGCCCGTTCTCTCGTGAAACAGAATATAGTAATGTCGAACAACATTTTATGGGCCATTATAGAATTTTAATCGATCTCAAAAGATCATAGGTCGATCATAGAATTATGAATAGTTAATTTAAAAATTACAACATATAAAGAATATATGTGCTGAAGATCATATCACATTCGTTTGTTATATTATTCATTTTACACAATATTGAATATAATATAATATAATATTGCATAGGTATCTACGGTGTCGGGGAATCATAACCTTTTGAAAACACGCAGTAGAATTAAGAATATTTATTTCTAATATGTGTGACCCATTTGTCTATTGTAAATTAAAAATATTATATTTAAATTATAACATGCGTACACAAATATATAATAAGATACAAAATATTATAAATTGGAAATGAAATATATTAAGGGGTTCGGTGGTGGTGTATATTTACGTTGCGTGCGTGAGTCATTTGTGACTGTGTGCGTTGTAAATGATTATTAGTATGTGTACGGGTCTCTGTCCTACACCAGGTACTACCCAATCAACATCTTATCTGCTAATTGACAAATAACTATAACAACACTGTATAGAAATACACGGTAATACGAATAATAATTACGTAAATACCCGCATACGCTGTCTTCTACGTTCTATATTATCATAGAACCTATTATTATTGTTCGACTTCTATTCTACACACATATTTTTAGCTTTACTGCAAAAACCTTCACAATTTAATTTTTAATAATTTTAAAATGTATTTATTATAAAAACAAGAGTTTTCTATTTATTTTAGGTAGGTATAAAGGATAATATATTATAATAATACACGTTGTATGTATTAATTTAGAGAGTATATTAAAAAAATAAATACAAATATTATACAAATATACAAATATTATGGTTCCGGTAAACCAGATCTTATAGGTAATCCTCGATCAAATCTCGAGTCCATAATTCCTGGGACTAAAGATTCCATATAAAATTTTGTGCATTGTGGTTCAATATTATTTTTCCAAAATTCTTCGTCTCTTAATATTTTATCAACTACAAAACCTATAAAAAAATATAAAATATTAGATTATGTTGATTTGAAATAAAAAATGTATATTTTTGACGGTGTTTGCTCGAGAAGTGCTGGCTCTTAAGTTTACACAATTTGCCAAAATTTAAAGCTGTGAGACGTGATTTCCTATATTTTCATTATTATTGTGCTGTCCTACAGTTCTTCTTTCCACTTATTCTATTTCTTTTATAGTTAACTTTAAATTATTTAAAAATATTTTTTCCTTTTTTAAATATTTATCATGTGGCATATCAGTTATTGTACACTCTAATTCATTTACAGCTCCATATTTCTCATCTGGTCCGTCAATAATTTTTGTTCGCTTTGGAAAAGTTCTTATAATTTATAATTAAAAAAATATCAGTTGAATATAATATAATGTATTATTACTTGTTTTTAAGCAATAAAATGGTTAGAATTATTTTTTAAAAAATGAGAACACGATATTATTCACTGCATAATTAAATAAAAATTAAAAAAAAAATACTATTATATTATATTATTAGGTATATAATAATAATATAACAATTTACAAATCTAAGAGTACCTATATATAAGCTATATAAGAACTAGTTATTTATAGATTTAGCCCTCCTCATCTGTTTAATATAATCAAATTTAAATTATTATATAATACCTTTCGAAATGTAAACGTCTACATTTTAATTTTAATTTTGATCTTTCTACTCTTTTTATATATTGTTTTGTAAATAATCCAGGGCTAGTATTCGTAATTTGTTTATGTAAATTACTTATATATTTTGGTCCACAATTATACGATGTTACCGCTGTACATCACTTACTGTTTTTTGTATGCGATGAGTTTGCCAATTTAAAAGTGATGAAACATTTCCTCTATTTTTTTTCACTTTGGATAGTTTTTGTTTTTTATTTCCCATTTTACCAAATTATTATAAATAAAACTAATCACGTTTTATAAAAACAAAATCTAAGTGACTAAAAAGTGCGTAAAAATCCTACTATTTTACACTATTTTACCAAGTCCAAGTGTAGTGATGACGTGAGACGAAGCTCAAATGAACAATATTTCATATTTTCATATTATATTATTATATTATATTTCATTCATACCAAATTATCAATATACGCAAGATATTAAATATGTTATTATACATTTAATAATTGTACCGTAGTAATACCTATAATAGTATAATTACGATTTATAATCTATCTATCGCAGACCGTGGCATGCGATATAGGTAGTGGCGGAGGAACTCTTCCGCACGCGGTAACGCGTACAAGTCACTGCCGCACTGTCGCGCGCATGAACGATCCAGAACGTGTTTTTTTTACTAAAACTATGTATTTTTGGTCCATCGTACCGATCGATCCAATAATGCGATAACATTTTTGAAAACTAATCTGAATTCGTTATAAAGTCTACTAGAGATCGGTCTATTTTCCCCAATTTCACCCCCCTAACACCTAAAAATTTAGTTTAAATATTTTGAAATTTCGGCATTTTCAAACGTTGATTATTTGGAATATAAATCAGAAATCTTAAAATGTGAACTGACCGATCTCAAGTAGACATTATAACGAATTCAGATTAGTTTTCAAAAATGTTATCGCATTACTATATCGATCAGTATGATGGAATAAAAATTGGATGTTTTGGCTAAAATAACTGTCCGCCACCGATCCCCTTAACAGAAGAAAATTTTTCTTAATGACTTTTTGACGACACCGCGACTTTTCAGGAGCATCTGTAAATAACTTTGATTTTATATATGAGAAAAGAAAGTTAGCACGATCATCATTTTTTATTATGCTTGTAAGTAATAAATGTAATTCTCGCCGAAAAATATTGACAATCAGCATTCTAAAATTTTAAATAATTCTTTTAGCAAAAAAGAAGAAAAACGGAAAGATTTACAAAATTATTTTTAATTCATAAATATTACGCCCTTTTAAAACATGTATAACTTTCTCATAGCATTTTTTTTTTTTTAGTATTTTAATTTAACTAATTAACTATAATAGAAAATTTAATTAACTTACCCTATCAAACATATAAATCAATAGCACCTAGTTAGGTTTCCAAGTACTGCAACTGCATAATATGTACTAATAATATGACATATATATATATATATGACACATATACTATATTGTAACATGCACAATTATTGAATATCTACAATGATGGAGCGAGCAAATAATAACTGAATTGTGTATGGTTTTCTTTAAGCCACTGGAGACTGGTCTCAGTGACCAGTCACGCCTAGGTAATCGTACCTTTAGCCATATTTATAATAATTTTGCCTTGTTTAATATGATTACTTATAGGATGCAAGACGTTTGGAGATCTAAAAAAATAAAATGTTTAGACAAATTAGTTTCTTTATTAATTTAATCAACACACATTAAATTAAAGTACTTAGATATTAAACATATAATATATATCAAAATACATAATACCAATGTATTAAATTAGTTAATAGTCCCAGAATATATTTGATTAAAAAATTATTCTAGAATATAAATATATCTGTTAAAAAATAACCAATTATGTTCTACTAGTAGGTATTAACTTTAAAATCAATAGTACAACTTACTAGTACTAATACTAGTTTATAATTTTGTATCATCAGTACAGTTGTGTGAAGTATTTAATACAACAAACTTTTTGCATAAAGTGCATATCTATCCCTAAAAAATGTACATTTTACATTTACAAAACATTAGATATTATTTACCTTCACAAAGTTCATATTAAATTTAAACTAGGGTACTTTCCTCTTATCTCGACTACCAACATATTTCTAAGACAGACATTGTGTGGTTCAGCATCACGAGATAACAACCAGATATATCTCATAGACAAGAACATTAGAGTAAGAACACCGATTACAGCTGGACAGATAAAAAATGTCCCAAATTTGTAACTTCCAACAGTGTGCTACAAACATTAGTCATGCTCATTTTATACAAGTGCTATAGGACATTTTACGGTTTTTGTATTATATGTTCATTATTTTATTAATAATTAATAAATGTTATACCATATAATTACATGAATACATGTTGCAAGTTTTTTTTTTGTATTAAACCATGTCAAAAAATTGTTTTGTGCTGTCATGTAAAGGTTACCTACCTGGCTACCTATACAGTATAGGTAATGTACTTAATTGTTTTTTGGTTATTTTTATCTTAAATAAATCTAAAAATAAAATTATTTTGTCATAGATAGGTATCTAGTAAGGTTTTATTTTTTTGAAGGTAGGTAGGTATTTGTTAATTCTCAATATTTTTTAAGAATAGTATTATTTTTATTTAATGTTTAATATGCATCCTTTTAAGTAAACTATGAAATATTGCGTGATTGTTCATCTCAAACTTTATTACAAATTATACAAATAATTTAATTATTATTGAAATATGTAGGAACTTACATATAATACCTGAGGAATTTAAATTTAAAAAACCACCACATTAATGTTACTGTCTGCAAAGCACTGAAAGTCCTGGGTTTCTTAAAACGTAACACTAAAATATTTAGCTCTGTCCACTGTCTTTGTACACTTAACCTATTCCTTGTACACCCAATTTTAGAGTACTGTATAATAGTTTGACACTCTCATTTAGTGAAAGACCAGTTAAGACTAGAGACAGTCCAGAATAGGTTTCTTTCATATATCTATTCCCTACTTAAAATTGTGCATCCACAACATAACTACTACTATACTTTTAAAACTAAAGATCTCCACGCTTTCTTTTCAACAAATTGATACTGATTTTTGTTTTATTCAAAGTCTACTTGATGATTCAATATGTTATGTGCCCACACGTGCCCCCAGCAAGAGGCAGGCTGTATATGGTGCTAATCACCACATATGGAACCGAATACCTACCAGTAGGCATGTAAAAATACACAGCACCCAAATATAGTTTCGGCACACGAACCTACACCAGCCATATTCTAAATTTAATAAAAAAAAAATACATATAAAAATAAAATGAGTGGGCCTGGGTTGTAACATAATATAATATAATTTTTGGTATTAGCCGGTGCCAGCAATAAAATATAGATAGCAGCCACTATAAATAAGCATTAGAATATATAACATTGTCAAATCAGACGAGTCTACCACAATCAAATGTGACCAATTTCGCATTACTCTATTTATTGTTATTTGGACTTGTATTATTTTTGTGAATTTATTTATTAAACTTGTGTATTTGTGTTGTTTGAATTAATTGAACACAGTTTATTGTAATATTTTATATGGAAATATTATTTATTTATAACACTCAAGTTGGAGTTTATTTATTTTTATCAAGTTTTTTTTCTAAGACAACATCGTTACATTAGGCCCGTTAAAAATAGATGCCCCAGACCACCTTTCCTCTGTTAATTTCCTTGTTCCTACTTACCCCTCAAAATATCATACACCCTTTAATATCCCTACCTACTCCACCTCCTACAATCACAACCATCCTTTACACCGCATACTTCGCCGTACCAATAAAGCCACCTAGTTTATTTTGTATATATTTGCTTTTATATTGTTTGTTAATATACTGTTTTATTCACTTTTTGCATGTAATGATCTTAGTTTTAATTCTGTCAAAAATAAATTTGTATTGTTATCATTTCACCATAATTTATGTATTTTCACTTATTCTTTATATAATGCTATTTGGTGTTAATAAAATAAAATAAATATAGTGAAAATAGACTTCACACACAAAATAAGTAAAATATTCAAATTTCTAATCCAATACTTATGATATCCATACAGATTAACAAAAATAAACATTATTTTACATAATAAGAATTGCTAAGTACCTCTTAATGTAAATTGTAAATACTAATTATTTGTAATAAAACCTAATGAACTCATGTTATGATATATACTAATAAATTTAATTACTTGGTAGGGTGTATATTGTGGTTAATTTAGTTAAATTTGTCCAGCGTAAGTATTTTGTCTACTAATGTATACTGCTCTATTGTAAGCTGCTTTTGCTAAAACAAAAATAATAATTAATAATTCCAATATTTAAACATAGAAAATGGATATAATAAATTAATATAAAATGTCAACAATTTATATCAGAAATATAATAACTAATACAATTTCAGGGATGGAAAATGTTAGAATTTTGTTGTTTTTATTTTTACATCTGGATAACTAAACTAATTGTCTGGTAAAATTATAGTTATATAAGAAACTAATTATTAACTGTTATAAACAGAAAAATATTAAACACTAATAGATACTTAAGAATTTTTTAAATTCTAAGAGTTCAGAGCAAATAACTACATTTTTTTCTTTCATTTCAGTGAAATTTAAAATATGTAATATGTCACATTAAAATTTTGAATACCAGTGAAACCGAGGATTTCTATCAGTAAATGTCCAAAATTAAATATGTTTTTTATTATCAATTATGTTTAAATGTTTAAATTATTATAATATATCGATATAGGTAAAGATTTAAATTTTATATTTTTGTTATACAAATTAATTTTATTATTACATATTTATACAAAAATTTATAGGTACCTACTATAATATTAGTTATATATAAATACAAATTTTAAACTGTTATCATATATTAGGTATATTTAAATTACAAAAATATTTATTTATGCAAGTTTGACTACTGTGACATCTCGAGTTGCACAGTAAACCGAATACTGCTCGTAAAATATTTTCAATAGACCTGGATATCAAAAATTCACTAAATCAATCTATTAAACCTGTTCTATATAATCATATCTTCAATTGAAAACACAATAAATGAAAGCAAGATAAATAATTGTGTGTAAAACATCATTCATAAGTATGAAGAACTTTTATCACATAATGTTATTACAATCGAAATATAAATAAATATACTAGACAAATATACTTTGCATATGGGTCGGCCACTGGTGTAGGCGAGAAATTGGGAAGTTGTAGAGGGTATATCTGCATGTAACAATTAATCATTGCTAACAAAAAATGATTCTGAGCGGAGTTCGGTTAATATTGTTGCTTTGTCAATAATATTTATATCATATTATAATAAAATAATTTCATATGCATTATGTATTTTTTTTTAAAAATATTTCATTCAATTTTTCCTATGTTTTTTCTTATTTATCCAGAAAATCCCAAGAAAAATCAAAAAAATAATCTCTATGTAATACCGCTACCGCCCAATCTGATTTCTTTTCAGAAAAAATGAACAAAAAATTTTAACAAAAATTAATATGGATATCTAAATATTAGCAATTTCTATCATACTGAGACTCATAACAAATAGAAGTAGGTACAGTATATTTTTTTTTTACAAAATAAGACATTAATATTTAATACAACGAATGTGGCTGAAAACACACCAATAATGGTTTTAGTATGACTTGAAAAATTATTGTAAAAACTGTGTACGTCAAACGGATTTAGCCTCTTTTATTATTACTCGGCTGGTCACCGAGTATTTGTCAATATTATTATTACGAAAGTACCTAATAATATTTAGGATAATATTTACCGATTCAACACTGACCAATGGATTGCTTTGGAAATTTTGGGCCATTTTTCAGCTGATTACAGAACAGTTAATAACGGATGGACGGCGACTCACGATTCACGACTGAAATAGTACTATAAAAACCAAAAAGATGAAAAACAATAGGGTGCACGGTAACCGATCAACAAAACAGTTCTTTCTCAAAACGATTGCTATTTAAAAATATAAAATGTCAAAAAATTTAAATCAACCAGATTGATAGCTTATTGGGCACAATCATTAAAACGGAGAATAATTAATAATTAATATTATACTGGATCGCTGACTCGGTCGTTAAACATGAGTAGTCGCGTTTGACATTACCCCTACCATCGAAGGGAAAAACATTTCATTTTAACATACGATGGACGTACACATAATAAATATGTTCCGCTGCCGGCTGGCGATATTTAATATTGATAAGAATGTCCAGTAGTTCCCAATTTTGTATACAATGTTGCCTATTGAACTCCTGAAATTATCAAAGTCTAATACTACTACTACTGTAGTAAAAGTGAAACGTCCATAGTTGAATTGTTATAGAAAAGTAGGTCTAGAGATGATGAATGCAAAGCTCTTGCAGCTGCAATGATGAGTTAAAACCAACATTTAATTACAATGCTACTTGGAACCAAATCGTTTGCAAATCCTAAACACAAAATCAATAGGAAATCTATGACTGATAATGTTATTTCACAATTTGGCGGTTTATCAAGTTTAACGTACAGTAACATATTTCCTCGTACTCCAATTATGATAAATTGGCGTATTCAAAAATGTAAACTTGAAAACATCAAATCATCTGGTTAAATGGTTATGTAAATTATTGAAAAATTAAAACAATAAAATATAAAGAATGATTCATCACCCCATTTTTAAACAGTTATAAAAATCATTTAAGTCTGTCTGAATTAAATCAGAATCAAATGAAGATCGCGGAATTAAAAATTTTACTGTCAACAGCTAGTAATAATCTTTAATAATATTTAATACAGGAAACTATATCATTTATAAATAGATTAAATAATGAAGATAAATGATCACCTTGCAGGACATCAGAAATTACATTAATTGGTTTAGAAATATAGTTTTTGAATATTGCAGAGTAATTTGAGTGAGAAGTTGACAAGTTTAGATAACTGTTCTGGAAGAATAGATATTCTTGATAAAGGGAGAGTTTGAATTCCGAAGAAATCAAGAATGTTATGAACAGATGTTCATTGTAACTGTGGACAAAACTACAGAGATAAATGTGTGAAAAAATTCTTAAGGTGGCCATAGATAGTGACTCCACCCTAGTTCCAATTAGATTTATAATATGATATTTGGTATTTATACTATATGGTATTTATACTATGATATTTTTCACGTTGTATATTATGTTTATTAAGTTTTATTTAGTCTTGAATAAAAAAACTAACTTTTAAAATGCGCCTGAAATTTGAATTTTTTGAAAATTTGAAACCCTCGTTTTTCCGAATCCGTGCCCCAGTTCCCTTAGATATTCGATAGGCTTAAAGAGGGTCTATTGTACTTTATTTTGATACCAATTTTATTTTTTAAAATACCCCAAACACCTCGGCATTTCGCTTTCAAAATGGTACCTATTATCATATCATGTAGCCAAAATGTGAATTTATTGAAAACTTCAAACTCTTGTTTCTCCAAATCGGTACCTCAATTCCCTTAGAAATTAGATGGGCTTAAAAAGGGACTCTTGGAAATTAAAAAATTAATTGTACTTATAAAATGACTTGATTTATTTTAGTACGCGACTCGTTGTACCTAAGGTTATGAGGCAGTATGTAATAAAAAGCTCATTTTGGTATCAGCCAAAAAATTATTTTATTATCCTGATATTAATAGTGAAATTGAAAATTGTAATGGTTCATGTCCTGTTCGTTTGAGATTTAGTTCTAGTAAAGTAAAACAATCATTGAAATCACATTATATACCAGACGTATCATTTTATAAAATTGCACTTGTTATTGCTGAATTCAATATAATAAACTATTTGGTTGTTGAAGATTATTATTCTAGATGGTTGGAAGTTTTAAAATTAAATTCTATAACGAGTGAATTAGTAATAATAAAATTAAAATAAGTTTTCAGTAGGTTTGGCATACCTAACGAAGTTAATGCTGATAACATGCCATTTGGAAGTGTAACTTTTCAAAAGTTTGCTAATGAGTGGAATTTTTTAATTACTAACACTAGTTCGCAGTATGCACAAAGTAATGGATTTACAAGAAGAGGAGTGGGAATCGCTAAGAATATTCTTAAAAAATGTTTGTATACAAAATTATTTTAATACATTGGTGTATTAATGTAATGAGAATTTCGAAGTACATTAATAGTGAAAGAAAATAATCTAAAATTTAATGTAGTACAGTGCTATGATGAAATGTTAAAAGGAAAACAAAAACAGAGTGACTGGTAAAATAAAATAACTAGAAGTTATAGTTATGAATTAAGAGAAGGTCAATTGGTATATGTTCGGAACAAATTTAAAAAAGAATGGGAACCAGGAACAATAATTAAACAATTTGATAGCCCAAGAAGTTATTTAGTGAGAATTATGCAAGGTAGTATAGTTAGAAGAAATTCTATGTGGTTAAAAAGCAGTGAGAATATTGAGCTCAATAATAAGTATAGTGGTGAATTGATAGATGAATAAGGTAAACAGATTAAAACACCTACAGGTACTAACATTAATCTTGAATATAATAATAATTGTGGTGAATCTGATGAAAACAATTATGAGACAATGAATATAGATGATCAAAATAATATTAAAAAAAGTATGAGTTCTGAAAAAAGAACCAGAAGTAATAAGTTTATTAAAAAATCAGTGAGATTTGATAATTATGTATTGTAAAAAATGTATTAAATATATTTATGTATAATTTTAAAATTAGTTTTGTGAATTTTATATTTTCATATTGTGTTTGTATTATTATTATTATTAGTATTATTAAGTAATCATAATTAATTATTTAGTTTTTTTTTTAAAAAAAAAAAATGTTACAGTGATAATACTGTATATTTTGTAATGTTGACTAAAGTAATATTATGATTAACTGTTAAGAAAAAAATTATTATATTAATTAAAAAGTAGTGTTTTTGTACATGATGAAATATTCTTTTAAGTTATGTGTTTTATTTTGTATTATGTAAATTATAATTTAAATGGTTTCTTCTATAACATAAAACATAACTTATAACAGATACCAAGTTCGTGTTTCAATATGCGCTGGAACAAGCATTTCGCTTTCAAAATAGAACCATCATAACAGCAGCTATACAATAATCATTTCTAAAGAATAGAATGCATTGAAATTAACTTTATGAGATAAGTTACTACCACCTATCGTTTTAATTACAGCTATATATTTCATAGAATTAATCCTTTAATTTGTATGCTATAAGCAACTGAATTACACAATACCATGACACTCATTTCTCATCAAAAAAGTCCCCTGACTAAGGTCACCTAACTTCACATCAGTACTTCAATATATATATAATCTATCCATCTTATCTAATGGAAAATAAAAAAACAAAAATGAGCAATATATTTTAAAATGTAGTCATTTAAAATTATAATCTGTATTTCTTGTCAAAAGAATAAAAAAAACATACACAATATACATGTTTTCCTACCTACTTATGCAAATTGGAGCACTATAACGAACAGTTGATCAATTATCTAAAATTAAAATAAAATTAGGTTTTACTAAACTAATATCTGGTAGATACTTTTTCTTCCAACTAGTTTAACTTGCTACACTTATATTAATATAAAACTACCTAAGTGATAGGTCTAAAACATAGCAAAATAGCTATGTCAAAAAGGTAGTTGTATTCAAATCTTATATTTATTGTTTAACATTATCATTTTTTTTTTTTCATATATTATATATTGAACAAATGTTACCTACCTATTTATTTATTTAGTTTACATAATATTATACACATTGTGTACATCTAGGATTTCACAATTTGGAAGCTATGGTTGTTTAGATCACAAATTCCTATCTGGTCTGATACTGATGCATTTTTCAAAGTTCTGCATTATATTTCACAAAGTTTTAATATGTAAATTACAACATATAACTTAGTAAAAACTTTTCTTTGGATTAATTTATCAATTGGATGTACCCACTAAAAAGGTGTCTGATTGAGATTCTAAACATTTTTTAAAAATCTATAAAAAAAAACTTTTAGAAAAATTTAACAATATATATTATAATACAGTTCTCAATGTATGTAAAAACTGAAAGTCAATAAACCAAATTAAACAATACAATTGTATTGTTTACTTTCTTAAATGTTTTATCTTTAATGATAATTCACTAAGTTTTAATATGTAAACTGCAATGTAGGTACTTACCAAAAATCCAAATCCAAAGTACATTTTAAAATTTAGGTCCTCCATTGTAAAAAAAACCCTCCCATAAAATAATTGGTCAATGTTGTATTGTGTATACTATTCTATACATTTTGCCCAAAGTATATCTCCATCTATGTACATTTTTTTTTTATCTGATTACTGTATTTTTTTTTCTATTATCAACTATAAAAACTAATTATTTGAAATCATAATGTTAACTCATTTGGTTTGTCTTTATGATGAAAATACTTTAAAATTTAAATAAATTTAAGTCAACCTAAATTACACAGGTATAACTAAAGCATACACATTTAAATACATTTTTAAAGGTAAACATTTAGATAAATAAATACAAAACTTTATAATATATGTTTCCTACATTTTTATATTTATTATTTGTAATTTTCCAAAAAAAAATAATAAAAGTACAATTAAGACATAGGACAATGCATCAAAAAAGAGTACTGTCCTATGAAAGAGTACATCACAATAGGTATTTACAATAGCAAATGTCAAAACGTAGTAAACATTTTTCTCGTAATTGTTTAGTAGTTTGATTAACTCGCAAATTAAAAAGCAAGTTTATTGTCTAAATTAATTTAGAATCTAGAAATCTAGATTTTGTAGTGTCGAGTCATAATCAATATTATCACATGAAGGTGATTCACCACTTAAATAAGCTAAAAGTGGTTTACGATCAGGTCTTCGTATATACGGAACATTTTTAGCCTAGAATTACAGTATAAAACATAAATAAAAAGTAAATCAGACAAGTAATCAATGATTAACCAATAACAAATTACTAACTTTTGCTTGTTGCACATACTCTGAATGTCTGAGAGTTGCATTGTTTAATAAAAACAACAGACATTCCAATGTATAATATCTTCTTGTTGAACCATTTTTACCAGAGCTAAAACAAATATATTAAGTAAAATGTAAATACATAATACATTAATGAAAGCCAAAAGATACATGTTATATTAATTTAGGTTTGAATCAATAGTACTAAAACAATGAATAAACAAAACAATCAGAATACATCTCTTACAAGAAATTCAGAATGTATAACCGGTGAACATGTCCTTTTAAAACCTTAACCGATAACAATTATAGAAATTCTGTTCGAATATACATTCCGAATTTCTTGTTATTATATCATAAATGTCAACAATGATTGTTCTCAAATTAATAAAAATATCAGTACATACTCATAAGCAAAATAATTTGACTCGAAAGTTTTTGGCCAGGACAGATCACCGAATAATATGTCATTGTCGTTAATTCGGATTTTTTTTTTATCGATATTATACATCCGTAACATGATCAATGGATCTGCCATTTTAAAACAAAATTACTACGGTAGATATTTAAATATAACTGAACAATTTTTGATGTATATTCCGCTATGACGCTTTGTCCCTTCCGCTATGATGCTTTGTCCCTTCCGCTAGCAAATAGCAATATTTATTGAAAAAGCCCAATGGTTCTTAATTTTGTAGACAGTGTTGCCAAAACAACACCTGATTGTACTTCTAATGGTTTGATAAGTTGTCTACCCAACGCCTAAAAATTAATTTTTTAACCAACTCTACTGCTAACATTTAATTTTGTACAAATGTTACCTACCCAAATCCTGAAATTGTTTAATGTGACTGTTTATTGCTTATCTTACTTTCGAAATTCTATTGCGGTAGATCAAATATTTCTCTACCAAACATAATATACACAAAAATATTGCCAATGTTCAATTCTAAGTTTTCATACATGTTTTGCACAGTTAACATGAAATAAAATTTTTATTTCATTCATTTAGGGACCTAGTACTTACCTATAATTAATGAATGTCGTTATTAATGACAATTATAGGTAGTTTATATTCATTAAATAGTTAAATGATTTTGGAAGTAAATATTATATTAATTATTAGATGTATTATAATATTACATGGAAATTATAATTTTTATAAGGATGTGTAGGAGTTATTTTTAATATTGTAAACAAATCTTACCAAATAAAATCAATAAACTTCTTTCTTTTTACTATCTATAATTTATTTAAGGCTTTCAGTATTTATTTAAATTACCTAACTGTTACTTAGAAATTGAATAATATAAATTTTATTTTTAGACAAATAGATAACTATTTGTATAGTTATATTTGCCAAATAGACATCATGATTATTTTATACTATTTCCAAGACCTATTATAAATCTATAAATATTTTGTATACCTACACACATTATTTTATTTTATTTATTTTTAATTAAATTTGTCAAAAATGACTTGTACACAATGAAACAATAATTATTATTGAATTGTTTGAAGATTACCTATTCATTAAATTATTAATACAGCAAAATAATCATGAACAGTGATAATTTTATTCATTAAATATTAACCTGTAATTGATAAGTTGTAATAAAAGATAGCCTTCTACCATATCAGTTGTAATAGTATTTGAGATTACTTGTTCAAATTTCGTAATATTAAAAGTAATATTGTAAACAACTATATTGTACATATTATAAGATTTTCACGATATTGAATCATTAAAATTCCCTAATTTTCATACTCAGCTAAGCAGCAATGATAAAACAATCTACTTATAGTAATAAGAAATGTCTAACAAATGATAATTTAAAATTAATAAATTTAAACACCTCAAGAAAAAGTTTACCAAAATTCTTATCAATAAATATAGATACACATTCCAGGGATTACATGAAATGCACAAGAGTATGCGATAAAAAATATTTTTCAATGTATAAAAGAATTTTAATCAATATCTATCAATTTATTTAGTCTTGGAATTAGAAACAGGAACTTTTAATTCACTGTTCATACCAAACAACTAACATTTTGGAATTAAAACAATGATTGATAATGGACTATGCTTTAAATTGTGATTTTTAGCTCAATACAGACACTTCCTAACAAATAAAATGTTATCTCTGATAATAGTCTTTTCTTCTTTTTTTTTTTATCACAAAAAAACGTTCTTTTTTTCAGTTTACAATAATCTAAAGCCTTGTTCTCACCAAAAGCAACTGGCGACGGCAACGCAACCGCAACGCGATGCGACATGTATTATTAAATTGACATGTTCTCACCGGTAGCAACGGGACTAAATATCAACGCGACTGTTTGGAAACTATTTGAAAGCAACTCAACATGTCAGTCTCTTTTGAGCAGTTGCCAAGCAACTTTTGTGTTGTACTTTTATAATAACTTATTTAAAATGGCAAGCGAACAAGAAGAAAATGTGACTTTCGTACAACATACAGAAAGTCACCCATGTCTTTATGATATAACATCATCTAATTACACTCGACAAGACATAAAAGAAAAAGCATGGAATGACATTTCAAAAAAAACGAACAATTCTAGTAAGTAAAATGTATTTATTAAATAAGTAAAATTAAAAGTAATAATAATTATATGAAAAATAAGACGTATATATTAAATTAAGTTAAATTAAATTATAGTATTCCATTAATATGTAATAGAACCGGCTGGTGTCATAAAATATTCACATATTTTTCTCTGTTTTCTTGTGACTTTGATAACGATATTACTTGTTTCTCGTGATTTTATTGAACTCGAACTTGTCGATTTTCTTGTTGTGTCAAATTTTTTAGGATGAAAAAATATTCCTTGTTTGATACGAATATAATTATGTAGGACACAATATGGCAAATTAATGAAAAACCCGACTTTTATGTAATCTCATTTTAACAATGACACAAAATATGTGGATTTATAAATAGTTTAAAAGTTTTAAAGGTTTAGAATAATACATATGGGTACGGTCCAAATAATATTGATTATAAAAATAAAAATGTAACTAAGAAATATAATAATAATTTAATAATTTGAATTTAATTAATACAGATATTCCCAGGGAGCCACGGAGCCCCTAGACTACTCTCGCGGAGCACAGTTTGAGAACCGCTGGATTAAAACATGGGCATCATAAGTATTAAGCGGCCCCTACACGATCAATATTATCCTGTGTCTGATACTAATATTGCGCAATATACTGCGCAAGTATTGAATGAAAATTGTGCTTATTTGAAAATAATTGTACAATATTGAATAATTTGTATATGTAGGCATAATATTGTACAATAATTGTTTTTGACAGTTCAGTTGAATTCAACTCACCATGGCGAAGCGCAATGAAGACTGCAAATTTATTATTGAACTATTGCAATTATATCGTCAACATACAGTTTTATGGAAAGTTAAAAGTACTGAATATAATGATTGAAACCTGAAGAACGAATTTTCTACAAGACCAAGAAGTACCTGTGGATGGATCATCTACAATTATTTTACAAAGCGAGGATGAAACACAAGACCTCTCAATAAACGCAGAGGAGCAAAACATACCAGAGGTAATTGGAAGTTTAATTATTTATTACAAATAAACAATTTTATAAGAACATACATTTTACATTTTAAATAATATTTTGTTGCCAAGTAACTTTCCCTTCATTATTAAAATAATCACAGAACTTAAGTCTAATATTTTTCGCGGATATTGATGCATTTTTTCCTCATAGAGGTTGTAGGCAGTGTAATTGAGGATGTTCTATATGTTTCATTTTCAGGGTCATCAAAATTATTGTATTTTGAAATATCTGAGCACTGATCTTTTATTTTTCTTCTTAAAAAGTTATGAAGATAACAGCAAGCTAAAACTTCTTTGTACTTTTTTTGGTGATAAATTTATTGTGGTCAAAAGTAATATAAAACATGATACTAATATGCCAAATGTATTTTCTACTATAGCTCGGAATAGCCTGTAGTCAAACACTCTTTCTTCTTCGACAAAAACAAATGGTAATTGATAATTACTGTTGGGCATTATTTTTGGAAGAGGGATATTTAATTTTAATTCTCCTTTTTTTAATAACTGACCAAATTTTGTATTTGTTATCACGGCTCCATCTGACATTTGTCCATTAGCTCCTACATCAACCATAATGAATTCATAGTTTGAATCTACGACTGCCATTAGTATAACATTAAAAAAATGTATGTAGTTGTAATATTGAGAACCAGTTCCTTTAGGCTTTTGTACTGCAATGTGCTTTCCGTCTACGGAACCGGCAAATTCCATTTGCTTTCAAATCCCTTAGCAACTGCACTCCAACCTTCAGAATTCTTAGGAAGCTAAAATAATAGAAATATTTATGTTAGTGAAATTACGTTTAATTAAGGACAATTAATTAATTTTTTTAATATCATCTATGATACTTGGAACTCTGTGAAAAATTTACCCCTTTATATGTTTAGGAACAATACACAAATGCTAAGCAAAGACCGAAACCAACCATATAGGCACCACCAGCAAAAAACAAATGGTTACTTCTCAAAAGGAATTACTAAATATTGTATATGAGTATTTGAAAAATCACAATGAGTATGAAAATCTCGGAATAGCATGGGCAAATGAGATAAAAAAGGATGAAAGGTGATAAACAAATTCATACAAAAAAAGCCATCCATGATATTTTGTACGAAGGCCAGTTGGGTACTTTACATAGACACTCTGTAAAAATCAATGAACCTTTTAGTAACCGAAGAGATTATCGGGTCACACCTCAATCCTCAGTATGGTCATTTCCATCAACTTCGTCAACACCATCATCACAACTGACAACACCACAACTTCATACAGAACAGTATCACTCTTTGGATAGTATTGAAAGTGCAGGAGCATATTTTTAAAATTACTCCGATCAGTAAATTTGTTTATTTTCAATTATTTAAGTTGAAAGTATGTTTAATTTTTTTTTTTTTTCAATAATAAAGTTATATTGTATAATATAAAAAAACAAAATTTGTTTACCTGAATGTATTCTTGCAGTTTTGTTATCATAGCCTTGCATGTTTCCAAAATAATAGAGCTGATAGTTTGTGGTGCTATTGCTGTACAATTTAGTAAGTCTTTGAAACTTCGACCTGTTGCCAAGAATTATAGCGTTGTTGCAAGTCGTTCTGTTTGTAAAATAGCCTTTCTCATCACGGTATCTTGTTATGTAATTATTGGAGATATCATTTCCAACAACTCATTAAAACTGTCATTATTCATGCATAAAAAATTTTGGTTATCCCTTGGTTCACTTAGCTTTAATTCATGTATTAAATTTTCTCTAGTAAATTCTTCTCGTTTTAAATACCATTCCTTAGCCCAATGCCGCCGTTTTGGTACTTTTGTGGATGCAAAATATAAAACAATTGCGAGGCATGCTTTCCGTTTTTGAGACATTTTAATAATTTTAATCTGCTCTCAGTGAATTGTGATTTCAAACTGAATATATTGTACAACAACATTGAATCGTTTGTATTCAAAAATATTGTATAATATAATATTGCACAATATAATTGATCGTGTAGGGGTCGCTTTACACAAAGACATTATTACAAAATACATTTTTTTTTGTACTTAACACTTGAAATTATCGAAGCATTGCCTCAAATTAATGATTTGACATACTCATAAGTACGAAATTATCAGTATAAGTCTTTTATTTTAATAAAGGTGTAATGTTATGTTAGGTATATTAAATTTATTATCAATATATAATATTGTTAATTGCTATCAGTAATTGATATTATGGTAAACAATGGGAAGATAGATAAATAATTATACAAATATTATGAAAGAGTTGCTAGTTTTAAATATCACTACATTATGGTATTAATAGCAAAATTGTATGTGTATTAAAATTAGGTATCTATACTAAAAAATCTTCTAAACGTTGTAGATCACAGATGAAGTAGATAGAAATGTTATTCTTACCTATTATTATGTATAAAATGTAATGAACATAAATACCTACATCATGTAGTTAAATAGGTAAGTCTATACTTAACTGCCAAAAGTATTAAATAATATATGATTGGTTACTGTTTTAATTTGGAAAGTTCATTGAAATCATGAAAAAAGTATAATACAGCAGCTAATTAAATAACATAATTATACTTAAAGTGTGTTTAAGTGTAGATATTATGATGTACAATTCAAAAATAAAAAATACTTTTTTTTAATTAAAATCATATTAGACAGCAATCAGTATTACAACAATTTAATTAATATCACGTTTTTAGTTCGAATACCTACCGTCTGTATACGTCTACTCTAAGTCCTTGCCGTTTTCGTGAACCGACTAACCGCAATTTGAATGCAGATCCCGCCGAATCTTTTTTTCTTCTCAGAAATTTTAGTCTAGGTTAGAAAGTGGCGACGGACTTTCAAGAATTTTTAATTTAATTCCAAATTAGGACGCTTTTAATCGAGTTTTACGTCCAAATACCGCCTAAAATATATGTCTAATTACAATATGCAAAGGTGGACCTTCAATTTTATAATATTATATCAAAATCACGATTAAAGATAGTAATAATAAAGATAATTTAATGTAGTATTATTCTATTATTATACATAGTAATGAAAGTTCACTGAACTTTATGTTGATGAATAACATACACAGAGTTCACTAGATGAAAATATTATCAATAAGAATGGTATCTATATGCTCTAAATTATAGTTGTACCTAGTCGTTTGTAGCAGTTATTGTCACGGACTAAGGTATACTAATATACTTTTTAATCCGTAGTTTTTGTCAAGTAATTTTGAAAATTAGTAAGTTTAATTGTTAACTGATTTTTTTGTACTTGATCCAAAAATAATCTATGAGATAAGTTGTTCCAAGTTTATATTCTGTATTCAACGTTATACTATTGTTTATTGTTTAAATGTTAAGAATGAACAATTTTCTTTTTCTAATGTTATTTTATGTTAGAATTTCAATTATATTAATATTAAGTATAAAATTTGTTTTGAAATTTAATAAAATGGTTATTTATTTTTAAAACAAATCAAACTACAATTTGTAAATATAGGTAATATTCTAACCATGTGCAAACAGAAATAAACTAAAAGAAATTTCCAATTACATTTACATTGTGGGTTTCCTTTTTTTTTTTTAAAGATTCACCTTTCCAGATTAGCGATATATCATAATGTTAAACTGATATAAGTAGGTACCATGAATATCTAGTTAGTGAATTGAGATCACTTTGACTTTCCTTTCAGTTTTCTTAATTAATGAGAAAAACTGTCAATTTGTTATACACTTATGCCTATAATTTTTATTTTTTGTTGATTTGTGGTTTATCTTCTTAATCAGGAAAATAATATGTTGTAGAACACAGTAAAACTAAAATATTATATAATAATAATACTAGCATTTAACAAATTTAATGTTTGCGTAATGAGAATGTAATATAAACTAATACAGTATAAATTATAAACATTATGTAATTATTTTATAAACTTATTGATTCAAGACTTAAAATGTAACATGTACATAAATATATATACAATTAATGTGTAAAAATATGTAAAACAGACATGAATAGAATTTAATAGATAAAAAAAGGTAGGTACATAGACCTAGACCTAATCGTTACCTCTCAATAAGTATTCAATGTGTATATGTAGTTAATGTTGTTGTTTTCTAATATCCCTCCCAAAATTGGATGTTGTATGTACAATAAGAATGTAAAAAAAAACCGACTTTATTTAAAAGTTATCCAATTTTAATGATAACTTCCAAATAGCCGTAAAAAAAAAACATTGGTTAAGAGACAAAAAAACAACAATTTCCAAAAAAAAAAAGAAAAATCGCTAGAGTATAAATCAAATTTTAAAAATAAAAAAAAATAAACATTATTAGTAGTAAGAATATCGTTAATAATAACTTCCAGTTAATATTTTCTCTAGACTACAAAAAGTCCATACCACAATTGATTTCCATTTTGATGGTACTGTTATGAAATTGATTATGAAACTATGAATCCTATTTAATAATAATAATTTATTAAAAATAATAAAATATTATTTTGTATACACGCGCACACGAAGTGTCATCGGAATGTTTCGTGATCTTAGTGAAATTATTGGCCGACTAACGACTAATAATAGGCTAATGTTATTTAATTACTCTTTGTGATAAGCGGCTTGGGTTTTGAACGTAAACACTTGCACATCGTCCGGGTCGTTATAAACCGCCGAGTAGATGTTGTGACGGCCCCTTAAGTGTTCAGTTATATTGGACTTGGTCCGGAACGATTTGTCGCACACAGAACATTTAAAAGGCTTTTCACGGGTGTGCACGCGCATGTGGTTCAACATCGCGATGTACGTATGGAACGATTTCCCGCAGTAAATGCACCGGAAAAACTTGTCCCTGGCAACAGTTTGTTTACACGTCGTCTGCATCTTGGTGTTACTTTTATGCAAGAGCTTGTGCTTCATCAAGTTCTCCTTGGTCTGGAAAAATTTGGTGCACAAGTCGCACTCGAACGGCTTCTTCCCAGTGTGTACTCGCTTGTGGTTCTCCAAAGTGGTTATCGAGACGAATTTCTTGTTACAATCCGGACATTGTAGATTTTTGTTTACAATTGGTTTTTGTGTCGTGTCAAAATTTGTGTTTGCCATCGCGGCCGAACAGTTGTTGCTTGTGTGCGCGGACAGTGACGACTTGGACGTGAAGTTCTTGTTACATTGTTTGCATGTGAACGTCGCCACCAATCTGATTATGGTCGGTTGTTTTTCGCCGTTCTGCGGACGCGGCGTTTGCTGCTGATGTAGTTCTTGATTGTCGTGAATGCGTTTGTGTGCAGATAATTTGTCCAACGTCATAAATACCTCAGAACAAAGATTGCATGTCAATACGTCTTTTGACGGGACGGTTACTAGAGTTATAGACGGTATGTTCTTGCTTGACGTCTTTATACAACGGAGATCCGGATTATGAACTCTACAAAAAACAAATATTAATAACAGTAGGTAATAAATTTATCTATGAATACAATTTGTGCGTATCACATACAAAAAGAAAACCGAAAAATATTCTGCTATCTATAAAAATGCATAAATACCATGCACATATAATCTAATATTAATTGATATTGGTATTATTACTGAAGCATTACTTAAATGTTTTTAAAAAGTTTACAAAAGTAAACATTTAATTTTACAAACTTTAATTGTATTTATGATATGATAACACTATACCCGCATATACTATTTTAGTTGATGCTGTCTAATTATAATGGTCTACAGATCAAAATTAGATTATTTAAAACGTAAATTGTTTAGTGTTTAGTTAGAAATTGGTGCGACAAAATTTAAAGAGGAAAATATTTTCGAGGACACTACATCAATTTCTCCTAGAAATTATCAAATAAAAAAGTTACAGCCCTGTTAGCTTTTGTTTTCTTTAGATAGCTGTAACTTTTTTGTAGGTCTAATAATTTTCTTTTAGAAAAAAGTCAAATAGTACCATGAAATATTTTTCTTTTATATTATACATTACTTGTGATTAAACTTTTAATTTTAACAGAAATGCGCCACAATTTACATTCTATACAATGCAATTTTGCTATGTTGATTTTAAACTAATTCCAGGGCTTGAATATAAAAAAATATTTTATATTATATTTAAAAACATTTTAAGACTTTTATACATTTATAACAAATTAAACACTATTAATTTTTACAATTAATTTTAAAATATTAGAAATTAATACATTAAGTATTAAACTATTAACTTTTTATTTTTCTAATCTATGTGTCTAGATACCATAATATTAGATTGGGGATGTAATATTAAAAATTATCTTTGGTTTTTAGTAGTTATGTATTATGTTGTATTATACTTGTAGTATATTATTGAATGCTAATATTTTATTGATAATACAATACCCTAATATAATATATTACAAACTCTGATAGATATCACTTGATCAAGGACCCATGCTTCTAAGTATCTGGATTTACACTTTAGCACCCAAAATGGATATGGAGAATGTTACACAAATGGAGCATGAAAGACTCCCTTGCTTGCATGTGATTGTGTTCACTCATCTCAGACAATGGAACACATCATTAAGTATTACCCCTGCTTTCAATAAATCATTCAATGAGGTCCAGAATGCAGCTTTAACCTGGCTTAATAGATCAATTGACATTCCCTTATTATAAGGTTACCATACCACCTAGATTATAGAAATTACCTTGTTAACATATTATGCTTGAAAAATTTTATTTTAATGAAGGTTATTTGTTGTTTAAGTTGTAATGTTTGTTTAGATATCATACAATAATGATTACAATAATAATAATTGTGTTTAAAGTATAAACTAAAAAAACGTAAATGTGCCTAATAGTAATAATATTACGAAAATTGATGATAAAATTTTATTATTGCTTATTATTTTAAGTGTTTTTTAGGTTTTTATATATATAATTGTTTTTTGTTCCACCATTTTGTTTAATGATAATTTTATATTACAGTATTCTTCTAACTATTTTAATCATTTTTGATAAATTATTGTTATAAGCCCTGGTAAATTGTGATAAAGTATTATCTAATATTTTAACTTTAACAAACAAAATAGAAAATATCTTCTTAATATGTTAGGCGATTTAGGTTACTCTACTATAAAATAAATATGGAAAGAGTACATTTATCTTACCAAAAAATAAGTTTTTCAGTCAAATTAAAGGGTGACCTCCTTTTAACATAAAGAACAATTTCATCTAAACAAGTTAATTTAAGATGCCCATATTCATTGTACATAATTAATAACACCCACTAACAGTTGTTAATAATAATAATAATAATAAAATATAATTATAGATAACTAGTAAAAACTGACCGGTAATGTTCATTTAAATTGGATTTAGACTTGAAGAACTTTTCACATATACCACAACCATAAGGACGGTCTTTTGCATAACGCATATGATTTTCAAACTTGTTTGCAGACTTCAGATCTTTACTACAGATGGTATATTGATTATCACTAATTTTTGTTTCGGGCGATTTTTTTTCATTGTCAGTTATTTGCATAACTTTCGCCATAGTTTCTTCTAATTGAAACATATAGTCAGATAATTCAATTCCATTTTCGATTTGTAGATTATCATCAAAAAGAAATGGATTTTTAATTTGCTGCTCTTCAAACTGATTCAGTTTTTGTTGATCATTATTAACAAGACCTGCATTACTAACTAGCTGTTCTTCAAACTGATTCAGATTTTGTTGATCATTATTAACAAGACCTGCATTACTAACTAGCTGTTCTTCAAACTGATTCAGTTTTTGTTGATCATTATTAACAAAAACTTGTTGATCATTATTAACAAAAACTGAATTACTAACTAGCTGTTCTTCAAACTGATTCAGTTTTTGTTGATCATTATTAACAATAACTGAATTACTAACTAGCTGTTCTTCAAACCGATTCAGTTCATCTAATAGAAAGTTTTCACTGTGAATTGTATCCGGAATAAGATCTATTAAATCCTAAAATTAAATTTACATTATTTATAAAAATAAATAAACATATTATTACAAAAAGTGTAAAGTAAAAAAGCTAGGTATATTATAATATAATAGTATGCTTCATTCATTTTAGTTAAAAGTTTAGTCTAACCTTTTAATTAGGTAAAAGAATTTCTAATCACAATACAGATTGAATGTTAAAAAAAGAAGTCCTAGGATAATGGATACAGTTGTAGCCACTGTTATAGGTCATTTATTGTATATCTTTAAGTAACGATAAACCATTGCGAACGAAAAAACAATTCTGAGCGCAGTTCAGTTGATAGTGATGCATTGTTAACAATATATATATATGTCATATTATGGTAAAATAATTAAATAGGCATTATATATTTTCTTGAATAATATTTGTTTAATGTTGTAACGATTTTCCCAGTTTTCCTACATTTGTCCCGGTTTTTCACATATGTTGGGAAACCTCTAGAGAAAATCGAAAAATGAGCTCTTTAAAGCACCTCTCAGTGAAATTTTCTTTCCGAAAATATGCTATCATTTCAAATCGGAGCGAAATTGCTGGTAGAAAAGTTGTACACGGAAAAAAAAGGCTATATTTTTTTACTAATATTTACATTTCATACATTTTCCGTTTTTCCGACATTTTATCCCGGTTTTCCCAGATATTATGAAAACCGCTTGAAAAGTCAAAAAATTACTTTTCTAAATTACCATGGAGATAAAATTTCCTTTCAGAAAATAAGCTACACTTGTTATATTGGAGAAATATTTTTGGTAGAAAAGTTTGCACAACAAATCGAGGGGTATTTTATGATTAAAATAATCCGAAGGAGCGATGGCTTGGATCTCTAAGTACATCTAAAATGCATTTGTTTTTTTTTTTATTTAGGTAAAGGGGGGGGGGAATTCAAAAAATGTTATTTTGACTCACTGGTTTGAACTCGGATCCCCTAGAATGATAATAGGCATAAATAACCATTAGATCACGAAAAATATGCTTTTATAAACTATAGAGTTATTTAAAATAACATATAATATCCGCATAATATCAAAACTTCAAAAAGCTATAATTTCGAAACTTAGTTAGTCTACTTAATTCTGACTTCACCATTTGAAGCATTCCTGTTCCAGTGTAACAATTTACCACAGAGTACCTACCGAATAAATATTACGTACAAAACTCTTAAAATTAAAATGTCTAAAAATGCTTAAAAAATGGCTTGAATTTTTTGAAAATTTTACCACGTCTAGAAATGGCAAATATAAGTTTTCTGTCCAAATTTCAAGTCTCTACAAATATTCTTATCTGAATTACAACAAATAACAAAATTAAAAAATAAAAAAAAAAATAGTTTCGTAAATTTTTCGTTTTTCTTACGTTATATCATGGTTTTTCCCAGATATGAAAACTACTTGGAAAATCAAAAAATGACCTCTTAAAAGTACTACCTGGACAACATTCCCTTTCAGAAATAGTACCTTGCGTATATATCTGAACAAAATTTCTGATAGAATTTTTGTACACAGAATAAAAAAATAAAAAAATAAAATATACATCTTAATAAAACCAAGGCTGGGCATTAATGAGTTAAAAGTTAAAATTAAGTTAAAACGTTAAGTTAATTAACTCGTTACTTTTTTTTTAAGATTAACATGTTAACTTTAAGTTAATTTTATTCAAAAGTATCTAAATTAAGTTAATTTTCGTCCAAAGAATAATGCAAATTATTGTATGAGGTTTTTAATATACCTATGATTTACTATTTTAATATGAATTTCCTGTAGACGAAAATAATATGAAAAATAACTTTAATAGTCATAATATGTAATATAATATCTACATACACGTTTATCATTATCAATTGTATAACTAATATTTTGAAAGGTAGGTAATAAAGATTATCGCTTTGGTTCTCTGAAGTTGATGTCAAATATTGTCGTGAACGTTTTTCCATTATAAAATAAATGCAATAATCAGCAATTCCGAATTTGGTTTCATAATAATTACCGGCATTAATAAGTCACAATACAGATAAAATGCCGAATTTAATAAATAATTATTTTGACATGTTATTGGTGAAGCCTATAATATAGACAACCAATAAATAATAAAATGATAAGTATATAAGTATACCATCATGTGTCAACCTTCGTAGTATAAATTTATTACCCATTCAATATTTTTGCTTGGCATTTAATTAAATTTATATATAATGTATATTTCCCTTAAACTTTTACAGATATGGGTGAATAGCTTTGTATATACAGATATACTATATAATATTAAAATAAAGAGTAAAGATAATATTATATTATTGTTATTTGTATGTACTTAACGTAAATAAGATTACATGAATTTTATATATTGTGATGCATGGCTCTGTTCGTTTTATTTTTATAAAATTGTTATTGTATAAACCCATGGAAATCCACAGAATATTCTGTGAAAATAGTGAAAATACTATGGGAACGAGTGTCGATGGGGGGCTAATCACAAAACAACTATGGTATAATTTCCAATTTAGTTTCATTATCCAATTAGCATGTTTTCTGTTCACATCTCTTTAGAATTTATAATATATTGTTATTAGCTTATTATATTTCTGTGAAAGTTTATTATTTCTTTATTACCTATTTTATTTATTTAAAACTAAAATGTTTGAAGACGATTTGAAGTGGCCTTATTTAAAAACTTATTTCAAACAACTATCAGAATCTGACATAACTGAAGAAAAATCAAATTTTACATTCAAATGCATGCTATGCATGCCAAAAATAAAATTAATATCAACTTTTATAAGTTCAGATTCAAATTTAAAAACTCACATCAAGGTAAGTTTATTTATAATAATATATATATATATATATCGTTCCACATGCATATAGGACAATTATAATTGTAATTATTCGTGAATTTAGGAAAAAATAATCCGTTAATGTTAAGGTGCAACTGCCTGTTATAATTTAATTTTTTTTGATAGTATTAAAATAAATCACTATATTATAGTAAAAGTACCAATTTTACAGCTTTTGTAAACAACTCGAAAATTAATGATTAAAATTATTTTTTGATCAATCTTGTTTTTAAAAATTTGAAATACTACCTACCTAACTACCTGTTTTAAAAAAAATTGCATTAATTATTATGATTTTTGTAATTTACAATATTATCTAAAGTAAACCTAAACTTGTAGGTATAAATTAAGTAATTTCACATCAAGTATTGAAAAATAAGTTGATAAATTAAAAAATATGCGAAAAAAAATTGAATACGTTTTATATTATTGAAATTAATAAATATTTTTTCAGTATGTTCATCCAAGTGAATTAATTAAATGTAATGAGCTTAGCAAAAGGAAGCTGTACAATAATAATAATTGTACTTAACCTAAAAAACAGTTGAAATTATCGGAAGTAGGAAAAACTGTGAAAAATCTTAGTCAAACAGAATTTAATAAGGCTAACCTAGAACTCATTATAAATACTGTGTCACCTTTTTCTTTGATTGAACACCCTGCATTTATAAAATATTGTCACTTAACATTGAATAAAGTTCCTATGTCTAGAAGTTTGATGAAAAAAGTTCATTGTTCAATGATACGATTTATCAACTGAAGACTGAACTAGAAAAAATCGAATATGTTTGCATTACTGCAGATTGTTGGAGTATTTTCCACAGGTAAAATATTATTTTTAAACTATTAAAAAACTAAATATTTCATTGTTATTTTATAATAATATTGAACCTATATTTACAAAATAAATTTATTGTAGATCATATATATATATATATACATACATATATATATATATATATATATGTAAAGATATACATATATGGGTTTTACAATTCATTGGCTGAACCCAATTACATTTGAATGTAATTCCCGTGCACTTGCTTGTGGACATATGTTAGGGAAGCATATATATGATAATATAGTAGAAATAATTGAAATTTTTTTTCTTATTAATTTGTCACTACTCTGGGTAGAGGGAATTGAGAAGGAAATAAACTACATTTTTCTTCAACAGGGTGTATGATACCTATTATTTTGTTATTTTAATTGATGAAACCAATTGCAACAGAGCTAGATGTTTTACAAGGTGAACAACATGTGTATATTGGATATCAATGTAATTAATTAATATTGGGTACATAATATATATATATATTTATTTATTTACATGTTAATAGATAATATCTATTTACACATGTATGCTATATAGTTACATAAATGAGATTATCTTTTTTATATGTTACCTAAATGATATGTAGTGACTTTCAACAATGATTGCTATAGTCATGACTTATGACTATTTTATTATTTATTATGTTAAGCAACAGTGAAAGTACAAAATTGGTAAACTTTAAATAATTGCATAATAATTCATAAGTTTTGAAAAGACAACTTCTATGTATATAATTAACTATTTTAAATGTATAGTTATTTTTATATCCTATAATAGGTATTTAAATTTTTTGTATGATGGTTTAAAGCTTATACAAAATATGTATTTTTTTAAGATATTTATTAAAGGTTTAACATTTGTTGTTTTATTTTTATCTAAAAATATAATAAAAAATTATTATGGTTTTACTGATAATTATCCATGTTGGGCTGAGCCTAGTCTTTTAAACTACACAGTGGCTGCACTTTGACTGCCTAGGAAAATATATTTGGATGGTGGGTACTGCCTGTTTGATTTTTAAAATTAGTGTGAATCAATTAAAAATATTGGTATCTTAGTAGTTAGGAGAAAACTATCAATGGTGTTCATCAAATGGTAATTTTTGGATGTAAACCACTTGGGTAAATTGATTTGAGTATAAATTCAGAACCAGGATTTATTTTAGAAAAGTAGATTTTTTGATAACTAGTTAATACTGTTATATATCATTTTAAATTTCCCCAGTAATTTTCTTGAGCGTAAAAAAAAACCCAATATTATGTGTGCAATTTTTTTATTTTTGAAAATTAGAAAATTTTAACTTTAAACTAAGTTACTTTTTTTTTCAAAGTTAACTATTAATTTAACGAATTAACAAAAAAAATATGAGTAACTTTTCATCTTACTTAACAAAAATTTTTTAACTTGCCCAGCCTTGAGTAAAGCTAATATATTCTTCACTACACTCAGAATCTATAAATAAATACAAATTTTATAGTAAATTATCTTTCAAAAAAGGTGAAATAGTCTATACTTTGGAGCAAGTTTTCTGGTGGAAAAATTGTTAACAGACAGAAAAAAAATATACATACATCATAGTTAAAAAGGGTACTACTAAAATATATTTGTTCATGTTATAAAAAGAAAAAAATGATTGGTGTTAATCTGTTCATAAATCATTTGTCAGTGTTAGAAAATTTTATTTAATAGGGCTAGAACTGTTAGATTAAAACCTCTACTGATTTTGATTTTTTGAATATTTTTAAGTATTTGACGGTTTAAGCGCTTTTTTGCAGATTTACTTACATATAAATCGGTTCCTCGGTGATAACCAAATTAAATAATAGTAATTTTTATTCATGTCCCCAACTGCAAGTCGTAAAAATTATTTTGGCGAGGGGGGGACAGGGGCGGATAGATTTGAGAGTCCATGAAAAATAGATTCTAGCGGCCCATATGATCATATTCAAGATTTAACAAGAAATTACCTCAACCTTGAGTGCATCAAAACTCCTCTTTTTTTTTTTTTTTAAGAAAAGATATAAATTATTTAGGTATTTGGTAAAATAAATGTATTAATGAAGAATTATTTCTGATTTCTGGTACTAATCCACATAAGCCTCCCCGCCATGTCTTCTTAGCAGGGGAGACAATGATATTTAAAATCAAACCTTGTACAAAAATCATAAGTAAAAATAATATCAATATATTTTAAGGTGGCTTATGTCCCAAAACCTAATATTGATAATGTATTCTTAGTATTTACTTGATGAGGACTTTATTTCAGGAGGCTTTCTCAGGGAAGGAGTCTTCTAAAAAGGAAATTTTCTTATATGAACTGTAGCGCAGGCATATTAAAAAAAAAAAAATTGAATAGAACAGAAGTTATTTCATGTGGCAGAACATCGTGGGACACCCTATATATTATACACAAAGGTATTAAATAGTTAAAAAGCTAATTTGTTTCACTTTAATAAATAGTTGAATTTTGTCAAGAAAAACAAAATGTAATAAACTTTATAAACTACTAGGATTGACTAACAGAATATTAACTAATAGAATAATAGTCTGTATTCTTAATTTAGTGATAAGCTATAATGATAATGGTTGTATAATAAGGTTTGTTATTAATACAGTCGATTACGGCGCTAAAGTATTATCATTTTTTTAATAACCCTTAATTTGTTGTGCAAAACCACGACTGTAGGTAGTAACAAGAAAAAATGAAAAGCATTTAGGTGACATTAGGGACCAAAGGTGATCATTTACTCGCTACGCTCACGCTAACAATTTTAATTGAAAATAAATCCTCGATTTGTTGTGCAGAACCACGTCGGGTAAGTAACAAATTTTAAAATGTTAACACTGGTGCTGTAATCGATTGTATTTATGACGATCGTATAATAACGTAGTTGGTCATCTTGCGGCCGTTTGGGTTTTCTCTCTCTGGACTTTATATTTTACATGCATTTTATCAAATAAATTTTATTTAATCTCATGGTTAAGCTTATTACTTATTAGAAGAACTGGGATTTACATGCACTTAAAATTCACAAAAAAGTATTTGAAAACTTCAAAAAAGCTAAAAAAAATCACTTAAAAATATTTAAAAGAGCAATAAAGGTAGAGGAATTTAAAAGTTTACCTTTTTATTGTTTCTAACTTATTTAGGGTTGCCAGACGCCCCGTATAATACGGGAATGTCCCTTTTTTTGACTAACTGTCCCGTTGTCCCGGCAACTCTTGTCGGGACACAGAAATATCCCGTTTGCTAAAATATGTACACATATTATATATTGTATTCTTTTTTCGTTTTGAGATAACAATTACCTACTTGTTATAGTATAACCATATGACCATACCGACCGATACCATAAACCTATAAAGGTCTTTATAGGTCTATGACTGATACCGATTTCGTTTCTATTAATAGATTGTTATAATTTTATATTATGTTTACCATTTCGCATATTATTATAAAATAGATTAGTCGATAAGAAAATTATTATTATTCTTATCTGTTCTGTCATAATTCATAGTCTGGTCAGGTTAATTTTTAAAATGCCCAAAAGAAAGTGCACATTTAATGAAAAGTTATAAAGTGAACACATTCTTAAAAAAATGTCAAAAACCAGGACAAGAATATAAAATTGAATGTATTGTTTGTGGAGCAGCATTCAGCATTGAACATGGTGGTAAGTCTGATATTACATAACATTTAAAATCGGAACGACATAATATAGCTGCTAGAGCGTCTAAATCTCAAAAATTGTCAATTTTTTTTTTTCCAAAAACACAATTTGCTGATAAAGAACAAAAATTAGCTGCAGATGAAGGAATTGTTGCTTATCATACTTGTAAACACAGTCAAAGTCTCAATTCTATGGATTGTACTTCTCAGTTAGTTCGTAAATTATATGAGGAAAAATTTACTTGTGGTAGAACTAAAACAAAATCTATCATCACTAATGTATTTTTACCCTATGCTGTTAATGTTTTAAAAAAAGATTTACTCAAGTGCAATTTTGTATCAATTATGACTGATGCATCTAATCATAATTCTCAAAAAATGATACCCATTCTTGTTTGCTATTTTCTACCTGACGAAGGAGTTAAAAATAATATTTTGGAATTCAATGAGCTTCCGGTAGAAACTGCATCACTATTAACGCAATATATATCATCAATACTTCACGAATGGAAAGTCGAAAATAAAGTTATTGCTTTTTCTGCAGATAACACTAATTGTAACTTTGGTGGTGTAGCTCGAAATGGAAAAAATAATGTATTTTATAAACTTAAAGAGATTTTTAATAAAGATTTAATTGGAGTAGGCTGTGCTGCACATATACTTAACAATGCAGTACAATCAGCCGCAGACACATTACCAATTGATGTACAGGTTATAATTGGAAAAATTTTTCAACATTTTTATATTTATACAGTTCGAGTCCACGTTCTTAAAGAATTTTGTGAATTTGTTAACATTGAATACAAAACCGTTTTAGGACATTCTAAAANAGGCCAGAGACATTTCTATAATTGAGGTTAAATATCATGTTGAGTCTATAATTAAAAAAATTGAATCTCGTAAAAATGAAAATTTTTTTGCATCAAAAGAACGAGAAGTATCAAATGCATTAAGAGATGAAGCAGTTTTATCTGAAAACATGTATATTAACTATCCTAACACATTTTATGATACATGTTTAGAATATTTAAAAGAATGGTCAAATCCCACTTTAAGTAAATTTGATAGTTTAACGTGGATTACATTTAAAAACATTGATCATGATTTTAATTGGGTTAATATTCAAACTACTATTGAATTAATCAAAAATATTATTCCCAAAAACAATTTAATTAATGAGGCTCATTTATTTGATGAATTTACAATGATTAAAGAATGTGTAAAACACAATGAAAATATTCAATCCTTTAAAACTTTATCAGAAATGTGAACATATATTTTTAAATCAGTGAATAATATTGATGATGGTTATTTTCCAAATTTTAAAATAATGGTAGAGTTTTTAATATGCATACCAGGTTCAAATGCAAATGTTGAAAGAATTTTCTCAAATATGAATAACTTATGGACGGATGAAATAATAAAATGGAAATAAAAACAGTTAAAGCTATGTTGATAGTGAAGACATTTTTTAAGGAAACCTGTACAGAATTCCATGACTTCTTAATTGGAAATCAATCATTATTAAAAGAGATTCATTCTTCTAATAAATATTATAATACTCCATGAACATTATAACAACCAATTAGTTTTGTAAGTTTAAATTATGTAAGGTATAGTGTATACATATTTTATAAAGTTGAATGTACTATTTATTTTAGATTTTGTTCCTATTGGCTAGGTATTGCCAAAGAAAAACTAAAACAGGGTTGTTATTTTTATTTTATTAAAAAAAGTTTTAAAATGTTATATTTATACTTTAATAAGTACTTATGGTATAATACTGTTGAAATATTATTCAAATAAAATATGTTAAAATTTTTAATATTATTTATTTTTATTATCTGTTGATATAGAAGTATATGGAAAACTGATATAATTTTTAAAAAATATTAGATAGTTGAAAGAAGTAAAAATATTAAGTAAAGATTGTCCTATAGTTTAATTCATGATACTTTCATTAAAAAATGTCTAGTGGCGTAGTTGTGATACAGTGAAACCTCTTAATACCTGACATTATAGGTTGCCAAAATTTCATCCGTTATATGGAGGTGTCCGTTAAGGGAGATTTCACTGTATTTGAAATAGACAATTTTTTAGTCCCGTATTTTGAATTTTGAAATCTGGTAACCCTAAACTTATTAGAAATAATTTTTAGCACAAAAAAATGTTTAATTAAAAGTCATTTTTAAAAAACCAATTTGTACGTGTTATAAAAAATAAAATGCTTTGTGTCATCATTTTTCAGTGTTAGAAAAATGTATTTAATGGGGTGAGAACCGTCAGAGTGGGGACTTAAAAACTCGTCTATCATTTTTGCTTTTTTAAATATTTATAAGTGCTTTTTGACAATTTAAGTGCTTTTTTAGGGATATTAGGTGCATATAAATCCCAGCCCTACTCATTAGTTAATATTATTGGAAATATATTATTATGAAATAGTCATGTTCAGATGGTTTAGTAGTTAACCATATTAACTCTAACAGTTTTGTATCATTATAGTTATAATACCTACATATTATACATATTATACATTGATGTATTATACCTGCCCAACACTAATATATACGAATATAATGTTGGTGTAAATAAAATAAATAATCCTAATAAATAAATCTGGGGGGTCATGGATAGACAATAGTAAGATATTGGAACAAGTAACAATGATACAAACTATCAAATTATTATGTATAATTTGTACTAACTATAAATATTTCAGAATTTAACAAATAAATAAATATTTACTAAGGAATTATGTAATTATTTAATAAAAATTATACCTCAGCATTAACTGCAGTTTTATTTCGTAGCCATTCATCTGTAATTTTACAGTACGCTCGAAATTCAACAAATGAATTAACTTGATCAATACATAATTTACATACAGAGTTAGGTAATGACTCATCTTCAAAAAACTAAAACAAATATACAGTTAGGTATTTAAATACAACTACATAAAAATATTACTTACAGTAATATTTGCAACTTCTTGAATATTTTCTAACATTTTACTTTCGGAGAACAAATTTTGTAGTGGTTGATCATTGCGTAAACATAATCGACATATATCATTAAAATTATTAATATAAATTGCAGCCTGACTTGTATGGTCCATTTCCTATAGATTCCTATAATTGTGGCTTATTTGATATTAATTAAATTATATAAATCTCCGAACAAATTTTTAAAATAATTTACGTTTTCCAAACAAATAATTATAGTTGTGTTGCACGTATAGAAATCCAACAGGTTGTATCCTAAACTATAGATATCGAACGTCGGGCCTGTAGTCCGCGGTTATGGCACTGTACATCCAAAATCCACTCGACATAAAATCACACGATAATGAGTAACTAAAAGAAGCATTCAACAATACGACTACACTATATTATAATGGTTTCTTGAATTCTGGTAAAAACGTGGAACTCCGTGATAACAGAAAATCAACACAAAGAGAGACTAATCCACCTTGTTCAAAACGAATAACAAAGAATGCAGTGCAGGATAGAAAAAAAAAGTGGTCATACTGAAGTCTCCTATTCATTGTTTATCCCATGAAATTTCTTCCACGGATGTAGTTTTAAATGACCTACTTAAATTTTTTAAAAAAAAAAAACTTTTTTCTAAGTCATAAATGTATAAGTAGTAGAAAAATGGAGATCTTGGTCCAGTCAGGTATTTTCTTTCACTTTTAAAAACAAATTTCAGAACTCTGTTCACATTGTTATCATATTATTGTTTGTTCACATACTAATATAAAAAAAATAATTAAAAAATACTTATAAAAATAAATTAAAAAAACTTAATTTACCAAAAATTAAAAAATTAATATCTAATCTCCATTCACATACTTCCAAAAATCCAAAAGGTTAAAGTGTTATATATAAAAAAGAGAAATATGTATTTATAGTTTTTAAAGATTAAAAAAAAAATTATCACATAAATATTGTGCTAGGAACAGATCTATTAAAAACGAATAAATAATATTACGCATTGTGCATGCAATAGATAAACAATGGATAAAAATCGTTAATGATAAGTAGGTTCACATATATACACCTAAAGATATTTATTTGTAGATTAAAATATTATATCAAACTATCTTATCTATCTATAATAGATTACAATTAGAATTGTTAAAACATTTATTTCTATCTTTTGAAATTTAATCACATTTCTCAAAACAAAGATTGTAATTTAAAGGTAAATGTAAAATTTAAAGTCAATAAATTAAAATAACATCTAAAAGATTTCAAAATTACAAAGATCCATTTATTTGTGGACTTTGTGTTTAGATTATATTAAATATAATTCTGGTTAGAAAATTTACTCTTAGACTTTAACAATATTAATGTGTTGTATAAGGGTTAGAATAATATAATTTTTTTTAAATTTTAAAATGTAAAATCCTATCCCAAAGAATGTTATTCTACCTATTTTTCCTAATTATCAAAAAAAACTATTCATAATGTTTAAAACAAAAATTTTTTTTTTTATATCTTTTCCATAATCAATAGAGAACATTTTTATTAACATGATTATCATATTACACAATCACCATGTAAAATATGTAAAGTAACATCAGAAACAAAATTAATATTGATGGTGGCTTATAACTTTTGAAATGGAAGGCTCTGATAATTTTCTTTATTTAAAGTTCAAATTATAATATGAGTGGAAAATACTTATAACAGTATAATACTGAATATGAAGCTAACAGTTATGTGTCAGTAGATGATAATTGTGTTCCAATTTTTTATTCTTTCAATTTAATGTAAAAAAAATATGGAACATTTATAGTTGAAATTCTAAGTGATTGTAGATCAGGCCTAATATAAGGATATGTTTTTTATTCTTCAGATAAAAATGGACCAACAATTAGTTCAAGATTTCAATCAAAATTTAAAGTGTATGAGGATTCTTCTAATCCTTTCTGCTGGATTAGTAGTTGCAAGTGCATTAACTAGAGAGGTAAGTGTTATTGCAAATACTATTTTAGATGAAAACATATGAAAGCAGTAGAGAGAAAAAAAAAGGATTAACTAAGGAAAAAGAAAATACCTCAGCCAAACTGTTTTAATAAAAGAGTTTTTAAAAAAATAAAAAATTTTATANTTTAATTCTAAGGGTAATGCCAATCCTCCAAGAGAATAAGTAATATATTGAGGAGAAAATAATCTTAAAATTTCATCTTAAAGATTTCAAGATTACAAAGATCCATTTATTTTTGGATTTTGTGTTTAGATTTTATTAAATATTACTCTGGTTAGAAAATTTGTTCTTAAACTATAACAATTTTAATGTGTTGTTTAGTGGTTTAACAGACCATATCTCACAAATTTCTTCAACTGGACTATCTAATGAATTTATATATTTATTAATATTTGTTTAATTTAGTATATACAATTATGATATCTATCTAGAACCTACTGAAATTTTTCCCATACATAGCTACCTAAAACTCTGAATTGTAAAATTAAAATAATGTATTGGATCTTAAAAAAGGATAATTTTTTTTTAAATTTAAAATCTTAAATCCTGTCACAAGGATGTTATTCTACATATTTTTCCTAATTATTAAAAAAACAATTCATAATGTTAATTAAAAAGAGATTTTTTTTTTATGTTTTCCATAATCAATAGAGAACATTTTTATTAACATGATTATCATATTACACAATCACCATGTAAAATATGTAAAGTAACATCAGAAACAAAATTAATATTGATGGTGGCTTATAACTTTTGAAATGGAAGGCTCTGATAATTTTCTTTATTTAAAGTTCAAATTATAATATGAGTGGAAAATACTTATAACAGTATAATACTGAATATGAAGCTAACAGTTATGTGTCAGTAGATGATAATTGTGTTCCAATTTTTTATTCTTTCAATTTAATGTAAAAAAAATATGGAACATTTATAGTTGAAATTCTAAGTGATTGTAGATCAGGCCTAATATAAGGATATGTTTTTTATTCTTCAGATAAAAATGGACCAACAATTAGTTCAGGATTTCAATCAAAATTTAAAGTGTATGAGGATTCTTCTAATCCTTTCTGCTGGATTAGTAGTTGCAAGTGCATTAACTAGAGAGGTAAGTGTTATTGCAAATACTAATTTAGGTGAAAAATATATGAAAGCAGTAGAGAAAAAAAAAAAGGATTAACTAAGGAAAAAGAAAATACCTCAGCCAAACTGTTTTAATAAAAGAGTTTTTAAAAAAATAAAAAATTTTATAGTATGTTTTATGATTGATGATTTACCCAAAAAACCTTAAACAATTGAATGTGGAATATTAAATTTAAACAATTTTGATCAAGTAGGATTGCAATGAGTTGCATGGATGAAACATTAAAGTTAAAAGATTTATTTTAATTCTAAGGGTAATGCCAATCCTCCAAGAGAATAAGTAATATATTGAGGAGAAAATAATCTTAAAATTTCATCTTAAAGATTTCAAGATTACAAAGATCCATTTATTTTTGGATTTTGTGTTTAGATTTTATTAAATATTACTCTGGTTAGAAAATTTGTTCTTAAACTATAACAATTTTAATGTGTTGTTTAGTGGTTTAACAGACCATATCTCACAAATTTCTTCAACTGGACTATCTAATGAATTTATATATTTATTAATATTTGTTTAATTTAGTATATACAATTATGATATCTATCTAGAACCTACTGAAATTTTTCCCATACATAGCTACCTAAAACTCTGAATTGTAAAATTAAAATAATGTATTGGATCTTAAAAAAGGATAATTTTTTTTTAAATTTAAAATCTTAAATCCTGTCACAAGGATGTTATTCTACATATTTTTCCTAATTATTAAAAAAACAATTCATAATGTTAATTAAAAAGAGATTTTTTTTTTATGTTTTCCATAATCAATAGAGAACATTTTTATTAACATGATTATCATATTACACAATCACCATGTAAAATATGTAAAGTAACATCAGAAACAAAATTAATATTGATGGTGGCTTATAACTTTTGAAATGGAAGGCTCTGATAATTTTCTTTATTTAAAGTTCAAATTATAATATGAGTGGAAAATACTTATAACAGTATAATACTGAATATGAAGCTAACAGTTATGTGTCAGTAGATGATAATTGTGTTCCAATTTTTTATTCTTTCAATTTAATGTAAAAAAAATATGGAACATTTATAGTTGAAATTCTAAGTGATTGTAGATCAGGCCTAATATAAGGATATGTTTTTTATTCTTCAGATAAAAATGGACCAACAATTAGTTCAGGATTTCAATCAAAATTTAAAGTGTATGAGGATTCTTCTAATCCTTTCTGCTGGATTAGTAGTTGCAAGTGCATTAACTAGAGAGGTAAGTGTTATTGCAAATACTATTTTAGATGAAAACATATGAAAGCAGTAGAGAGAAAAAAAAAGGATTAACTAAGGAAAAAGAAAATACCTCAGCCAAACTGTTTTAATAAAAGAGTTTTTAAAAAAATAAAAAATTTTATAGTATGTTTTATGATTGATGANTCCAAGAGAATAAGTAATATATTGAGGAGAAAATAATCTTAAAATTTCATCTTAAAGATTTCAAGATTACAAAGATCCATTTATTTTTGGATTTTGTGTTTAGATTTTATTAAATATTACTCTGGTTAGAAAATTTGTTCTTAAACTATAACAATTTTAATGTGTTGTTTAGTGGTTTAACAGACCATATCTCACAAATTTCTTCAACTGGACTATCTAATGAATTTATATATTTATTAATATTTGTTTAATTTAGTATATACAATTATGATATCTATCTAGAACCTACTGAAATTTTTCCCATACATAGCTACCTAAAACTCTGAATTGTAAAATTAAAATAATGTATTGGATCTTAAAAAAGGATAATTTTTTTTTAAATTTAAAATCTTAAATCCTGTCACAAGGATGTTATTCTACATATTTTTCCTAATTATTAAAAAAACAATTCATAATGTTAATTAAAAAGAGATTTTTTTTTTATGTTTTCCATAATCAATAGAGAACATTTTTATTAACATGATTATCATATTACACAATCACCATGTAAAATATGTAAAGTAACATCAGAAACAAAATTAATATTGATGGTGGCTTATAACTTTTGAAATGGAAGGCTCTGATAATTTTCTTTATTTAAAGTTCAAATTATAATATGAGTGGAAAATACTTATAACAGTATAATACTGAATATGAAGCTAACAGTTATGTGTCAGTAGATGATAATTGTGTTCCAATTTTTTATTCTTTCAATTTAATGTAAAAAAAATATGGAACATTTATAGTTGAAATTCTAAGTGATTGTAGATCAGGCCTAATATAAGGATATGTTTTTTATTCTTCAGATAAAAATGGACCAACAATTAGTTCAAGATTTCAATCAAAATTTAAAGTGTATGAGGATTCTTCTAATCCTTTCTGCTGGATTAGTAGTTGCAAGTGCATTAACTAGAGAGGTAAGTGTTATTGCAAATACTAATTTAGGTGAAAAACATATGAAAGCAGTAGAGAAAAAAAAAAAGGATTAACTAAGGAAAGAGAAAATACCACAGCTAACCTGTTTTAATAATAGAGTTTTTAAAAAAATAAAAAATTGTATAGTATGTTTTATGATTGATGATTTACCCAAAAAACCTTAAACAATTGAATGTGGAATATTAAATTTAAACAATTTTGATCAAGTAGGATTGCAATGAGTTGCATGGATGAAACATTAAAGTTAAAAGATTTATTTTAATTCTAAGGGTAATGCCAATCCTCCAAGAGAATAAGTAATATATTGAGGAGAAAATAATCTTAAAATTTCATCTTAAAGATTTCAAGATTACAAAGATCCATTTATTTTTGGATTTTGTGTTTAGATTTTATTAAATATTACTCTGGTTAGAAAATTTGTTCTTAAACTATAACAATTTTAATGTGTTGTTTAGTGGTTTAACAGACCATATCTCACAAATTTCTTCAACTGGACTATCTAATGAATTTATATATTTATTAATATTTGTTTAATTTAGTATATACAATTATGATATCTATCTAGAACCGACTGAAATTTTTCCCATACATAGCTACCTAAAACTCTGAATTGTAGAATTAAAATAATGTATTGGATCTTAAAAAAAGGATAATTTTTTTTTAAATTAAAAATCTTAAATCCTGTCACAAGGATGTTATTCTACATATTTTTCCTAATTATTAAAAAAACAATTCATAATGTTAATTAAAAAGAGATTTTTTTTTTATGTTTTCCATAATCAATAGAGAACATTTTTATTAACATGATTATCATATTACACAATCACCATGTAAAATATGTAAAGTAACATTAGAAACAAAATTAATATTGATAATGGCTTATAACTTTTGAAAAGGAAGGCTCTGATAATTTTCTTTATTTAAAGTTCAAATTATTAAAAAAACAATTCATAATGTTAATTAAAAAGAGATTTTTTTTTTATGTTTTCCATAATCAATAGAGAACATTTTTATTAACATGATTATCATATTACACAATCACCATGTAAAATATGTAAAGTAACATCAGAAACAAAATTAATATTGATGGTGGCTTATAACTTTTGAAATGGAAGGCTCTGATAATTTTCTTTATTTTAAGTTCAAATTATAATATGAGTGGAAAATACTTATAACAGTATAATATTGAATATAAAGCTAACAGTTATGTGTCACTAGATGATAATTGTTTTCCAATTTTTTATTCTTTCAATTTAATGTAAAAAAAATATGGAACATTTAGAGATGAAATTCTAAGTGATTGTAGATCAGGCCTAATATAAGGATATGTTTTTTATTCTTCAGATAAAAATGGACCAACAATTAGTTCAGGATTTCAATCAAAATTTAAAGTTTATGAGGATTCTTCTAATCCTTTCTGCTAGATTAGTAGTTGCAAGTGCATTAACTAGAGAGGTAAGTGTTATTGCAAATACTATTTTAGATGAAAACATATGAAAGCAGTAGAGAGAAAAAAAAAGGATTAACTAAGGAAAAAGAAAATACCTCAGCTAACCTGTTTTAATAATAGAGTTTTTAAAAAAATAAAAATTTTATAGTATGTTTTATGATTGATGATTTACCCAAAAAACCTTAAACAATTGAATGAGGAATATTAAATTTAAACAATTTTGATCAAGTAGGATTGCAATGAGTTGCATGGATGAAACATTAAAGTTAAAAGATTTATTTTAATTCTAAGGGTAATGCCAATCCTCCAAGAGAATAAGTAATATATTGAGGAGAAAATAATCTTAAAATTTCATCTTAAAGATTTCAAGATTACAAAGATCCATTTATTTTTGGATTTTGTGTTTAGATTTTATTAAATATTACTCTGGTTAGAAAATTTGTTCTTAAACTATAACAATTTTAATGTGTTGTTTAGTGGTTTAACAGACCATATCTCACAAATTTCTTCAACTGGACTATCTAATGAATTTATATATTTATTAATATTTGTTTAATTTAGTATATACAATTATGATATCTATCTAGAACCTACTGAAATTTTTCCCATACATAGCTACCTAAAACTCTGAATTGTAAAATTAAAATAATGTATTGGATCTTAAAAAAGGATAATTTTTTTTTAAATTTAAAATCTTAAATCCTGTCACAANAAAAAACCTTAAACAATTGAATGTGGAATATTAAATTTAAACAATTTTGATCAAGTAGGATTGCAATGAGTTGCATGGATGAAACATTAAAGTTAAAAGATTTATTTTAATTCTAAGGGTAATGCCAATCCTCCAAGAGAATAAGTAATATATTGAGGAGAAAATAATCTTAAAATTTCATCTTAAAGATTTCAAGATTACAAAGATCCATTTATTTTTGGATTTTGTGTTTAGATTTTATTAAATATTACTCTGGTTAGAAAATTTGTTCTTAAACTATAACAATTTTAATGTGTTGTTTAGTGGTTTAACAGACCATATCTCACAAATTTCTTCAACTGGACTATCTAATGAATTTATATATTTATTAATATTTGTTTAATTTAGTATATACAATTATGATATCTATCTAGAACCTACTGAAATTTTTCCCATACATAGCTACCTAAAACTCTGAATTGTAAAATTAAAATAATGTATTGGATCTTAAAAAAGGATAATTTTTTTTTAAATTTAAAATCTTAAATCCTGTCACAAGGATGTTATTCTACATATTTTTCCTAATTATTAAAAAAACAATTCATAATGTTAATTAAAAAGAGATTTTTTTTTTATGTTTTCCATAATCAATAGAGAACATTTTTATTAACATGATTATTATATTACACAATCACCATGTAAAATATGTAAAGTAACATCAGAAACAAAATTAATATTGATGGTGGCTTATAACTTTTGAAATGGAAGGCTCTGATAATTTTCTTTATTTAAAGTTCAAATTATAATATGAGTGGAAAATACTTATAACAGTATAATACTGAATATGAAGCTAACAGTTATGTGTCAGTAGATGATAATTGTGTTCCAATTTTTTATTCTTTCAATTTAATGTAAAAAAAATAAGGAACATTTATAGTTGAAATTCTAAGTGATTGTAGATCAGGTCTAATATAATGATATGTTTTTTATTCTTCAGANAAAATACTTATAACAGTATAATACTGAATATGAAGCTAACAGTTATGTGTCAGTAGATGATAATTGTGTTCCAATTTTTTATTCTTTCAATTTAATGTAAAAAAAATATGGAACATTTATAGTTGAAATTCTAAGTGATTGTAGATCAGGCCTAATATAAGGATATGTTTTTTATTCTTCAGATAAAAATGGACCAACAATTAGTTCAGGATTTCAATCAAAATTTAAAGTGTATGAGGATTCTTCTAATCCTTTCTGCTGGATTAGTAGTTGCAAGTGCATTAACTAGAGAGGTAAGTGTTGTTGCAAATACTAATTTAGGTGAAAAACATATGAAAGCAGTAGAGAAAAAAAAAAAGGATTAACTAAGGAAAAAGAAANGTAGTTGCAAGTCAAATGAATTGATAGTATTATTACCAACATAAAAAAAAAAGATTTTCACTGAAAGTCTGAAAATGGCAAGAATAGTTGATAATTTTATGAAGGATATTGCATATTGAGGACATTTTTTAACTGAAAATTATAAAGTAAGTATATATTAAAACGTAAAGTTTAATCAATTTATTATTTAAGACACTTTATTTCTTAAAGAAGTTGTTTAATATCGACATAAATATTAAAAGTGAACTGATGGTAATAAAAAATTAAAAACATGTTTTGATAAACTAAAAGAAGCTGTTCATTCTGAAATTTACACAAATTAAGAAATTTAGAAAAGTATTAAAAATCTATTGCATACACCAATGGACCAGGAGCGATTTTTTAAATTGCCAACATTAATATTGATAGAAAACTATCAAACCAAGGTTAAAGCTAAGCATATATTAATTGAGTAATCTAAAATCAACAAAATGTTATGATTTATAGTAATATTATAAATAATGTGCAGCTGTGTTTATTTTGATTAATATTTGTGTATATAATTAATTAATACATTTATTACTATATTATTAAAAATATATTTATATAAATCACTTTCTCTTGAAATTTGAGATAGGTCTATTGATCTAAGTAATGAAGTTATTATTACATACAGGTGTCCCACAAAGATTTACCCATTATAATATCTCCTCAGATATATTATCTGAGAATTAGATTATTTTTATTATATCCGGAATTATTACAATGGATATATCTTTATGGGATACCCTGTATGTATTTTGTGACATAAATATTTTGGAAGAAGATTAAAATTGTTAAAAGTATGATTAAAAGAGGTGTGGTGAAGTCCTCCATAGGTTTACTTGGCATAAATTTGTCAATGTAAAAATTTAAATTAGGCCTATGGAGGCCTAGGTAAATTTCTTTCTCCTTATCTGAATTTGGTTCCTTCTCCACTCTTACTAATGGCTAGGTATCTAGTACCTATCAGCTAACAAATTAAATCATCATTTAGAGCTAATACGTTTTTGGTAAAATGATTTTTTTAACAATTTTGGATATAATATTTTTTAATTCATTATCTTTTCATATATCTGTATAAAGAATATTTTTCCATTAAAATATTTCCGGGTATACAATTTTTCGTAAATATATTTTAAGATATAATATTCCTGTGAACATTTGTATGTCTAAACTGTCATAAAAATATATTAAAAATTTATTTAGAATTTAAATTATTATTTTGTGTTCCGTGGAACTCATCAAAAAGACATCGCACAAAATTGATCATTTCTTTTTCATTGATATAAAATAAGTCTGATATATTTTTGTACACTTTTTTAAAAAGAAAAAATAATAAGTAACTAATGAGAAAACCTTTTCATGGTTACTTTTGATTGGGGTTGAATGCAGTATTAAATGAAACAAATTTTTTTAGGGGGCACACCTTTTTTGTTATTAGTCATTTTGATATAAAATTTAACGAGTATTGTATATTTAATAAATACAATTTGTGGATATTTGTCAGGAGGCGAATGAAACTACTCCTGTAGTATACCTGGATTCACTGAGGACACTAGATACACAAAATTTTGGAGAGTCCTTTAGTACTTTTGTTCTACGGCTACTTCACTGCTAATATAATCCATGGATGAAATCAATTGAACTATTAAAATTCTTTTTGTTTATGGGTGGGGCATGTAGGTATATTATAAAAAAAAATCGATAATTTCACTTTAAACTGTTAAAACGAACCGCGCCCATACGTTGTTGATGTAAATAATGTAATCCGTTTCATTATCATTAAAATTTAAAAAAAACGCCCGATGATAAAATCGTAATCAGTGAAACTGATAAGATGTGTAAATCATATTCAATATGATCATTTTATTGCTTCATGCTAAATACCTACGAATAAACTAAATATTAATTGTTGAGTATTGTATTTATTACCATGTCTATTGTTATGCATAAAGAATTTACATTTTATATTATCTAATTGTTTTTATTGGTTTTTTTTTTGTGTGTACTTGTTTAATTTGTTATGGAGCAAAATGCAAGCCTTTTACAACCTGTTGGCAGATGACAGAGTACCATATTATGGTTTTATAGCCATCAATTGCATACTTCTATTCAATTTATTCTTTTGGGGGTAAGTTATGAAATTACAAGTATAATTGAATAATCATAATTAATATTTGTTGGTATCCTAGATTGATAAATTGTTTTAATTATAGTCATATTAATATTGTATCAATTCTATCATTCTGTTATGCATATGTTTAAGCCTACTAGAACCCAGATATTGATGGTTATTTTAATTTCTAATATTAAATTGCAGATGACATGAAATTTTAACTTCCAGGCTTTATTGGACTCTGATTTAGCTGTAGGATTTCTTCAACCACGCCTTAAAATAAACCAATGGGTTGAAAATTAAAATAAATTGGAATAAATTATCTTTAAGCTCAATATTAACAACACAATTTTTTAAGTACATACCATGACAAATTGTTTTTTGCGGTTCATCATACAAATTATTAACTTAAATTAATATCGTCTTCATTTCTTAAAACCGATGCACAAAATTGTAGTTCATTAATCAATAACCCATCCAGTGTGGTTTTATGTCATCCAAATCCAATTTCATTATCCTGTTAAACTTCAATATGTGTCCACTTCAAGCTTTTAATTTACTTAGTTAAAAATTATTAACTAGTGCTTAACCTTACTTTTTCCAATAATATTATCATCACAAATATGTTAGAAAAGTTGTGTGCTAAATTATTTAAAAAATCTAAATCCTTTACTTATACCTAGTTTTATGACAGCTGATAATTTTATATCAATCATATGCATATATTATGTCTATATATATTTATTTTAGGTGGACAAGTTTTATAATAGTTATATTGGGAATCATCTGTGGTTATTATGTGTTTGACTACATTTTCAAGTAAGTTATGATTTTCATATATATATATATATTTTTTTTTTCTTATAATTCATTGTTTTTTTCTGATAGAAAACAAGATTCAAATGATAGCCTTTTGTCGGAGAATTTATTTTATAAGACTACCTTTAACAATTATTGCAAAAACTATGTTTCATCTAACGTAAATGTAAAATGTGTAATTGAACCAATACCATGGAAAGGATTATTTATATCAGAACAGATAGATTGTTCAATAGACAAAGTATCTAAAATTTTTTTATTCTGAATTATTTTTTTAAAATTTGTATGGTATTTTTCATATGTAAATCTTAATTTTGCTTTAAATTTAATAAAACCATCAAATTGTATGTATTATTGAATATATGTATGTATATATGAAACAAATCTAGTTTAGCACCTCACAAATTTCAAATTTTTTTTGAAAAATGTGTTTATCAATGCTGATTCTGAAAAAGTTAGAATTTATGGAAACCAATATTGGAAAAATGATAGCAAAAAATGTCACTCTTCAAAACTTTTAAAAAAATGTTGTGGTAAAGGCAAGTTTCAATGTTAAAGATGAGAGTGCAATACAATTTTTCATGAAGTATTATTTTAGAATTTATAGTGATTTGAATACTATAGGTATGTCACTATACATAATAGACTAAACAAACAATTATGAGTGCAAAGAATGATTTCCTATTTTTTAAAAATCTGGAGGAAGTGCTAAACTAAATTTGTATCTTATAATATATAAATATATCAATGTGGTTCTACTCTTAGTCCACAATCACAAAGCCGTTTTTTGTGGTATGAAAGTTTACTTATTTACTGTCTTCTGAAAACAATAAGTTTTCATTAATTTTTTCATGGCTTGTGGCTTTTATATAAATGTGTATATAAATTTGCCCACATAATAAAAAAGGTCTTATTGATAATTTATATATATAATATTTATTTATTATTTATGATTTTTAGTTGTTGTCAAAAATTCTAAAGACTTATATTACAAGTTGGTATGAAAATATTTCAGATGATCCAAATTTGATAAAAGAAATTAAATTTGTAGTACGTTTTGCTACAAGTGTTTTACTAAAAAGATTATTACATGTTGGTACATATTTTATAATTTTATTCTTTAAACATTTTATTCAATAAAGTAATTCCTGTTATGTAAATTCATATTTTAGTTGAACATTGAAGATATTGTATTTTATAAAATATTACCAATATTTTTATCACATATAAAGCACTGTCAGAAAATTGAAAAAGGAGAAAAAATTCCTCGTCATTTTAGCATTAGTAGTCGTAAAATTGAGATTATGTATCTTCAACAAATTACTGCTAATGTGTTACCATTTATAACCCGGGAAAATGATCATCAATGCAAGTAAGTAATATTTTTCTTTAAATATTTATGTTGAATATTTGTTAACATAATATTTTTATAACTTCAAGTCTTAATATAGTTAATTTATTAGAGAAACATGTATGTAGATTTTATTATTAGCAATCTACCTATAATAGTTCAGTGAAGTTGTAGACCAAGTAATATGTACAAACAGTTTATAAACCCTTTCATTATCACTGTCCATTTCAATGGACATGACTTTTTAGTCAAGGTTGTGGATCATTATTTTAATTAAATGATTAATTAAATGATAACATGATTTTTTTCAATTAATTAACTAAGTAATGAAAGGGTTAAAATATAAATTGAATGTAGGAAATTTTATAAAATAAAAAAGTATGGTACATAAAATATTATTTAAAAATATATTAAAAGGAAATCAAAAATGTATACAAATGTATTAAAAAAAAAAAAATGTTTTATAAATGTATATATGAAATAATTAAATATTGAGGTTTATATATCAATAACCAACTGACAGTAGAGTTAAAGTATAGTTGTATTATTTTCAAGAGGTCAAATTTAATAACTGATAATGCTGCAGGTTTTTAATAGTTATTAGTCAATCATTATCTGCATAATAACTTATTATTATTTTTACTGTGTGTGGAATTTTTATTATAAAATACTATACTATTGATATTATTCAATTGTTGATCATAAAAATTATGATAGATCACTTAAAATACCAGTGAACTATATGTAGATGACATATTGACACCATTATCAAGCTAATTACTATTGTTAACATTTTAAAAGTAATTAAAATTTTAAAAAAAATCTGATACTACTGATGGTGCCCCAGGTGTTGGTGGGAAATTGGGAAAGTAAGATTTAGAGGAGAATTTAATGTATATCTGTATGCGAAGATTAAGCATTTCTAATAAAAAAAAAAACGAGTTTGAGCAGAGTAGGGTTATATATGTTTTGAAAGGCTGCATTTACCATTTTCATTAAAATTTGATTTATTTGAAACCATTATAAAAAAAATACTACATTACATTACTTTTTTTTTACCACCAAGTAAAACTTATAATGAATCTTCTATTAAATTTTCAAACGTTTCTGTTTAGTCAAACAATTTACCCATATGGCAACTACCTAAGAAAAACTAAAAAAAAATTCTCTAAGTTAAAATACTTATAAATAGCTCAAAAATCATTCAATTGTTTTTAAAATTGTACCATGTATAAAAAAGGCAAATATAATGTTTCTTTCTAAGGTTTTATGGTTTTGCTGAATTATTAACAGAACTATACAGAAAATAAAAAAAAAAAAAAAAAATAAAAATACTCTAGGTTTAATAAAGAGGTGTTCACAATATCTAGACTCTAGAATACTCTAGTGACTGCTATTTTGTGTTCTAGCTTGACCAGCTAGAGTAAACGATGAAAAAAAAATGCTATAGCTATATTTTTTGAAATTTTCATTGCTTCATCATAAAATAATTTATCTGGTCCAAGATATCTTAATTCTGAAAAGTATTTTTTTGTTGATTCCATTATAATTAGAGTCCAGGTTTGTATGTTTTTGCATATTTTTTTCATTTCACCTTTTAAAATTTTTGTTAATAACTTTGACGAATCATACCAATTGGAATTCACTACTAAATTTGTATTTTGCATATTTTTACATATTTGACTGTAAATGCGTATTTGTTGCATATTTTAATGAATGTACTATCATGAAAAAATTTTGGGTAATGACACAATTCTAGCTATCTTAATTTAAAATATGTGTTATATGTAACATATATACATTAACATTAGAAATGGCCGAGGTAATCCCATTGTACTAAAAGAAATAATTCATCTACTTTAATCTAATCTTTATATCTTAATACATTTAATTTTATAATATAACCTACAGGCTATGAAATGAACATTTAGTTAACTGTTCTCAAGTTACAACTGTGCTGGAAATTCTCATTGACATTGTTAGTAATAATACCGATTTTACCAATAAAAACATACTAATTTAAAAAAATGTTCAAATAAGTGAATTAGAATAAGAAAAAATATATATTATTCATGGACCTAGAGGCAGCATTAAAAACAAAATTAAATGATATTTTCTCCAAAACAAAAGCCTAAAAGTATTGTGTACAATTAACAAAGTACTATTAAGGGAAACAGAAGTTCAACTAGATGAAAACTATCAAGACCCAATGATTTTAAGCTCTTTTTAATTTGCCCCAATAATTTCAGTAGATATTAAACAACCATTTTCGATATACAAGCATTTATTAACAGATAGAGGACACAGTTTTATAAAAGAAAAACTTGAATATCATTTAATAATTAATTTTAACAATAAAGAATAAAAATACATTTTGAGTTGTATATATTTTTTTTTAAACTATAAATAGTATAAATGTATGTATTTAATTATACATTTATATTTTTTTCATACCTAATATAATTTTGAAATATAAATTGTTTTATTACATATATTTTGCATATTTTAATGATTTTTACTGCATAATATATGGCATACTTTGATATTTAGTATATATAAATTTGGAATCTAATTATAATATTATATTATATGTCTGCCATCCATATATCATATGTCAGCTCTGTGGAGCCAAGCATTTTTATGTAGGACTATTGACCCACCACTATATGTATTATATGTATCTTCTTGGGTATTAACAGCCACTAGAACCACCTAGCCAAACAATCAGTCATCCAATTATCTGTCAGCTGCTTTTGTTTTTCAATATGGGCTTTAATTTAAGTTCTCTCTTTACCACAACTTCCCATCTTAAACCAGGTCCTCCAAGAGGTATTTTCCCTTCTGGATTCTCTGCCAACACTATGCACAATAGTAAGTTCTGACTATGTCAGGTTAGACTACTGTAACCTCCTTCTTCAGATTATATTTAATACATTTTGATTCTGGAAGAGTTGCTCTAATTCTTTGTTTTTTTTTTATTCTCTATCCAGGTTTCTTTGTCTTTTACTGGACCAAAAATCTTTTTTAGGATTTTTCTCTCTAGAACAATAAGTTTCTTTTCCTCTTATATGTACCCGTTATAAATTTTATAATACATTGAATCAAATCTTTAGATTAATCTTGTTACCTTTTATTATTATTATTATTATTTGTTTATTAATAATGTGACATTTTTTCATAAAACTATTTTAAATAAAAGCTGTTTATAAAGAGCAGCTGAGCTTATTTACATTATTTCTGGATTTTTAATAATTATGTTTGTTTCAGGATATTTTATACATTAATACAAGAAATACTTTCACGTTGGGTATTATTACCAATATCGGATGTAATTTGTAATCCTGTGAATCTGACTTCAGCTTTGTTGAAATTATCCAAATCATCTAATACTTCACAGATTACAGCTTCAAAGAATGAACAAGTTGAATTTTTATCAAAGTTTATTTCTGAAGAAGATTTTGTTCAACTTGGTATGCGTATTATTTTTAAGGACTCTACAATATTGTCTGCATTTATGAATTTCCTAAAACAAAAAGAGGCGATGCATTTATTACAATTTTGTTTAAACGTAGATCAGTTTAACAAACGTATGTTAAGGCCTGAGATACCATCTCAAGAACTTGATATACTATATCGAGATGCATGGGATATTTATTCTGTATATTTTAGTAAACATTCACCGGATTGTATACATTTTGAACCTGAGTTAGTTAATCAGCTGAGAAAAGATTTGTCAAAAGATGTTATTAAACTTCAGAATTCAAAACCACTGAATCAGGCCTATGAACAAACATATTGTTTATTAGAAAATAAATATTGGATAGCATTTCAAAATTCTGATGATTATTTTTCTTGGATATGTGGACCACGTAATGTTTCAAATACCAACTTGTCTCAAAAACCGGTTTTAAATAAAGAAAAAAATAGTTCTTCCTCCAAAATCAGTCGCAAATTAAATAGAATTAAAGGTGCTTTAAAGTCAAGTGCTATTTATGATGGTCAAATAGATTCTTTATCTTCAGATTATGAGACAGAATTTGGCGAAGATTTATCTATGGACAGTGAAATTATTAATAGTGAGCGAGATTTAAATACTTGGAAAGTGATTGATGTTACATCTGCTATGAAATTAGAATCTGGTTCAAATGGAGGTCAATCATTGATATTTTTTATAACAGTAGAGATTGTTAAACATAATATGGTAAAACAATGGTGTGTTGAAAGAAGAACTATTGATTTTTATACTCTAAAATCTAAACTTACAGAATTCCATGGAGTTATTTTAGATATTTGGTTACCACCCAAAAGAGTTATATGCCAAAAAACTGAAAATAATGAAATATTTATGAATTTTCTTAATCAACTATTAAAAAAATCAGAGCTCAGGCGATCAGATTTACTACACATGTTTTTGACATCTACAGAAAATTTTGAAGATTCTGAATCAGCTATTGGAAGATTATTAAGAAAGTCAATGCCAATGTCCTTACGAAAAGAACGTGGGCAAAATTTAGAATCATTCATATCAGTCTTTATGACTTCAGTTGAAACTAAATTAAAACAGAGGTATTGTATTCCTTGATTAGGTATTAATAAAAAAAAACAATGACATCTAAATTTTATATAAAAATAAATACTGTTAAGAAATTACTAATTTATATAGTTTACATTTTTTAATAGTAAATGTATGTTTTTAACTAGACATGAATGGAAAGATTTATTTGAAAGAATTCCTCAAAGAAAAACTAGACTTACTGAAAATTCAATTTTTAATAATTACACAAACATAATTAATGATCAAGATGAAGAAATAAAACCAGTAAATGGTGAATTAGACCAAATATATATTCCCTGTGGGCCAATTGATTGTATCATTTTTTTTGGAGTACACGTATATAATATGTCTAATGCAGTTATTCGAATAATTTTGGCCATAAAATTAATTTGTGGGAACATATTAGATTATATTATACAAAGATATATAACCTCATGTATTGTAAAGTCAATGACACCTTCCAAAGTTTCAAACCTAATTGAACTATTAGAAAGTATGCAAATTTATTTATATTTGTATTTTTAAAACCAATAATTTAATGTTTTTTTTTTCTTTTAGACTTATTGTTTTCTGATGGTGATACAAATAATGAAAATCATACATTTTCAGTTGAAAATGTACAATCATTGAATAATTCAATTCTTCAACCACTTTATATGTGTTTGTTTAAATGCAGTCAAAATTCAATTATGAATAAACAATTATTTTATAGGCTCCTAGATGTTTTAATCGAAGAACTATTTCCAGAACTTCGAACACAACCTACCGAACAATTATAATCAGAAAATTACTGTGATAATATTATTGAATCACCAAGTACCTATCTAAATGAGGTATATTAGTAAAATATTTTATACATTTTTAAGTAACTTAATTATTTTATATGTTAGTCTTAATACCTAATTAGGTTTTTTTCTTTTAAATTAAACTGAACTAGCAAGTCAAATTTAGTTATCATGTATGACTAATTTTGTTAAAACGCTTTTCTTAAACCTGTGTATATTATAGTCAAAGGAGATTTATAGTTTAACAAATTATATTATCAGATTATTTTATTGGTTTACACAATTTGTATTAATATTAATTATTATAGATATGTAAAATGTTCCTAAATTTAAATAAAATATTAGTTTTAAGTTTATAAGTTATAAGTTTAAGTTGTTAGAAATATTATATACTTTAGGGGCGGCCAAATGGTAGATCACAATTAATTGGTAGATCATAAATAATTTCAATAACAATTTTCCTTTGTTAGAATTTAATTTTATACAGTTAGTAAGTAAATCACAATTAATTTATTGAGATTATTTTTTTCTTATTAAATCATTTATTATCAGTTTATCAAGGAATACAATTCAACGTTTTATGCTGCAAATATTATTTCTGGTATATTTTAAAAAAATTATTGTTGAAATATTGTATGAAAAACTTTATTCATTAATACTTATTCTATAATTATAATTTTTTTTATGGAAGTTCATCATCAAAAGAAAAAAAATATACTTTTAGTGGATCTTTCCAAAAAATTTTGGCTACCACCTATTTTAATACTTATTAGTTATTTTTATAAAATATTTAATTAGTTTTAATACTTTTGTTAATTATTTGAAATAGTTATTATAGTTTTTATTAAATAATATTTATTTTTCTATATCTATATTTATAAAAAAATAGTTTGGTTAGATTTACAAATTTTGTTTGTTTAAATAATCTTTAAATAAAATGAAAACAAATATATTATTTAAAGATAACTAGCTGCATATTATAGGATACATATTTAAAGACAACAACCTTGCTAATAGACGAAAAACCTTAAACTGAATATTAAATTATATTAAATTATACACCAAGTACCTTTAATTTTGAACAAAAAAAATAAACCTCTATATATATTAATTGTAATTTATTTCAAGTCTTGTGTTTCTTACCATAATATTGAAAAATAAACCGAGTAACATAATATTTTATATTTTTATACAGCTCAATATTGCCAAAAGGTATTATATTTTATCTTTCAATCAAGTATTTAATTAAATATAGTGTATTATTTATTACCAAATTTATATGTTTAGACTCAAAACTGTATATCTGACATATTTTTTTTTAATATTTATTATTTCAAAGATATAAATATGGGAAATGTTTACATTTTTATATTGGTCAATTATTGACATTAAAGGTTAGTTAAGTTTTTGAAATTGAATACAATAACATAATTCTGTAAAATATTATTAATAATTTATTTATACATCAACAAAGTTTAATTTGATTTCATGTTATTACTTTATCAGAATTCATTTAAAGTTTAATTTATCTTCTTATAAGATAGTTACATTGTTTCTTTTTTGAATGTTGTTATTATTTCCATTGTTTTACAACACATAACTAATAATAAAATATTAAAATACTTATAATTAATCAATAATTTTACCTAATATCAGTTTATTCTTAAAATGTGATATGCAATTAAAAGCACTTACACATTGATTTGTACTTTGTGTCTAATATAAGAGTATACAGTAACCCTATTAGTAATTATCAACTTATTTTTGGTATATTTTTAACTTAAGCTTTTTTTTTAAATTTACTCCCAGATTGACTAATCAATTTTAACCCTAAAATTAACTATTCAATTCGAGATTAAAACAGAGTTTAACTACATTATTTTCTTCTCATAAAAAAAATTTCAATTCAAGAATGCAATAAAAATTAGTTAAATCATTGAGCACTAGAGAGCTCTTATTTTATCTATGAATATCATTATCGCGGTTGAGAGTTAATCATGTTTACTTAATGTAATTAATTTGTATATTTAAATAATATTTGTAAGAAATGAAATATAAGGTATATATTACATATATATACAATGTGTTTATGTCAAAAATTGTATTTATTTTATTTTATTTACCCAATTTATTTTATGTTTTGTGGTTGACTAAATATTTGTTGAATTTTTAAATTACTCAACTAAAAAAAATACTTTTTTGTGTTGTATCGCAATCTTAAACTGGATAGTTAATATACATATATATATATATATATATACACACAGGATGATTCATTAAGCAAGCTCACTCCATGTCTAAGGTTAAATTTTGCATACATTAAATTATTAAAGTTCTGATTTTTGGAATTTTTAAGTGTAGGCAAATCGGATATTTTTGTATGCTTTTTGTAGATTTTTCACAACATTTAAGGAACATTTCAAATTTGTTTTATCTAATATTCTGTTTCTTTATGAAATTTTTAATATAGGTTCTCTTTTGAAAAATTAAAGTTTTTATCATCAACAGAATACTCCTTTAATGTTGTGAAAGATCTAACCTTAAAACTACACTTAAAAAATCACTAAAAATGGGGAAGCATAATTAATAAATCACTCTGTATATACCATATATATATAAACTGCAATCTCTTAAAACTGAATTAGTGTTATTGTTTATCTAAAAATTCTATGATAAATTATTTTATTCTGTAATTAGTTTGTAACCCTTGTAAGTTATAATAATATACTCAATACTCATAGAAGTCAATGTTATATAAGTATCAGTAAAAAGATATGCTCCAATTTTCACTAGTTATTTTTTTTAATAAATTCAAATACAATCAATTTCTTTTATTTTGAATAATTGTTAAATAAATGAAATGATAAAATATGCTCAACACAAATGAATTTCAAAAGCTTTAAACAGCATAGTTCTTAGAATTGGTAATAAGCTTGAAAATTATATGTGCATATAAGTTGCGAGCTAATTTATTTTGTGTCCTTGTATTGCCTAGTGTAAAAATTAATATCTAAAATTCTTAGAATAATATAAATGTGTGAATAAGCTGTTACTTTTAATATATAATTTTTATTTTAAGAGTAGTATACTTACAAATTTACAATATTTAATTATCTATAAAAATAAGGATTTTATAACAAACTTAGTGTAATACATTTGTATAGTACAAATTATACAGAAACCAAAATTTAATATTATTGGAATTATTACAAAAACTTAATTAATTGTAAATTATAATTAAAGATTTTTAACTTAGTTTGTAAAATAAATTATTGGATTTATTATGTAGTTTATTAACTACATACTTTTATAAATTATATTGTAAGCTTTTGAAGGTCTATTAGAATTTGATTTTTGTTTTTTTTTTTTTTACTGTGTTACTTATGTATAATAAATAATTTTACTTTAATTTACTTATTTTTAAGCATTTATTATGTTAAACATACATTTAAGAACACATAAATTATTTTAATAAGGAAAAATTAACATATTATGTCTTAATAGACTTTTTAATTTTAACAAATAATCATTTAATATTATGAATGAATTGTTTCCTTATGATATACATAGTAATTAAATATTCAAATGTAATTTAACCTTTGTTAAAGGCACCTAGTTGTCTAGTTTATTTATCAAACAATTAACAATTTAAAATAGGCATGACAACTTGTTCAGGTATTTGAATTTTTATTTTAGTTATTTTTTTTATGACTAGAAATAAATAAATAATTTATTATAATATATTAGGCAGTGGTATAAAGATATTAAATATATACATATATAGTATTTACCTATTACCTATATAATATTTTAATCTATTGACTATTTTTATTTTATTATTAGGTATGTATAACTGATAATTATTTTAGTTACCTATGTACAATGTATATGCATAACAATTAATAATTGAAGGTCACCTAATTTGCATTGATTGTTTCAGTTTAATTAATGAGAAACTCAAATATTGTCAAACAAAAAAAGTTACCTATTTTTAAAAAATTAACTAATTTTCTTTTTTAACAATAATTTAAAAACCAGTAATGTATCTCATGCTCTTAAACATATTTTCATCTTATTATTAATATTTCTTCTATTGTTATTTTTTTCTCTAATTTCAACTAAAAACGCAACAATTATGTTTATATAATTTGGCTAGGTATGTTGCCCATTAGTTAGACTGAGGCAACAGCTATAGGTGTTCTGGCCTCTTAAAAAATTAAGTTTAATGTTTTATTTTATATTATTTAATTTGTATATTGTTAATTAATAGTATATTATTATAAAATACTTACCTTATCTATGTAAAACTAATAGTTACCATTTTGAAGAAACATATTATATCCATTACCTACATAGATTTAAAATTGACCTTATATACCAAAGTGATTTAATATATGTATAAATATAGTATGTTACACTATGGTGTTACTTGTAGTGAAGGGTGTGGTACATAGACCATGAACTATTCAAATTTATTTTAGTTTCCTTTTTGAAAAAAAAGTAAAACGCCTTTTAGACTTGAAGATCACACTGTACAACATTTTAGTATCTCATAAATTATAAAAATACTATTTAGTATCCTTCTTCTTCTATAGTGGTTTATAAACCATTTAGGTCCATTGTGGTAACTACTTGTCTCCAATTCTACTCCATTCTAAATTTTAAGTTCTTTTAGGTTTTTGGCCACTCTATACTTTCATCTTTGTCTTTGAACCCTATTTACATGCACAGGTTAATCTCTTAAACTTTTTTGGTCTACCTGGTTTTTCTGGTATTTAGTTTCATTTATCTTTTAAAAATAAATGTATATTTGTATCTATAATTTATTATATTATACTATTATATACTTACATATATAGCGTATCCCAGGAAAATATACCCATTGTAAATCTCTGAAAATAGTAAAGATTAAATTCTGTTTTTTTTTATATATATATATATATACATATTACTCACAGTTGTAAGGACTACAAATATTTTATTATTTTTGGAAAATTTGAAGATGACCAAATTCTGATGTATCAACTTTTTATTTTCATTAAATGTATGGTTTTTAATAATTTTTTAAAGTTTAGAGAAAAGTACCTACCTATAATTATGCAGCAATCTGTAATCACATTCTCTAATTGATTATTATTATTATAATTAATCGACTGTACATTTATTTTCTCTGAATTTTAAAAAAGTTATTAAAAATCACGAATTTAATGAAAATTAAAAGTTGATCGTCAAATTAAATTAATTGCAATATAAATATTTTTAGTCCTTATCCCAATGAGTAGTATAAAAAAAAAAACAGAATTTGATTATCTTTACTATCTCCAAAAATATTATAATGGGTATATCTTTGTGGGATACCATGTATATTGTATATAATATTGTTTTAGCTAAATAAATAAGAATAACTAATGTGTAACCTTTAAGTTACCCATTGTATTATTGCTGTGCAATTTTATAAACATTAAAAATGTATTTGAAGGTGTGTTAATTGTCCATCTACTTTTCATTAAATTAAATACTGAGGCATATCATGAAAAAATTGCATATGGAACTGGGAGTTATGCATGCTCGTAGAATGGGTTTTCCTAACTTGTTTGAACATAAAATGCTGATAATACATTGTATTTCTATAAAATTAAAAAAAAAACATAGACAATTTCAAAGAGCAAAAATAGTATTAAGATATTTTGAAAATTGTTACCGGTCTATAAATTGCTAATATTCCGTAAATTACCTATTCTGTAAAAATGTCAGGTTGGTCACCTACGATTATTTTTCCCTGAATTATAATAACAGTGAATAACAAAATAACAAAATGTATTATTTAAATTAACAAAAAATTATAAGGAAAGTAAAAAATTAACCCCCAATGGACTAACTAGACAATGTTTGTTACCAAAAAGTTCCTATAAAGTTATTGATTGGCAAGATTTTTGGTCACATAAAATAAATTTTAAAAAACCCCATTATGTCATAGTAAAACCAATACATTGGTATATTCAGAATCTGTAAAAGGCTGGGTGGGTGGATTCTTTGGTTTACTCCAAGTGTTGTTTAACTTCCTCTGTGTGCCACTACTATATAATGCAATGGTATCAATAATTTTTTTAATTTTCATAACACTAAGAAATTATTTTTTTGTTAATGATATTATGGATAAAACAGTAATACACTGATACTATTCATTTTATATTTTCACTTCAGTAGGATACTAGGTATAGGTACATATATACTGAATAAGTTGTTTAGGACACATATACTATATCAACATAATTTCATAAAATATCTCTTTCTAAACAATTTGAAAAAGACATTCAATTGAAAATTTAGCGCTTTTACCCTCTCGGATCTTACGAGTTTATATACGCACGCAACAACAATATAATATTATAATTATACTATTTTTTTTTTTAAATAGTTATTTGTTATTAAAAGGTACTGCTGGTATATAATCACAACAGACATACCTATACGTTTTTATTTTTACGCTCATAACGAACGCTCTCACGCGAAAATTAATCAAATTATTATTATTATTATTATTCGTCGTCGTCGTCACGGGCGTAATCGAGTTTTCCGCCCGTTTTTGACAAAAGCTTGACGTGCTCGACGATCGTGTCCCGGCTGACCGCCTTGCACATGTCATAGACCGTCAGCGCGGCCACGGCGCAGGCAGTCAAACATTCCATCTCGACGCCGGTGCGGTCGGTGCTGACCGCCGTGGCCGTTATCCGCACCAGCCGTCGCCCGACGTCTAGCCGGGCGTCCACCGTTACCGTGTCTAACCTGACCTGATGGCACAGCGGTATCAGCTGCCACGTTCTTTTGGCCGCGCACACTCCTGCCAGTCGAGCGACGGCCAGCACGTCGCCCTTCTTGCACGCGTCCTCGGCAATCAGCCGGGTGGCCGTACCGTCCAGCCTGACCCGGGCCACGGCCGTGGCGGTCCTCCGCGTTTCCCGTTTTCCGGAGACGTCGACCATGCGCGCGTCGCCCGACTGCCCGTCCACGTGCGTCAAACGCGGTCCGTCGTGGCTACCACCGGACGCCGCCGGACGGTTTCCCGTGACGCTGCTGAAACGGGGACGTCGGCGGCGGTAGCGACACGGGTCAACGGAAGCCGGCGGCCCCGTCCGCTCGGCGGCAGTGGCGTGTCTAATTATTACTGTAACGCAAACAAAATAATAACCATAACAATAATATTTTAATTTTTTTTTTTTTTTTTTAAAAGACGTGTGATGTATGTAAGGTGTAACCAGATTGGATACACGAATATAAAATATCAGAGGCGATCTAGTCGAGTAGCGCAGGCAATTCAGAAAAAACTATAACGAAATGGTACCTCTATGGATTTACGGACGATAAATGGCACCGTTGCGCCAACGTCCATGTCCAGATTAACGCAGCTGCAGACGGTGCGCGTTTACTTAAAATACTAGTATAGTGACTCCACATGTACGGGCCGTGCAGAATTAATATTTCTGTGATGCATATAACTAAGTGTTAAAGGTATTAATAGCAATATGGTATAAATACGTAGAGGGATGTTTTTCACGGAGTATTCTCAAATTACGTAGATCAGTAGTAAACGCGATGTGGGGGGGGGGCTGGTCAATGTTTCATCCAAATCTTTTTCTACCTTTGTCCCTGGTACAAGTATATAGAACCTATAAGGCCTCGACTCAGATTGTGCACTTGCCCACACCATTTCGGTTAATCAGACTCTGCCAACGTCGCCATATGTCACGCTCTACACGAAAACAAACGCATTTCGTAGATACCAATTAACGGTTGAATTTACGATAAATTTGAAAATTACGGTAAATGCGAACGTACGATCACCGCGCACCGTAACATATTGTGCCGCGGGAAAGACGTGTGCAGACCAAAGAAAAAGTGGCTCGTAGGTGTGATGGAGTGGAAGAGGAAATGGCTAGCGATAATAAGGGAAAAGGGATTAATACGATTGAAACAGTTTTTGTTTTTAACGTAAAAAAAAAAAAAAAAAAAACGGTGATTATTTATTTACAGTGATATATTAAAATTATACATTATAATCATATATTATAATAGTATTATTTTGGTGTTACGTGAAGTATTGCCGAATATTGATTTGCTTTAAAACTAAATGCTTGTAAGTGCTAATGCCAAATAATATTGTAAATAATATTTTAATACACGTGTTACATACATTGTACGCATATTACTTTTCGCCGTTTACCTACCGTTGATGTGCGTTTTTTTTTATATAACTAGATTGTAATACATAGATAGGTACATCATCCGCCGATCAAAATCATTGGACGGTTCGGCATGCGACGGAGGTTTTCCATTCCTAAAAATCATCGATTATTGTTTTTCATTCGCGAGTAGTTATGGGTATTGTTATAGGGCGCTGTTCGAATAAACTCTCTGCTCGCAGGTATTTTATTTGCAGACAAAACATAATAATATATTAAGGACCTGAATTTCGGATCTGTATTATAAGGTAGTGTATAATGTTATAATTGGTTAAATGCGATATTTTTCCCTTTTGAAATTACAGACTTGTGCCGCTTATGACCTACAAATGAAACGCAGGTATTTTGCACGAATATAATAATACGCTACAGTCGTTTTTAATAAAAAAAATCGCGTTTAACACGTTATATAATAATTTTGTATTTTGCATTTTGAAAAATTATTCGAATAAGTTTCCAAACATATTGTAATAAATTCATTTTCATACGATTTGTAATGTTTTTTAACTAAATATTCAATGGCCCGACTCTGCTTTCATTATGGCTTTGTATTTGAATAGGTACAATGTATACCACGGTTATTTACCGTAATGATAACCGCGATGTATACACCATGTACTTAAGGTTCAACTGCGCAAGAGTGGCGTGTGGTGAGCTAGCTTGACGTTAGAGGGGTTAGGGGTTATATCCCCCCTCCCTATCGGCTTAAAAATACAACAAAATATGAGTTATTTAATATCGAAACGCATATACTTCAGCAAATTTACGAGGAATAACTGGATGTATTGATTAAAAATTGGCTTTTTTTAGGATGTGGTTTTTTAAATTTCCGATTTTCAGTTAGCCGAGTTGCAGGGTAGAGAAGACGATTTTACGATTTCTGTTTGCCACACGTTCATCCATCATTGGAAATTCCCGGACTCGCCCCCGAATATTAAGGTATATTAAACTTGCTGATAATACAATCGGACCAATCAAAGTCATTACATTTTTTTCTCGTTTTGTTCAGAATCGCGTTAAACATAAAATTATGTTATAGCGCTGCACAGGTACAAATGTATTATATAATTTTAAACCGACTCAAAAAAACGTTTACAGTTTTATTGTACCGTACAGAATATTGTAGGTATCTATATAAAGTTATATAATTTAGGTAGATATTCTTTTCTTCGTTTGTTTTTTTTTTTTTTTTTTTTCCGTTATTTTGAATTTTCGAAATTGTTTCCTGTATTACGTTCATATCATATACGTGTATTATAATGTATAGTATTGATTTGCTAAATGTACCGTGGAACAACTATTTGAAATACAAATAATCAATTTGTTTCATATATTATAAGTGGTCGTGTCTATGCGCGTAACTTACCCGCCCGTTAGAAAACAAAAAAAAAAAAATTCAAAATTATAATTACCGGCGTGTTTTCTTTTCTTATTTTTCACTGCGGCCGATATGATTTCCAACAGCTCTTCGTTTGAAGCTCCTTCTCGAAGCGGGCTCCTAAATCGATTCAAACGATAAACCATGTTAAACTATAATTTTGTAAGTTTTTTGTTTAACTAAAGAGCACAACACCAGCCGGCCATCCTGAATTTCTCCAAAATCTTGCTTCTTTTTTTTTTTTTTTTTTTGGTTTTAACTAACAACACAATTATATTTTAAGCCCTCGACATTTCTATTCAGCTGTAATAGCTATAATATGTACTATATAGTGCATAACAATTATGTTAAATTGCCGTCAGATGTATAGGACTTATAGATAGAGGGCTTGGATTATAAAATCTAAGCCCGTCTCCAAAGCCCAGCGTAACACCGGACAAGTTAAACCCCGGTAACAACGCATTGCGTTCGGAATTCACCTCAGATTGATTTCGTTATTTTGAAACAAGCAAGCCTTCAGATTTCCGTCGGCCATCAGTCTCAATCGGTTACAGCTGTCGCAATATTCGTCCGTCATCGACGATATGAACCCGACGCGACCCAAAAATCCTGGCACTCGGTACATCTATAGTAGGTACGAGAACATCAAATGAAGACTGAGGACAATGTTGTTTATTTTTGTGGGCGAGCACGTGAAACGAAATTTTGGCAATTACGTTTACCTTCGAAGTCGAATTCGGATCGTTGCCGCACGGCCCGAAATCCGGATACGATCTGGTGATCTCTCGGATGGCCTCGTTATAAGGTACCATTCGATTTTCGTCCCAGTCGTTCATCGAAAACGGCATGAATTCGATGAACCGATAGTCGATCGCCCGGTCTCTGGTCATTTCTACGAAATCGCGTATTTCGTCGAAATTGGCGTCTCTCATCAACACGCAGTTAACCTGTACAGTGAACGCAATACATATTATGTGTGCGATTTTTCAGTGATTCCAGTGATTTTTCAACAAAATGTCGAAAATACAGTTATATATTATAGTCTGTAGGCACTCATATTACGGCATTTACGTTAGCGTATCTTTATATGGGAACGCCGCGGATCAGAACGAAATTAAGCAATTATATAACTGTTGTTTTCTTTTCGTGTAATCTGTGTTCGAATTGTGGGGGCGTGATGGAATTCCTTTACTTTTAGATTCTGAGTGGAGAGCGGAATGCATTGGTATTGCAGTGATGCGATGTTTAGTTTTTGTTTTTTTTTTTTCTGTGGAAAACTTTTCCACCGGCAACATTAAACGAGTATTATTAAAGAAAATATATAATATAAATAAGTATGCGATTATTTTACCATAATGTGATATAATATACATTGTTGGTAAAGCAACGCTATTAACCGAACACTGCTCAGAATCGTTTTTCGTTAGCAATGGTTAATCGTTGCTTACAGGTATACATTAAATTTCCCTTCTACCGTCCCGGTTTTTCACCTACAACAGTGGCCCACAAACGTGCGACGTATGCCTGTCTTATTTTCCTTTTTTTTTTTTTTAGCGTCACCTTACTGATTATTTCTGTCAAGACGGAAAGACGGTACGTGATTTTTTTTTTTTTATTGCAAATAATAATATTTACAAAAGCCATGTTCTTATCTATATTATCAACTCAGATATTCATTATAATAAATACTTTGTTCAGGTTTTTACATTATAAATTACAAAAAAAATGTTTTTTAAAAAATAAGTCACTTATGCTCTTTGTGATAACAAATTACAAAGTCATTTAACCATAATCTAAACATAATCATTTTTTTTACGATAATAAGAAACGATTTTATTTAAATATAAATTAAATACCTATTCTATTATAAATAATATTATTAGTGTTACAAATTATAATATAAGAAGTATAAAATAAATAAATATGTAAACAAAATTGTAGGTTGTAGGAGTATTATATTATTGATTGAGTTTTTTTTTTTTGTAAATTATTAGATAATTATTGAGTTATCCTTGAAAATGGTTTTAAGGAGGTGTGAGGGTAAATACCCTTCCAGGATTAAGTTGAGTTCAATAATTACAATAAACAAAGGGAAACTATTTTTTTTAAAGCCCTATTGTCCTTTTTCTTTTCTTTGTCCAATTCAAGCACTGCGTATAATCGATAAGAACCAAAAGTAAACAATAAAAAATGATCAGTTTCTAGACCTATAGCAATTTGGATTGTGTGACTATTACCTGTTAGTCAGGTCATAATATATATACTATTTAGGTATCCAATATTATTATAGTCATTAAAGTTTAAATTATACATATTTCTTTTATGCTTGAGAGTTGTAAGTATCTATTTCATAAATGTTTAAGGAATTTGGGGGGGGGGCTCAAAATCTTAGATTTTGATTTCATATTGCTTGCTATTTCACAAATCAATCAATTAGGCCCTAATATTTGAAGTGATTTTTAAGTAGCATAAAGTTTACAATAACACGGAGTTTTTATAACTGTGAAAATAAAACGTAATTGTATATTATTTTTAAATATATTATCAATGAATTCATCAGGATAACTATAATACTGATAACGGAATATTACCTACTGCATTCAATAATATCGTGATAATATATTAATTTCATTGGTTACTAAAACGTACTTTTAAGGGGCTAAATCCCAGCTGTGATGCCAAATCGATACCGGCCAATACTCTTTTGAGCAGTCGGCCGTCTCGTCGTGTGATGTTTCCGTATCTGTCCTGTTGCAAAGTGTCCAAACTTACGTTCAGTGCATTCAAGCCGGCACGTTGAAGGTCCACTAAAAGTCGAGTCAGAGTCAAACCGTTTGTAGTCATTGCAATGGTTTTAAGCTGCTTTATGCCCCTGAGAGATTCTGATACATCAGACAAACATAATTTTGACAATTTAACTGTTTAAAATATTATCGTAATTAATTAAATAAAATATTCGAACATTATTTGTTAATAGGTATAAGAGACATAGTTTTTTGTGATAGGCTACTACTAAGGGAGTTTGTGTTGCGTTACATTTAATAAAATCTATACAGTTTAATAATTGTATTCTGTTCGAAGGACAATGAAACATAATTTTAATTGACTTTAGGTATTTGTTTTAGATTCTGAGCACAACGAGGAATGTATTGGTTTTACAATGATGTTTATTATTCTTATTCTTTATGTTTTTTATCTGTAAACAATTTTTCTATCAGAGATCTTGCTCCGATTTTCAAGTTAAGCACTTTTTCTCAAATTAAATTATCCTGGGGTGGTACTTTAAGCAGGACACTTTTTGATTTTCTCAAGGATTTTCATAATTAATTGGACAAACAGGGAAAAACTGTAAAAAAAACCGGGAAATATTACGTTCTTTCAATGCATAAATAATCAAATTCCGCTCAGAATCGTTTTTCGTTAGTAATGATTAATTATTGTAGCATACAGATTTACATTAAAATTCCTTTCTACCTTTCTAATTTCTCACTTACATCCATCCATCGTACGAAATACGGCCGTTATTTGTTTTTGTTAATGTTCAAAGGGATTATAAGATGATCCATTTAGAGAGGTATACTACACTCATTATCTCGGAAAGTATTACATTTTTTGAAAATTTAAGAATTAAGTAGTTCTGAAAATGTTAAATTATTATTATTTTTGTCACCCTTAGTTTTGGGCGTAAAACGACTACCTACCTACTATGTTAAAAATGTCATAAAAAGATAACGTTTTAGTTAAAATACATTTTGGTTTTGAAATTTATTTAAAATAATATTCCTATCTATTTATGTAATTTTAATGTACCTAGGTTGGCATTTAAAAAATAAAAGTAGGTGTTTGTTTCACCTCCTAAAATAAGGGTTATAAGAATAATTTTAATGTATCATTATAGAGCTGCTTGTTTTTTTAAAATGTCAAAAAAAAATATTTGAAAAAAAGATAACACTTTCTTATATAATGAATGTACCCACTTAAACGGATCATCTAGTATAGTATGCACTATTTAATAAGCAGTAATTTTTAAATGTTCGTTCAATCTATTTGTTGGGTTCATATGAGATTTATGCAAAGTTAAAATATATACATTAAAACTATATACAGGGGTCCCACGAAGATATACTCATTGTACCCAGATAATAAAGTTAAACAAATTTTGTTTTTTATTTTTTTTATATTGCTCACTAAAGGCTGAACATATTTATGTTAATTCATTTTTTATATTTTGATAAAAAACTTAAAAATAACTTTATTTTATTATTTTTGAAAAATTTAAAGATAGCTATTTTATAGAGTTTATTTTTCTGAATATTTTAACGTATGAACTTTTATTTTCATTAAATTCGTGATTTTTAATAATTATTTTCAATTAATAATAATAATATAAATTCATAATACTTACAATAATAAATTAAAAAGTTTTTTTTTCAGTTTTTTTACCAAAAAAACAAATTTAATTTAAATATAATTATTTGTAATCCGTATCCCTGCGAGTAATAAATATATACAAAAAAAAAATAAGCCGATTACCTATTTTTATTATCTCAGGAGATATTGCAACGGATATATCTCTGTTGGACACTGTGTTATCACGATATAAGTACAATAGGTATATTACGAATAGAAAAAATTGTTATGATATTTACATACTCGCATATTATTTTTGTGGAAATTATTATTGTTAATCAACTGAAAATTTAAAAATACAATATTTAAATCCTCTCAACAGAGAATGAAAATTGTGTTTACGTTTATTTAACCAAAGCGTTAATAGTGTTAAGACTATTTCATACTTCCGTTATAATCGCGACTTTATAGCTGGTAGGTATAATCAATAATATTTTATATTTCACACTTACCCACCACCTGCACGATATCTTTTTTCACTGTAGGTTCTCCTCCTGTGATTCGGACTTTGTCAACTCCCTGTTCAGCAAACAACGTAACCAAACGTACTCTTTCCTCGTTGGTGAGTAAATTTGACTGCGCTGAAAGATTTGTGCCACTCGATGGCATACAATAGTCACCTATATATTCAAAAAACGTACAATTAGTTCATCTAAATTCGCTCACGGAATTTATCACTAAATATAAAACCGCGACGTTCATCATTTTGACGATTTTCTTTCCACGATATCTTGTTCTGGAAAGGTGTCAATTTTATGTACCGTATAGTAATCAAATACCGCGGGATCAAAATTATAATTTTATTATAACGACATTAATTGCATTGATAATAATGCAATAGTTAAAATTGAATCAGACTTACATCTGAGATTGCAACGTTCAGTCAACGACACTCGAAGATAGTTATGGTTCCTACCAAACATGTCTGTCAGAACTTCGTTTAACAACGGTTTCTATAAAAATGTACATTTTGTCGATTATACGCGTTTTCAAACTGTCAAAATAAGTAGGTAGGTAATTACTAATATAACGGACATAGGTACTCACATTTGTTGAAATTGATCTGACGGACCGGTAGTTTTTACAAACGACGAAACTCAACATTGTAGAAAATGTAAATTCCAAACGTCTTGACAGCGCACCGAGCTGTTTATATACTACACACAGTCATTGATACGATAATATAACAATAATAATAATAATAATAATAATATGTGATGTGTACTCTATTGAATTCGGTCAACTTGACATATGATCTGCTTATCTGTCGTGGTTTTATTATGGTTTCCGTTGACTGTAGTGGGTATCAACATTATACTTTCTAATGTCGTCCGGTCCTATAATTATTTGTTCACTTATAGGTCGTCTGTCTGTACGTGTGTTTGGGAAGCGGGCCGTATAGTTCTTCAGCGGTACGTCATTTAAAATTACGAAAATATTATCCCCGTACTTTCCGCCGTTCATTGAAAACTTCCGAGCAAGGGCAGAGCTATCTAGAGCAGTGGTTCTTAAACTTTTACAATATGAGCACCCCAATAATTTCATCAAGACTTTTGACGACCGTTTGTTACGGTAGATACCTTTAAAAGTTTGTTTGGATCTATATTACTTATTATTATTATTGCAAACTTAAAAAAAATAATAGATTCAAATAATTTGCACTATCATAAGTGTGTTTATGTGTAATGTTTATTGTAAATCAACTACAATAAACTTTAAGGTTATGAACAATAACACAAACAAATACGAGCTGCCTGACTCCAAGTGATTTGTTGGTGACACCCCGATTGTAAAACACTGATTTTGGGGTAGTAGGTAAATATTATATTTACGAATGTACGTTGTATTCAAGGAATAAAACAACCCACTATATTGTTACAGAATAAAGTATAGTAGCCGGTGTATTGGATTAATGCCTCGAAATAAGATATTACGTAAGTACTTGATTAATCAAATCAAACGATATTTACTTTGTTATTTGATTAATAATGACGTCTGTTGTCGCTGATTATAGTATTCGATTTTGAATTTAATAAGTGTTTATAAAATATATTATTATCGCTATAGTAGAAACAAACATATTATAACTACCTATAGATATACCGCGGTATACGTAATATATATATATAATTATAACATAAAGTGCACACCTATCGGTGCATATAATATGATATATAGGTATACGTACACGGGGAAAAATAATTTGATTACAAAAATAAACTCGGGGATAAACATGCGCAGGCTTACTAAAATCTTAAGGATTATACCACTGTATAAGGAGAAAAGTTGGAAGGGAGGATTTATTGAGTAATTGTATTTAAATCTCTACGCAACGGTAAACCATTGCTAACGAAAAACTATTCTGAGCAGAACAATATTTATCGCATTTTTCACCTTAATTAAAAAGTATCCAAGAAATTAATAAAAGTTATACAAATAAACTTCTAGCTTTTACTCCGCTCATAATCTAAAAATCTAAAAAACAAATGCACGAGTAGCAAAGTTCCGTCACTCGAGTCGAATCCCCCCCCCCTCAGCTGATTTGTAGCCATTATAATACTTCATGTTTTTTTTTTTAATGATAAAGAATTAAACAAAAAAAGCTTTATCAAAATATAGATAAAGTAGTCTTCGACATTTTTACTAACATACAGACGCGGGTTGAGGTTGATAGTTTTAACCTTCTAAAGGCACATACTTGAAAACAACTCTATTACTATTCATGTATACACATACACAGTACACATTTTAACCAAGCCACTTACTTTCATGAGTCTGTAGGCCGTCCTCCAACTAGAGCAACGCGTCAACGCGACGCGATTTAAAAAAAATAGTTGCTTAGTAAAATATCGTACGACCTGACGTTTTGAGTTTTGCACACTATAGGCGATGTTTCGGAAACTAAAAAGACTCAGTTGCAAACACATCGATTAAAATTTGTCTATAGTGTATTGGTATCGAAACCGTAAAATTAAGAAAAGGAAATATTGGGTACATGTAATTCTCGTAAATAATATTAACTGTCGAATTTTTGTTGCCATACAATGCCACTAATGAATTATAGAAGACAGTTTAAAATTTCAATCGTTTACCGTATGTCGAAAGAAAGTTTTAATTTACTTATAGAAAAAGTGGGACCGGAAATTGAAAAACAAAACACACTCAATTTTTTAAGCAAGACAGAATAAATTTAAAAAAAAAAAAAAAAGGACGGACATACTTCCCACGTGGATGCAACCACTTTTGTGGATGAAAAGTTGAAAAGGTAGGATACAGACGGGAATTTGATGTACATCTATAAGCAACGATAAACCATTGCTAATGAAAAAACGATTCTGATCAGAGTTCAGTTGATAGTGTCACTTTGTCAACAATAGGTATATGTCATATTATGCAAAATGATTACAATCTGCATTTCCATGACAACAATGATTGTTTAAAAAAGATTGAAAATAATAAAAACTGAATAATAACATAAAATAAATAAAAACCTTTACCAATGCCAACTTTATTTTTATTCTTTTAATCTTTTTTAACCTAAAGAACTAGGTTTTCTTAATTATCTCGAATATTAATGAGAATTTCAAAAAATGACCTCTCTAAAATACCATCCAGAGAATATATCCTTTCATAAAAGATGCTATACTTGATAGTTAGAGTAACATTTCTGGTAGAAAAATTGTTCATATAAAAAACAAAAATAAACATTATTGTAAACCAATACATTCCTCATTCCACTCGGAATCTAAAATAAAAATAAAACAGTACAATTATACAAAATAAAAAAAACAGAAACAATTGTAATATCAAAACAAAATAAACGAAATAATCAATATTTTTATTATTATTAGTTTATAATCTATAAATTTATTAAATTAGTTATAAGACAATTTCCATATTTAAACATAAACAATTTTTCAAAAGTTTTGATGTTATGCATACATTTATTTTTAGTTCATTATTCATGGAATTGAAACAGGTATAGGACCTAGAGAGTCCAGAAATATTTGACCAAATGATGTGTTAGTATAGATTACAGGGGCGTTGTATGCCCTGTCTATTTTCTTAGATTCTAATCAATTGATATTAAATGAATTGTCAATATTTTTTATTATCCAATATACACCAAATTATTTTGTTTGTAGTCAGTGAGGCTTACATCGCCGGGCAATTTTTATCAAGCGACTAAACAGCACCAGCTCGCTATTAGTTGCTTTCGTATTGGGTCACAGTCATATCGTATCCTCGATATGATAATACATGTTTTATAGAACACACGATATTTTTTTTTCAAATCTAAGGGTATTGAAAATCCGAAATTCCTTTGAAAACATGAAATATGAGCATAAAAATAGTTGGAGAGGAGTTAAAATTTTAAATCACTAAAAAGAATATCCTTGATATTTTAACCATGCACACACAAAATTGTATCCCTTTGATTTTATTTTGAGGCTCTATAAGGGTGTATAGAGCTAAAAAAACCTCCTTCAGCAATAATATAGTGAAGTTCAACTTGAATACAACTAAAATTGTTTTACTTCAATCCACCTATAAGATTTTTAACTCATGAGTTTAAGATTTTTTCGTCCATAGGGAGTGACCAAAAGTATGAATAAAAAGACATGCATATATAATATAACAAAGACAATATAATGCAGTATGAAATCTCTATTTTTAAACAACATTCGAAATAAAATACGTACCTACTTGAATTTGTTTTAATTGAAAAAATAAGTTAGTCCAATATGAAACAATTGGATGACCGTGTTATTATTGTTAATTAAAATATGTTAATTGATAAATCAATGTAACATTATACCAAATAATATAATATGTACACAAGTTTCAAATTTTCTTTCAAAAGACTTAACTTGATTAGGCATTTTAGTGTGTGTCTGTATAAAACAATTAAAAAGAAAACAACTAGCTTTTAATAACCTATTATAAGTTAATAAATTAAGCCGGATATAAAACTAGGCAAGATGCAATATAAAAAAGGTAATTTAATTTATATACGCATATTTTCTCCGCTATTTGTGTATACTTTTAGCGGCTCCCTCCGAATTAAATCAAACTCGAGAATTAAATCTGTTTAATAGAATAAACTCGAAGTGATTAAAGTAGGTTTTCAAACATGAATTTCACCATGTTATTGTGTGAGGACCGTGTTTTTTTTGCATTGAACACCTGTACAAAAAAAAACTCATCAAATGAAGTCAAGGGGATGAAATTGTATGCATGCGTTTTGTTTTTTCGAAGACATAATATTATAGTGCATAATATTGTATTATACATATATCAGTATTAGCTAGTATTTGGTAATTAACTATTAACAAATAATTCATAACGAATAATGTCTATAATGTTTTCCCACTTGCTAAAATAGTTATTGACAGATACAATCTCACAGCGAAAACTGGCATTTCAACACGTATTTTTAGTCCGATATATATGTTCGGACATATATCGATAATAATTAATTATTATAATACATACTATATGATGTATTGTACTTTATATTGGTGTTATGAATTATAATCGTTGCGCGTGCTTATATTATAGAGATTAGTGATTAAATATTTTTTCTTATCGCGGACATTTCGGACTGTCAACAACCGTATTATTGTTTTTTTTTTTTTTAGCGTGTGTAGACATTAGACGTCCGACTATTGTCTCATACCGAATATAATAACATTATGCATAGTATACAGTGGGATGCCGATAAGATGATATGACGGTCAATCAGTCACGGGCTCATGGCATCTAAGGGCTCCAAATCAGAGTCTAAAGTATTGTTTTGAGTGTACAGATTCAATACAAAAATTAAAAAAAAGACAATGACTTTTTGTTTTCGCTTATTAGGTAATATGAGTGGAGGGGCAGGTGTATATGAAAACAGGTAATGACCTTTTTTTCTTTTGTTCCAATCGGTGTAAATTGGATCCCAACTAGGATTGTGCGCATAGCCCAAAATTCGGTTGATCTAGAATATTTTTCCACGGGCATTAGAAGTTCTAGTTGTGCCACTGTTAGTATAGTAATATTTATAAAAATATTTTACATTGCGGTATCAAAACAAAAATAGTTATAATAGTCACAACTAATGTGCAGCCACCTGTAATATTGGATTTTTTACGTTATAATAGAAATAATATAATCTTCACAACACATAGAATCTAAAAATGTAATATTTTGGAGGGGGCTATAACCTTCTCCTCCTCCCCCCCCCCGGTTGCACCATTGTACATTACAAGAGTAATTTACAGTCTATATTAAATTACTTACATAATATTTTTACTAAATTAAATAGTTAATTTTATTAAAAAAAGTACCTATTGGCTATTATACGTAATAATATTACAAGTCTTGCTCCAACCTTAGGATAAATTTCCTGGTAGTGAAATTTTGTCATGTTGGTGCTATGGAAAGTAAATTTGATGATTTTATTTTTATTTTCTTATAATTAAAACTGAGGAAATTCGGAAAAACATCGATAAATATATTATAATGTTAATTATAATTATGTTAAACGCTTAACTGAGCGCAATAAGATTAGATTTTTCGTTTACTGTATTTATCGTTGCAGTATACAAAGCAAATTACTCTTTATATTTTACTTTCTTAACTTCTTACTTAGAACGGTGAGCCCCTAAGTGACTTCAAAGGCTTAATTGACGGGGTCTAAACAATATTTATTATAGTCGACAGTATATGATTGGTTTTCTGCAATTCTGCTTTCAAAAGTGTAGCTTTATTTAAATGTACATCGATTTGGAAATAGTAATAAAAGTGGTAAACGTTTATAAAAAAAACGACCTATGGATATGGTATAAGTACATTAATGTAGGTACATTAATATTATACGAGCCTATAATTAAAAAAAAAAAATTACATTTAAGGATTAAAAGTAAAACGTTTTGGAAGCAGAGAAATCAGGAAATTTCCAATTCGATAGTAAGCAATAGTGATCGAATTGCGAAAATGTGCGAGCGGTGTGTTTAATCGTCATTGTTAAATAAATAGATAAATTTATTTAAAAAATTGTATTATTATATAGGTAATACATTTATTAAAACAAAATCAATAAACCCTTTTTTTATCAGATGGATTACACAAAAAAGTTTTAATATTTTTTAGCCATATAAGTAGTAAAAAACAAAAATAAAAAACAAATTTCCAGGTTATAAACTTAAAAATAATAACCGTAATAATATAATAAATCAATAAACTCATGTATATGTGATTCAAAAGTTATCATCAAAATGTATACATGATATATATTATACATAGGTACCTACGTTAGATTTCAAAGCGAGCATAGAAACTTAAAAATTAATATTTTAATAAAAACATAATAATACCATTTAATTCACTGGAAGCATGTAGGTAATTAATACAATATTAATGTAGGATATAGGTATACAATTCGGTATACAATTCGTGTTAGAATCACACCCGTTCTTCAATTGTCAATTTAATTCCGTTCAGCGCGTTTAATACTATTTCGCTGACGAGCCCCAATTTGTCTTCCGGGTCTAGTGATCGAACCTTGTACGATTTTAGAAATGTTGCAATAGTTATTTTGAGAACATTCATAGCGAATTTTTGACCTGAAACAAGCCAAAAATATTTATAAGAAATAATAGTACAATGTTCGTGATACATAAATATATTTATACGACTAGAAACAGTTATAATTTCCGATATTATTTAGGAAGAAGCATGATCATGAGTGGTGTAGAAATAATAATCTTTCTATAAAAGAAGACCACTTCACCCCAAAGGCGTAAAGTTTAGAGTGTTTAGACAATCGGATAGCTCTTATCCAGTGGCGTAGCAATAATTTATCAATTGTAGAGGATTTAGGAAGAATTAGGGGTTTACAACCTTTACTAACCTTATGGCTTATATAAATTGTATAATGATACGAGTATTTCATTCTATATTGTATATAATATATTTATCTTTTTTTTTTAAAAAAAGACTTTATTTTAATTCAATTTTCGAAAAAGGATTAAATAAATAAATTAAACTCAAAAACATGTATTTGAGCTAGACTCGATCTTCAGATATGTCATAAAATTAGATAGTTTGTTTTAATAAATATTAGTAATATAGATACGGAATGGTGTGTACGGGAAATTATTTCTAACGCATTAACAAACAGTATTATTATCACATTATTTATTATAGATAATATTATAGTATAGAAGTTATTTTAAATGTATTAGGTATTTACTGTAATCTCTTGAATATGTTTTTTTTACGGCATAACAATGAAATTATAAAACATGTAACAGGGAACAAGAAACTATGCATATATTTTGAAGTGTCTGCGATATTTACGCAGATATGAATATGTATGAATATAATATGAATTATAGGTAAAAAATGTTTTATTAAAACATGCGTGAGCGAATTTTTTCGTGTTTTTATTTTTCTTTATTTCGCGTCTGTTCGGTGCCATTTGTAATCGGAATATCAGATACCTATCGCTATCGGCAAAAAGTGGTACTTGTCCCATCCTTAATATAATATCGCGTTTACGGTGTACGTAACTATACGCGCGGAATGAAATTATGAAAACAATATAAATAAAATCTTTGAACGATTCGAATCCTATAGTGAATATGTACTAAAACAAAATAAAATCGAATCTATTTTGCTCGAAATCTTCGTAGAACATATTATGGTCGACGAACCGCGAAAAAAGAAATCACTATGACGTACGATAATATTATTTATTAATTTAATAGCTATAATGGTAAAATAATTAATGTCTTCACTATCATTAGTTGATCGAAAGGATAATGTATTAGATACTATTATGTTAGTTCACGACATTTTAATATTATACAATAACTTACCGATACAGTTTCTTGGTCCGGCGCTGAACGGTATAAAGGAATACGGATTTTGTTCGTTTCTGTTTACCTTCAAAAATCTGTCCGGGTCAAATTTTTCGGGATTTGGGAAATATTTTGCATTTCTGTGCAATGCAAATACGTTTATGAAAATCGAAGTCCCCGGTAAAATCGTGTGTTCGTCTGCAAAACGTTTATCCACAATAAAAACCTTTATAAACAACCGGATATTATTCCTAACAAACGAATTATTATTATCTATTATAATTATATTGTATAAGAGTGTATTTGAGTGTGGGTAGAAGGCAGTAACGTAGCCAGGGAGGATTTCGGGTGTTATAACCCCTCTCCTCAATTGACTTTTTTTTTTTTTGCTAGAGGTAAATAAGGATAAGAAGGTTTTAGAGAAGATTTTCTCCGTCTTGTAGCTGTCACCTGCTGTGCACCATGTCCCATGACTAGTTGCGGAACTTAATAGTCATGATTCCATATCTATTAAATAATCGTTATTATTCGTTATGTACTTAACATCATATTGGACTATCATGACACTAGACACTAGTGACTATCTATTATACTTCACGGAGAAAAAATTAAGCATTTATAGTTAAAGTGTACCAAGGTGATTTAGATTTCAGTGTGTTAGTAACTGTGAGTAAAATGAAAACGTGGCAACAAAAATGTGTAGGATTTCAAGAATAACTGTTTCGAAACTTTTCACTTATAGCATTGGCCAACAACACTTGATTTTCTGTTCACTCTGTATAATCTTTACACGATGTACCTATCATTATTAAGTACCTATACTCATAGTGCGTTATACTCGTATATTGGATTTGTTCGTAAAACTAAATCTTTACCTAAGTTTATTATATTAGCCGAAGAAATATTATTTGTATTTTAAAATTATATCTTACATAATTCTTATTATCAATTTCATTTACCGATTGTTAATTGCTCATAAATTTGTCGACCAATGTACGGAACGGATGGATAAAGTCGTTGAACCTCTTTAATCGTCCTCTCTAAATAATCAAGACTGGCTAAATCGATTGTCGACAACGTCTGATTTCCGAAATTTGGTAGTTTTTCATCCAATTCTTCTAATATTCGGTCTTGTGCTTCCGGATATTTACCCAACGTATATAAAATCCAAGAAATCGTGGAGGAACTTGTATCGACTCCCTGTAGAACGAGAAAAATATACCAAATGACGATTAAATAAACTTGATTTTAAATAATTTTTTCTTTAAAACGTAAGCTTAAACAAAATATTTCGAGTTAAGCGATAAAATAGCATAATTGTGATATTTTTTTTTTTTTATATAGCTTCAGAAAAATGTATAACGCTTACGGCAAACATGAATGTATCGACTTCTTCCTGGATATCTTCATCGCTTAATATCTTGCCATCATCAGAAACCACGTCCAGTAAACATTCCAACAGTGCCTTATTCGATTTTTTTTCTAGTGAAAAATTAATATTATTTACAATAGATACTTGTTATACGAAACGATAAAATATGATCTATTGTTTGTCGTGTTTATATAAATGAAAATATAATTACTATAGTGGATGTCGTTTTTATTCGCATCTGAAGTTTGATTTTTGTACATTTTGAAATTCTCTTTTTTCTCTTTAATAACCTGCGATAATAATTTTGATTATATAATATAATTTTATTATACAACTGCTAAAATTATTTTCGAATATTACTATTATGAAATTATCACAGGATAACAATAATATTATATTTTACCTTTTTCGTAAATGTGTGTATAACATTTATACACGCATTTTGTCGTTTGCTAAGTGTAGTAAAATTGAACAAAAACTCCGATTTCAACCACGGTGTTATGAATCGTTTTTGCATGATTGCGGTAAGTCTGTGATTAAAAAGAAAAAATATTCGTACAGTTTAAAAGAAAAACACCACACGAATCAATATTCGGAATATTCGAAAAAGCCGCGAATTTACAGTGAAATTATAAGTAATATTTAAATCATTTAATCACAATATTAATTATCCGTCATGTCTCGTTTCGTTTTTTAATAAATTTTTTTTTTTAAATTGCTAAATTCAAAGATAAGCATATTGAACGGTTTGTTGTACGGTTAATCAACTTAATATCCATTTTAAAAATGTTGTTGATGAACTGTACTTACTCGTCGAGAGCTTTAACATATTCCAATTGGGAGTTCTCTTGGGTATTGAACTCACAGCCCATGGCTGTGTTCCCGATTATATCGAGCGCAACTAATTTCGCGTATGGTTTTATGTCGAATCCAGTAGTGGAGAGCTCTTTTCTTAAAACTTTTACAAAAATTTTACTTTGTTTTTCAATGGACGGCAGGAATTCTTCGAGAATACTAAAATGGAACGTTGGCGTCAATAACTTCCTCCTTGTATGCCATTTTGTTCCTGCGTTAACAAATAATCGATATTCTCAGAACGGTGTCACGAACAATAATAACTAACGATTCGTTTTATAGAAAATTGTCAATTTATTGGTTTAGACCTCTGGTAAAAGGCACATAAAAGTAAACGTCTACTCACATTGATAATCCCCTTGATTATTTCCTACGAGCTCTTAAAAAAAAAAAAAACCTTACTAAGTTCCAATATTTTGAATGAAAATATTTGTATATTGTATAAACATAAAATAATAATAAGTATATTTAACACAACATGTATGGACAAGTTTCCTTTGCTTGTGATTAAAATCGATGATAAGTAATCTTAAAAAAAAAAAAAAACACCTATATATATTAATATATATATATAAATCGATACATTTACCTACTAGATAATTATCATTTAACTTTAAATTAATTAATAATACTTTTGAGAAAATTTTGGGTGGCGGACTAGAACCCCCTTCCCCTTTCACTCCAGATACAGATATTAGGTACCAAAGGATGGTCATATTTTTGTTACAATTAATTTTTACCTGAACTCGTAACTAATCCGGTACCGATGAATGGAATCAATAGATTGTATTCTAAATTTTTGTCAATGTGTATCGATGAATTCAATATTTGCTGTAACAAAAATTATCATAATCTATACAATAACAGTATTGGGTTAGGTGACTATTTGATATTTTAACGAATAGATAATTGTAATTTGACATTGAATGTCATTTAAAAAACATATTATCGGCGAAAAAATTAAGTCTGTGAAAATTATAGAGGAAACTAACGATATATTTTTTTAATAATATGAATATGTAGTTGAACGTTTGAATTTTTGTTCATTTAACCGTTTTTGTATATTTTTTATTGTGTTGTTTTTACACGTGCCCACGTGTGTAAAAACACCAAAATATAGTAACGATAAGCTCAATTAATATAAACGAGCAAGGTCACGGGCAAAATGCTACCGGTAAATTATGCACACCAATTAATTATTATGTTTTTTTTATTATTATTTTTATTTTTTTTTTTTGTGATAGCCACGTGCAATCATTGAATTTACTATAATTTGTTCAACGACCTAAAAAAAAAAATTAGTTAAACGTTAAAATAACACGCATTGATAATAATAAAAATCCAAAAACAATAATTGGCTATAGATAATAATATATTAAATATGATGTAGTAAAAAAAAATTACCCATATATTTGGAAGAAGTCACATAAATGTAAGAAAAAACACAAACGGACATACTTCGCATGATGGGTAAGCCACTGTTGTAGGTGGGAAATCGGGAAGGTAAAGAGGAAATTTAATATATATCCGTACGAATAGATTAATCGTTGCTAACAAAAAACAATTCTGAGTGAACTTTGATTATACATATTTTGAAAGGTTGTAATATTTATGATTTGAAAATAATATATTTCTTTCATATTCCCGTTTTCCTACGTTTTTCCCATTTAGTATGAAATTTTTTGGGAAAATCAAAAAATTACTGCGAAAAATAAAAAACTGTAAAAAAATCATAGTACCATCCCAAGCAGATATCCTTTCAGAAAAAAGCGCTACACATGAAAAAAAAAAAATAAACATCATTGTAATACCAATATATTCCACGCTCCCCTCAGAATATAAAATCCGGACGTATGAGCACCATGGGTAGGCCACTGTAGTAGGTGAGAAATTGAATGGTGAGTAGAGGATATAGAATAATTTAATTTATACACTGAAAGCAATAAGTCATTCTCGGAGCATTATTCGAAGCCCTCTCTCCCCAAAAAGAACCAGAAACACACAAACATCTTAGTACAACAAAAAGTTATTATTTTTTTCGGTCATTAACCCCCAGAAGAAAATCGTTAATATGCCACCACCGAGTACCTGTACTTTTAGTTCCAGCGAAGAACTCGAAGAAGTGTTTAAGGTAATTTATGACGTTTTATTTTTTTATAATTATATTTTATGTAACTCATTTATTCGTTAGTCTAAATAACATATAAGTGTATGTATAGATGTTATACTGAAAATTATGATATCTTAAGATGAACATATAGTTTGGCAAAAAAAAAAAACAGAAGTAATATGATTATAATGTGACTTTGAACGATTGCATATAGGTCATTTAGTAATTCAGTAACTTAGCAATAATTATGTCATGTAGTAATTTTTAAAATTTAACTTGCTCGTGTTTCCGATATAAGCAAGTTAAATTTTAAATATATAATTGAATGAAGCCCTCCTTCCTTGGAACTAAAAATGGAAATATTCGTATCCTCCAAAAAAACATTATTACAATATTAACTGTTTAGAATTCAAATTATAGTTTGCCTAACCTAACCTTATATATTATAAATGTATTATATTATATTATATTATATATTATCGTATAACAATAATGCTAGTATTACTTGTATATGTTCCGAGTCGGCCATTGCCACGAACGGTCGAAGACCAATCCATAGTTGATACGTGTTTCCGAACTGTTCGTGCCATTTCAATAAAAGTCTGAAGAAATCTATAGATCCACAACAATAATAATCATAATTAGTATACATTTTTCACAGAGAGTCGATTGTAAGTCATGTAAAATGAAACGGTTCAGAATATTCGTACTTAATACCATGTACCTATAGCCGTTGTGTTATATAAAATACTATTATAGACGGGCACACTCGAATTGTCTTCGATGAAATTACAAAAAAAAAAAGAAAAAAAAAAAGAAATAATAATAATAAAAGTTTCTCGAATCGTCTCCTGATTTCGGAAAAGACATTCATTATTCACACGGGTCGTCTCCTACATCGTGTAATAAATGTGGTTTTTCCAATCGAATTGTATTCCGGTAAAGATTTCATAAGAAAAAAGATACGCCACTGTCAACTATCGATTTTATACTTTACAACAGTGATATAGTATACAATACCTTATTAATTGATATGGATAGAAATTAAGAGTCGGTGGAAATAAATTAAATAAACATTGCAAGACAAATACAAGAGATAATTAAATGCCACACGCGTGAAATATCAATAATATCACAGGACATTAAATACATATTAGTTAATTTAGATAAAAATAAATCTTTTTTATTAGGTTAGCTTAAATTTATTATCTAGTTGTTTTAAATTTCTATATGATTTATTGCGCAATTTTATTGGATTTACTTGTTGAATTAAGGTATTGATCAATTAGTCATCAATTAATCAATCGGATCACTTGAAAATATTGTATTATTTGCGTTTTATTTGTTGTAACCTGTCTTACTTTTTTTGATTCTGAATGAAACGAGGAATGTATATAATTGGTTTTACAATTATGTTTTTTTTTAAATTTATATTTATATATATATATATACTGTGTACAAAATGTCTACTAAAAAAATTGTTCTAATGTATCATGTGTAATACCTTTTCTGAAAGGAAATTTTATTTAGTTGATACTTTGGACTAGGGAAATTGGGGAAACGTAGAAAAAACGTAGGGATAAACGGACAAATTGTCGTAATGATTTCATGAATTTACATTTTTGTTACTTATGTTTTCTTCTAGAAATCTTGCTTCAGTTAAAAAATGACATAAGACCTTTTATTGATAATTCTTTAATCTAATTTTTTATTAATTAAATATTTATTTTTCTTAATTTAATCTAATTGGTCTAATCTATGGTCAACAAGAAAAAAAAATTTAGTTTTATGTAGTATTTTTTTTTTCCATAATAATTTTAACATTCGTCAAGTTTTGACGAAAATCGTAAATATTACGACCTTTTAAAACATATATAACCGAACTTGTAAATTACATTCTCCTCTTTATCCTATCACACAACTTCTCACCAACGACAGCGGCCCAACCGTCTTTTGAAGTACATCCGTCTTTTTTATTTCGATTTCAGAAGTGATTAAAATGTCTGAAATTTCGACGTATAATTTTCAATACATAATTCGAATAATATTAGAGAAGGCTAGTCATGTGCACCTACAAAATGAACAGCTAAATTATTGAAATATACTATTACGTAGGGCAGTCGAGAAGTTTATATTTAAATGTATATATAAATTTACACAAATAGGTGCCTACGCTTTTAGCAATCGTTAAATTTTAAAGTTTTAAATTATATAACTAACTCATATACTACAAAATGTATTTATATTTCGTTGTTTTTATGTTGTCATTGGCCTACTTTCCAATTATTGTCCGAAAATTTCAAAAATGCTATATTGTGTTTAGGATATTTCTAACTAAAATTAATGATAACGCATCGTTTAAAAGCATGTTGATTGCCGACTCAAAGAAAAACAAATAAATAATAAACACAAATACAACGAAATTACCACACACTTTACGAGACAATGAGTGTCTTACATTATGCTATCGTCCAGTGTATTAAACTATTATTGTATTAATAAAATAATGTGGTATACTACAAAAGGATCACGAGAAAAGAAATTTATAATTTAAACAATTTAATAAAACCAGTATTGGACTGTTGCGTTTTTCAAATTTTCAGGGGAGGGTTGATCCCCTTATCCCCTCCTCGTATATACCTACCTACGGGTCTGATGAGTACTTGTACTAACACCGAAATAATGTTAAACAAATTAATAGTTTCCGGTTTTTATTCCATTTTTCATCATTCCGTATAGACCGTATTATTGAGTAATATAATAAATGTAAACATGTTTTATGTTTTTGTTTTTGTATTACTCGTACGTAACAAACAATTTTGCTAACACAACGGGAGACATCTGTTATTATAATGGCACGTTTGATTCTAAAATAAATTCGTCGATCCTCGTGCGAATACGAAAACAGTTATGATAGCGGACTATTTTAAGAAAAAGTAATATTTTTTTAAATAATATAATTTAAAAAAAAAAAAAATTTTTTTAAAAAAAATAATTTAAAAAAAAAAAAAAAAAAAAAAAAAAATGAATATACATATGTTGGATATCGTTATCGTTATTATTATTGTGTTATACACGAGTGTGCTAATTTAAACAGGATATGTATATGTATAAAAGACGGAAAAGAGAACAGGGTGCAATAATAAATCTTATCGCGCATAAATGTATCCATATATAATAGGACAATGGCTAATGTGCGTTCAAATTCTATTTCGAGTGATATTATAGCTGCGGCGCAAGCTAAAACTTAATAATATTGTTACGGTTCGTAATGCGACGTTTACTCCTACGCACGTGTTGCGTACATAGAATATTTTCAACAAATATGGCGCGCGAGCAAAACTCGTGTTTATGAATGTATTAGGGGTTACATCCGGCGCTATTATATTAGAACCCATTATCGCGCCATATTCTTCTATCGGACAGTGATGGGATACCGTAGGGATATCCACTATAGCGTAGGCGTCCTATAGCTATAGGATACCCGAATAGGTGTCTTTGCGGCGTGTATTCAAAAACTGAGAGGACGGCAGACGGACATATTATACAAGACACGGTTGTTCCCCTTGAGCAATAATACGCGACGTAATAGCTGAAAATCGAACCGGGAAACACATAGACAAATTACTATTTTTTTTTTTTTTTTTATTTTTTTTTATTTTCTTTACACTTGATGGAGTAAACCAATTGTTATTGTTCTACCAGAAGAAATTGGATAACGCGACGGGGTGACATAGATTTAAGAAGTTGTTACTATTATCCGAAAAATATCAGCAAAGAATATTATTTTGTACAATCCGCGCCCGTGCATTCGAAATGTTTATTATCACAATACGAATATATGCGATTTTTCCGATACAGAATTAATGTAAACAACGATGACTATACTGCAATATTATTATATTCGTATGTAGGACGATGATGACGGCGAGTGTATAGTGCAATTTTTTTTCCTCTCGCGCCCACCCACAGACTATACGGGCCAGCGGCGGTCCGCATCAGTTTGACGAAACAAAACACGCGACAGTAACCACGATGCGGACCGGTCCGACTCTCGTTTGCAGGGCTCAGTACGCCCAGATGATTGTGCTGGCGGCGTTGTTGATGGCCACGGCGGTGGCGTCGGCCAACGGCACCCGAACAGCGGACGGCGTCCAGACGGCGGACGGGCCCGTAGCGGCTTTGCTGCAAGCCTTACGCCGTGCTGAAGACCGCGACGACGCGAACGGCAGCGGGCAAACCGAACGGCCACGACGACGCGATTGGCGGTGTGCGCAGCTCGCGACGACTGGCGACGGCGGTGTCGGTGAGCCGGGCGACCTGGACCACGGTACTGCCGTGTTGGAGGCGACCCGGACCGTTGGCCGGTACCGGGCAAGACCTACGGTCCGGGTGTACGTACGCCGGCGGAGGCCCGTCGCCGTCGACACGGCGGTGTACGGGACGCAACAGAAGCCGATCGCCGCCGAGAATAATAATAAATACGGAGGACCGGCGCAAGCGATGGCCATACCGGTGATTATCAGCTTACCGTACGGAGTACGCGTCTCCGCTGAACAGAACGGCCGTCGAAACGGTGACCCGCAGCTGCAGGAGCAAGTCCGCCGGGTGCTCCAACGAGTGTTTGCCGCGGAAACCGTAACGAACGACGAATCTAAATTCCCGAAAATCCAGCTTTTCGACCGAAGGTAATATTTTGTTTTATAAAACAAAACGGGCCGTGGCCCGGAGTACAAAACGCTACAATGTGCATACACATATGTGTACAAGAAATATATAAAAAAAAAAAATGTAAAATATAAACTCTAGAAAAATAATATTAGCAGAAAGAAATCGACGAGTCCTCGTTAGCAATACGCATCGTTCTGAACATCGGTTCATTCCGAGAATAATTGGTGGTGCACAGAGGTATGAAAAAGGGATGAGTCGCATGTGACTGGAATCTAGGGATTTTAAAATTAAGTTGGTTCAACCAAACAGGACAGTCTATAGAGCCATTGGCGAGTTTACTTAGAAACACTTGGTTAGCAGATACACGTCTATCAGCTAAGACGGTTGGCCCAAGCATTTGAAATACCGGATCGGGTTCATGGGGTGAGTGGTCAATGTGCAGTATCCTAGCAGAAAAACTTAGAAATTGACATTGTACCCTTTCTATCTGGCTCCTGCTACTCGCACTAGCAGGGTCCCAAATAACAATGGCAAAACTCGAGGATAGAACTGACAAGCGCACGTTATAAAGCTTTAAGTGATGATATCAAATTAAATTCCACAGAGACCCTTTTTTATAAAGCCAATTGTCTTCAGAGCCAGATAGCAAGATTTTTTGATACGATCGTGAAAGTTTAGTTCCCGATCAAATGCGATACCTAGATCATTAACCAGGTGGTACGGTTGTACTACCTGCATCGGTGAGTAAGAAATCGTACAATCGTACTATTTAAAAACTATAGGAACTTTGATCCCGTGGAAGGACTTGAATGACACTTTGAAATATCAAACTCTAAACTAATGCTTAAAGCCCGTGCACCTAATGCATCTGGGTCGATATTATAACATTCACCCGTTAAATACATAATATGGCATCGTGGGTGTGCGAGCGTAACTTTAAGAATATATTTATTATTATTATTAAAGGTACTCGCGTGCAATACTCAAAATTTTACAATTCGGTCGACCTCTGATTATTCTTAATTATCAAGAATTATTATGATAACAATATATTGTCATTGATTATGAAACATACAATAAACGAGTAAATAATATTGTAATTATAATAAACAATGGTATCAAGACGTTGCACGGCTGCGTGCCACACAAATAAACAAGTACACATTAAACGGGAAAGAGCGCCATCTATATATACCAGTTATAATCGCACATTTGATACAGGTTCGTCACGCGCACACGCCGTTGGAATTCGAATCTGTTGCTGACATGAATATATATTTTTGCGTTGAAATTAATGAAAAACACGTGTTATTTCAAAACCGACGGTCATCATGCATTAATATGCATTCGAACTTTCGAAGTTTTCATAATACGTATTTGAAATGACCAAAAAGAAAACAGACGCGCGTGTCTTACGCCGTGTAAATAGTTTAAAGACACGATTAACCGAAAAGAATCGGAATCGTGTGTGTACCTCGTATATATACGTCATTATATAGCGATTACGGTACAGGGGCGGATCCAGGACAAGAAATCGGGGGAAGGGCGATTATGAAAATGCATGAAGGCACACGTTCACGGTGAAAACCAAACTCGGAATATATTCGGACAAATAGAATAGGTATATTATTTGGGAGTCAGAGGCGATCATCCCTATCGCCCTCCCCTCCTTCCGGGATCCGCCTGTATTGTTATACGGTACAACAATACAACATGATATTTTTTATTTTCAATACCAAACGGTTACTGGGCCTCATTGCGAGGAACTCGTGTGGACGCCCAGTGTTATCTATTATCAATGGTTACAAAAATTCTTATAACGTATAATAAACATAACATAGATAAATAAATAATACTACAAGAGACGTATAAATATAAACTGACGATTAAAATATCAATTCATTTTTTTTAACTCAATATTAATTATAACTACTGATATTTAAAACAAAGTATGTATTTTAAGTCTTAGGTGCATTAGGTTCATATTTGCGCCAATGAGAAATTTTCTTTTTGAATAACGGTATTAACGGCGTGTTGATCAAATCATATGGCATAATATTGAAAATCTGATTCCCTAGGGAACCGAATACCTTTCGGAGGCCGTTTTTTTTTTTTTTTTTTTGGCTAGTCTATGGAAAAGTTATTGAGTGTGTACCCAGTGTTGACGTCATGGGTTATGGGATGTAATTGATCATCTTTTTTTAGATAAATAATAATAATTGTTTTGAAATATATAGTTTAGGACAATAAATTTTTTTTTTTTTCTGTGGGATATCACCAATATTTTTTGCAAGCGGCTCTGATAATAGTATTTTGATACTTTTGAAGCTGCGATAAAGCATTATCATAAGCCCCAACCCACCCGATCATACTATATGTTATTAAAGATTGAAAGAGCGTTAAATATAATGTTCTTATATCTTTTAGTGGTAAAATCTCACGTAGTTGTTTCGATGTTTCATTATGTCAATCATCTTTCTCAGCTTTCTTGTAACCTAACCGATGTTATCTGTTTTTCCCATTTCATATCGTAGAACACATTTCGATGATACCAAGGTTTTTTGCAGTTCTTAACAACGGGATCCAATTTATAGTTACAATTATTATCGCGGATTTTCATATTATGTAAAACCGGCGTGTTGTATGCTTAGTCAAAGAGTGAAATAAAATGGGCGATTTGTCAACATTTAGAAACAAGCTATTGTCACTCGAACCGTTATCAATCGATTTTCAATCAGCCTCAATATTTTTAAAAATTTCGATCCGTGTATCAGCAATACAAATTACAGCAGTATCGTCTGCAAAACATGTTATATGACTGTACAGATTAAGCGTAGTTGTACATTATTGTACAATATAATATTATTACCGACATTTATACGATTAAATCGCTATATTGTAATTGAATAGAACACGTGTATTTATTTAAAATGTATTGTTATTTCAGTACACTCAAATGCATTACACAAACTGTTTTTCAGCTCGAGGAAAACGACGGATAACGTGGCATACGAATAAAGAACGAAAAGAAAAAAAACGATCATTCTCAATATGCATGTATAAATCAATCGGATCTGCAGAAATAATGTGTACCTACAATTAATGTACATTATATTTTATATTATACTTAATGCGTGTATTCGTGTGGCCGTTAACGGGATAAAAATAAAATCACTATAATATTATAATAATATATTATGCTGTTTTCAAGAGCGAATAAAACGTCCAAAGTAATATAATTACACACCCCTCCGATCATTTTATTATGGACCGGCAATTTTCTCGGAGGGTTTTAAAGGAATTTGATTGATGTTTTTTTTTTTTTTTAAACATCTATTAAACTTTATTTTAAAAATATTTTCAATTTCTTACTCCTGTTCTGTACACCTTAAATAAATATGTAATTTTGATTTTCAAATTCCCCTTTTTGATTATAGATTCAAATACTAATGTCGGATTTACCGTTTATGAGTTATGACTACAGTTTAAAGCTTAGACCGGAAGAGCGGGTAATGGTTATGAATTTATCATCTAATAAAATGGATATGGAATTTATTACCTCTTGTTTATTTAATATTCGGGTACTGATCTAACCTATTTCACGAGGTGATCGGTTAACATATCTCCGGTCAAAATATTTCCAGTAAAAAATATCGTTAATGGAAATATCCTACAGGAAATAGCAACTAATGGCAATATTAGTGTTGTGTAGTATTATCTGAAATATTTTTCATGATTACGAGTTCCTACGCTAGGGTTAGGTATGGCGAGTGATACGAATACAGCGAGAGTTAATTATGATGCTCAAGCCAGTTGGCTTGTTAAATTTAATTATTTTTTTAAAATATTTATATAAGTTTTGTTCAATCGAAATTTTATTCAATTTTTTATAAGAAGGATTGCTCACAATCTAAAATTAAAAGGTAATAAAAAATATTTATATAAATCCGAGACATTTTTACGAGAGACATTTTATATATAAGAGATATTTCTATGAGAGATATTTTTTACCAAAGATATTTTTACTGGAGATATTTCTTACTGTAGATATTCTTAACAGGGGATATGTTGCCGGAGATATTTTGACCTGGAACCATTTCATAATACAGTGGTAAGTAGACTATGTTTTAAACAAGATAATGTTTATTATATTTTTGAAATGCATTAACTGTATTAAAATATACGTATAGATCCTAACATATTATTGGATCGTATGGTTTTTCCAATTAAAAGTAAAGAAATTTGAAGTTAAAAACGTATAAGTAGCTTTTAAAAAAAGTTCAAGGAGGAGGGGGGTGATATATTATCTGCCAAATTTCCATTCGCCCAGAAATAAGCCACCGGAGTGAAGTGTATACGTTATCATAGTGTATACCCAATGACGAAGTTCGCAGAGATATACAAAAAAAAAAAGACTAAAATCTGCAGGTACTTAAATTAATAATTATACTATAAAACATTGGACGTACGAACATAGAGTTAACCGAATTACACGTGGTGAGCTTACAAAACACACGTGTTGGTCTGTTTAGCGAAAAAAAATTTATTTTTCGTCACTATTATTTTTTCTGTCGTTAAATCGCTGCAGCAATAAAAATGTAAAGAATTTTCTCGTATAATTTATTAACAGTTAACATATTGTACGGATTTTTTTTCTCTCAGTACTTAACTCGCATATTATGCATTTTTCGTTCCCGATATAGACGTATACCATTTCTTTGTTTGTGTGCATATTTTTTTTTTCACAACCGTGACATTGACAATATTATTATACATGTACGCAAAAATGCAATAATGTAACTCGCGTTTTTTTTCTTCCATCCTACTTTCTAAGTACAACTCGATAATCAGGCACGAATATTAACATGATATATTGTGTATGAAAATATATCTACGCCATAATATTATCTCATTACCTACTTTTAATAATACGCGCTCGTATATACTTAAATAATATTACAATATAAGGTCAATATGTTAGACAGTCTAGACACAGTTATTGCATTATTATATCTATCATATTATATAGTATTTTTTTTTTTTTTTTGTTCAGAAATAAGTTAATGCAAATAATACAGTATTTTAAGAAGTAAAAAAAAAAAATCAATGATAATAACGCACCGCGGTTCGACAAAACCAGTACTTTCACCGAGCGTGTATTTCCGGGATAGTCATCGTCCACGGTTTTTATAAAAATAACAATGAAAACAAAAAAAAGTTTCATTCACACGCGCACAAAAGAAGAAATACATAATGTTTAATTTATGCGATGTATTTTTACGAAAAAAGTATTTTTTTTTTTATATATATATTATGCATTATATATGTAATATATGTAAATAATTGATTTATTGGCCCCGCGTAAAGTCTATAGAATTTACTGCATTACAATTATATTTAATTGCAAGTAACTGCCGCCTATAAAATATAACGAATGAAGTTAAAACGCTAATAACAATCTATTTTACGCGTTATTATATTAATTATGACTTTGATGAAAACTCTTATGAAAACTGTCGGACACGAGTGGCACATGCGGCAGAACCAGGGTAAGTGTGCAAAGATTATCCTGTTTAAACCCCTTCGGGGCCTGATTAACCAATAGGCTGAAAACGCTGCAGCCTAGGTCGCCTGTCGCCCAATGCTAAATCGGGGGCGCAACAAAACACTTTATTTCTTTTATTTTAATTAATTACTTTACGAAAAAGAACGTTAGATTAGGTTCGGATATTTTGATGTCCCGTTGATCTCTTGAACCATGGTGAAGGGGCCGGTTTATGATAATCAGCGATGAAAGAAAAAAAAAGAACCCAGTCTACTGGTAGCAAATTCATTAATCGGGCCCTACTCCTTAAAATATCTAACTGATATTTGACTACTATAAATACCACAAAATTAATAGATACTATCAATGTTGGCACCAAATTAAAATTCCACAGAACCAAGAATTTAACAAATGTAAAACATTTTCATGAATTCAAGCGCATTATTACAATGCCTGTAATAATTGAAAATAATACTGTTAGATTGTGATTTTGAACAGTATGTTAATTGTTTTTGTGAGTAATACACCTACTGCAGGTTAAATTATCAATATAACTTTTATCGCGTATTAGTTTTACACTGTTCTTCAACAAATGTTCTTATTTCGATTGTTAAAATGTTACATTTTATTGTTTATTGTCCGTGGGTGCAAATCGATAAGTTTGCCCCATTAGAAGAATTCTTGCGGGTGCAACATCGCCTTCATGCTGCCACAACCTTAAATTACGCCATTGATGTCGGATTAACGAAAAATTGCTTAAGGGTCAATACGGTGTTTGTATTTCCCCAACATTATAATACAATATAAAATTATTTTCTTTTAATAAGTGTACGTTGTTTGCACAGAGGAAAAATATATAGTTTGATATAGTTTGTTAAAGTTGATTATTAAGGTTACCATAATAGAGGGCAGAAGGAAAAATTGAAAGAGGAGGGTAACAATCGAAAACTCTTAAGATTGAACACTAGAAAAGAGGAATAATCTTCTTCTCGAATAAAATGTCTTAACAAGTTAGCTGAGAAAAAATTTGAATTTAGCAAACAAAAAATGTCAAGGTTCATTTATGAGATGTATTCAATGGCGAAAAAAACTGAGCCTTATATCGTGATTTACACCACCACTTTACTACTATACACTTTTACCGAATTCTGCTCAGAATCGTTTTCGTTTACAGCGATAAATTAGAAGATAAATTATGATTCGGACTTCGGAAAGAGTGCAATTTTTGCTCCTATTGCACCTTCTCCTCTTATACGTTTCTGGGTACTAACTATTTTTACTACTAACATTTTTTGATATGGTTTATTTATATTTGTATTCATAAACAGAATATTATTATCACTGTTGGTGTTTATATTCGTAGATGTTAAATTTTTTTTCTGGAAATTTGTGTTAAGGATCCTATATTAAAAACTGTCAAATTATTTAATATTAGATTTCATAAATAAAACCGTATACAGTTCGAAGAAACTAACTTCAAAATACGGTCATGTTATGTTTAGCGAAAAAACAAGAAAACAAAAACGCTGTTTTTCCGAAATACATTAATTCGATAGTTGTGTTGAATCGTTAGTCGAATATCAAACTAATTTGTATTTCGTCGATATTTGTTTAATATAATAATATAATATGTTTACGTATTCTGCACATGTCTCTCTGTCTATATTTAACAGGCAATATTAGCGAAACGACTGCAGAACTCAATGTGAAAAACATTGCGGTGTTAAGGTTAAATTTAGAGTGGATTATAAACACCCGAGGCCAAATTTAAAGAGTAGAATATTTTCAAGACTACGGCAATAATTTTTTTTAAATATTATAATCTCGTTGTTATAAAATATTGTTAAAATATTATACAGCCATGAGCCAGGTATTTAAAAACCGATTTTTCGATATATATTTTTACTATAATATATTGCTCGTTTGATGCATCGGTATAGTCAAAAACATCGGGGCTGGTGTTCTGGAAAAGTGAGAAAAACTGAATGAGATGAAATGATATGAACATTTTTTTATTGATTTGATAATTTTAAATGCGTGAGGTGCATTTGATAAGAAATTTAGGTGTTTTGATAAAAAGAGATGAATTAATGAAATATTAATGAGATCAAGACAAACAAATAAAATCTATTTGATATTTTACTAAAATTATGTAAATACGTTTCTGAAAATATCACATTTAATAATGGTTCTGAGATTTGTTTAATCCAGATCAACGAAATAGTATATACTCTCTCTATAGTTTATCATCGAAAGATATTTTTAATCGTCTTCCAAGTTTAGATTGTTGAAACGGACTAGATTTTACGAATGGATTAGTTGATTTATGTGAATGATAAAACTTAAGAAACCAATAATAATTTTTATCGATGAATTTGTTAAAATGAATAAGATACAATTTGTGAGATCATGTTACTTTTCCAGATAAATACAATTTAAGGTATTTGCTGGCAAACGTTTAGGTTTGTTTTTTTAAGGGGCAATAAAACAAGACGGAAACGGTTGTCCCGCGCAAAACAGATTTTCAAAAAAATGTATTGTTTGTTCAATTATTACACAGTGAATAATTGTGTTGTCTATACGGGACTGTAATATGTAAATTGATTTGAAATTGAATTCGGATATTTTTCAGTTGATAAATATTAATTTTTCCAAAAGTTTCATCGAAATTGCCTATATACGACCCCTTAAAATTCCTCGGAAATAGCACAAAATATTATAAAAGACAGACTATAATAATTTCGAGAAATTTATTGATCTTTAACCGTACCTAGTATTAGTTAAGTATGACCTACATCATGTAATACGCATTTTTAATCTAATTTACCTAATTTACTGATTTGTATAAAATAATGATATTTTAATTATATAATTAAATTACCTATAATTGTACAGTATTGATATTGTATTGTTTATAACAATAGATAGGTATAGTATTTTTTGCACATTAACAAAGTCCATCGTACTGACATTTAAATAACAAATGTTAATTATAGTTAAGTACCTATATAGAATATTATTATGCAAGAAAATCATGTATAATATTATAATAAAATGATATAATGTATTATGGAAACTAATTTTCTGTTATTTTCAAAATAGACAGAAAGCCACACGATTATAATATTATCAATATTAGTATTACTGATATTATTAGTACAATCATAATTTATCATTCATTATAATTGTTGTTGTTATCTTAATTAGTTTGTAACATTTAATATTAATTATTATATTAAGTATTGAGTATAATACTGCCATCATAAGAAAAAACGCCATAAATCGTAAAAAAAAAAAAGCTGATACTGGGAATGGGGGCGGTCACTGTTGTAGGTGAGAAGTTAGGAAGGTAGGATACATAAGGTTATTTTATTTATATTTGTATACAACGATAAATCATTGTTTGACGAAAAACGATTCTGAGTGCAGTTCGTAATACATAATTTGAACTGTCGTCATTTTTTTTGAGATTTTCGTTTAAATTTCATTTCAAAATTATTATTATTATTAAAAAAAAAAGTCACCTAATGATATTGGAAATTTTACCACGTCTAAGTAAGTCCAATATAAGTATTATTACCAAGTTTCAAGTCTCTGCGAGTATTCATAACCGAATTAAAGCAAAACAACCTCCAAAAATTAAAATTCCTTAAAAGCTCAAAAGTTTTATCAATAATACCGTAAAAAAGTACATCAAAAAGACAACAAAAAAAGGTGTTTTGTGATTTTTCGATTGAATCATTTTCTCTGGTAGAAAACGTCATCCGTGTTTTTATAAAATAATGAAATCGTGAAATTGTACGTTTTCCTATGTTTTTTCCCACTTAATTGCTTTTATTTAAAAAAATGGCACCGAAAATCCAAAAGTGACCTTTTTAAAGTACCATCTAGATAACTTGAGCTTTCAGAAAAGTTGGTACACGTAAAATTCATAGCAATTTTACTAAGAAAAAACGTATCCACAGACTAGAACAAAGAAAAAAAATTACCATCTTAGTAAAACAAATGCTACGCTCAGAATTTAAAATGATATTATAGTAGAAAAACGCGTTAAACTGTTATATTAAACGTAATAGAGTATAATCTCGTTTTTTTTGTCGATTTATGCCGTTTTTTCTTGGGACGGCAGAATATCTATTATAAATGTATAATTGTTTATGATTATTGTACCTATTGATATCTACGTGCGTACTACACAAATACAAGACAAATTATTCCAAACAAAATATTGAAAATATACCTACAATATTGGAAAAGTGGTTTCCACTCGAATATCTCACGGTCTAAATATCTTGGTCAGAAATATTTCACCGTCAAAATAACCCCGTTGGAAATATCCCTTATTCAAAATGTTCCCATTTAAATGACATAATGGTCAATTCGTTTGATCTTATAAACGTTGTGTATTTTTTTTTGAATAAGTGGTTTTTTTATTATTATTATTTTTCATTCATTTGTGACTCGTGTGAAATGAATTAATTTATACATTTTAGAAAAAAAAACATTATTTTTATGTTTTGAGCGAAGCGAGGTTTTACTATAATATGTTATCTTGTTCGTCAATTTTAAAGATGATTACTGGTAGATAATTTCGTCTCGCCGTGCTTTGGGAGACGAGGGTATTTATTTGTTGATTTTCCTTTTAAAAATTTAATGTTAATATTAAAACCCAGGAAAACTGAAAAAATTTTGGTAAAATAATCAATTACACGCATAATCGATCTCCGGTATCAGAGTATCGTCTGCAATGATTTATACAGTGGAACACAGTAGTGGTTTTATGGGAGGAGGAGGTGATAGATGGATCGCCCTTTCCTTGGACTATTGCTTTTTAAAATTTTATTTTTTACCCTAGTAAAAAAAGGAGAAATAAATAACGTGAACATTATACTATGAACATTGGCAAATCATTATATTTAATTAATATTCAATAATTCAACTATTAATAATTACAAATATTATATTAGGTATTTATTAAGTAACACGCTATATGAATTAAATATAATATTAGTTAATTGTTTTTCTTTAGATTCTCGAAAAAATAGAGCTAATAGTTGATACTGTTGACCAACTGGGAAAGTTGGGAAATTAGGATACATATAGTTATTTAATTTATATTGATACGCAACGATAAAACATTGCAAAAGAAAAACGATTCTGATCCAAGTTCAATTAAACATGTTTTGAAATACCGTGATTTATAAAATTTTCATTGGTTTTTTAACTTTTTTTTTATTTATATTTTTATCAAGTATTTACAATCTATTCTTATTTAGAATAAAAGCAAATGTACTAGAGAGGAGTTACTTGTGAAACTTTTTAGGAAAAAAGCCATCCATTAGTGACACTAAGTATTTTTAATTTATTTACTTTTTGTTAATAGAATTTGTATATTTTTAAAAACTATACATTTTTTAACAAACTAATTTTTAACTTCAAACTTTTATTCAAAAACCAACTTTTGTCTACATTTTCGTCCGGTTTTTGCACTATTAGGAAAACTGCAAGGAAATCAAGCAATTATTACATCATACAAAATAGTTACAATTTTCTTTTGGAAATGATGGTACTCTCAAAAATTGGACCAAGATCTCTGATAGAAAAATTATTTACAGGCAGAAAAAAGCACATCAGAGTGAAACCAACACGTTTCTTGTTTTGTTCAGAATATTAATAATACGACTTTTTAGCTATTTGTTTATATTTTTTTTTTTTTTGGTGGGAGAAGGGATTTTAAAATGATGACTATTTCAATTGTTAACGTCACTGTTTGAGCACAGTATACATTATGTAAAACCTATAGTAATATTACTATCCTATACCTATAGCTTCGCGATTTTCCGCCTCCAACAGTGGACAAAATCTATCGGCACTTTCAGTTCTTTTTTTAATTTTTATCTTACGTACGGATAAAATAATAATTACATTATTTATACTGTCGTATCCTCAGGTTGCGTTGACTAAAATGACATTAAATCTATACATACTCGTGTAGCGTATGCAGTTATATTATGTACTACCGTCGTGCGGTTTCGACGATTTACTTAATCATTATCTGTGTATAATAATATAACATGCATCTGCTGTAACTTTATTTTATAACCGTAACAAAAAAAAAAAAAAAAAAAATTAAATAAACAAATACACTACACTATATATACCCTATGTATATATGCTACACAATAATACTATGCACTTTGCACAATACATAAACCGTCATAATAATAATGAATAATATATTAACTTAACAGTTCGATACGGCGATTAAATATTTAGCTCCGTTGAATTAATATAATTAATATATTATTATATACGTATTAGGTGTATTAACGACGATAACGGCAGTGGGTATAAACATTAATAAGGTATCGAACGGTGCCTATATAGGTAAACACACGCGTTAGTATCATTCCGATGGTTATCGTTTGTACCGAAAACAAAAAAATTGACTCTCAATAACCCATACCTGTATACAGCATGCACGCGTGCAGCCTGTGCCGTATTGCAAAAACATTATATCATCCTATAAATATTTTAATTAGGGGAAAGTGTCGGTTTCGCGTGCAGTGTGCACGCGCACTGGACTACAAGAACATCATTGCGGCGTTCAACTCCGAAAACCTCGTGACTTATATCGTAATAGCGTATGATTTAACAACTATAACACATTATTGTTGTTATCGTTGTTAAAATATTAAAACATTAACGTTTAACAATAAACCTGGGCTGCGAGTAGCCGTGCGATTTAATCGCCCGGTTGATTTTTTTTTTTTTTTTTTTATCGTAAATTTCAGAACATTATCGTAGATACTGCGGTGTCTGAGTGTGTCTTATTGAACGTAAGACAACGGCGCGCGACGTCTCGTTTTATGCGCAGGCATTAGTCGTGTTATTTTTTTTTTTTTATCGGGAAATATTATTGATATTTATTTTGCGCGGACGATCGCGATTAAAAAAAAAAAAAAAGTCACGCCATAAAGCGAACAATATAATGAACGATCGCGTAATAGATGCGATTTGTACATATTGTATAATAAATGAGCCGCCGGGGCGCACTCGGGACCCTCGGGAGTCCGAGAGGGTTGACGAGAGCGTACAAAGAGAAGAAGGTAATATACGGTTACGCGCCTTTTGCCGGTCCATTCGTTGGCCGGCATAAACGTTGATTTTTTTTTTTTTTCGGATTAACGAAAGCGTGTGGAGGTAGCGTGTGATGAGAACGGCCCTTAATACGCGTTACAGTCGGTCGACCCGGAGTCGGAGGTGTCTGACGGAAAAAAAATCGTTTTGTCGCCGATTTTATTCGTTTTGATAAGGCATGATTTTATAAAAATTGCTAACGCGTCCCGTTGAAACGTAACGGGGCACTGTATAAGTGTATAAGCACGCGAGCGGAAAAGGTATCGCGTATTGTCCAGTACGGTAAACCCGCAGTTGCATAAAACGCATCAGAAACCGTAATATTGATAACTATACCATCGATAGTGAATGTACATATGGAAATGATCCGTACGGAAGTATCGCTGATCGTGTTTGAAATTAATTGGAACTACGAGTTATCCACGAAACATTCCAGTTGAACGGGATTTGTTTTCTACGTTGTGTAAATAGGACGATACTCTGGATATTCTAGGGACCGGAGAAAAAGTTCGAAGTATCAACGATTGCGAGTTTATAAAGCTCGAGTTAAACGAGTTTGACAATAGAGTTTAGTATTTGACACGCATTCAATGAGGGGTCCGTTTTCGAATTTCCCGACATCGCGGAATAATGGAGAATCGGGACAATAAAAAACTTCAATTAAAAACGCGAGATAGTCATTTTTCCACGGTTTTAGAATTGTAAGATTTTATTTTGTTTAACGTGATTTTGGTATTTTAATGATCGAAATACGACTTTTTTGTTGTACATTTAAAAACTAAAACAAAAACAGCCTTGACTTATTATTATGCACGTTGATTTAAATATTAAGAAAAATTAAAATATGGGTTAAATTTACTTAACTTTTCTAACGCGGCGCATTCGAAAGGTGCGAAATAACTTAAAACATATACGAAAAACGAAAAAATCACGAAATAACACGTTCAGTATTAAAAAAATCCACTGAACTCGCGTTCTATACGAAAAAATAGTGATTTTTTTTGTTATTCCGGCGTAAATAACTCGTTTTTCACAACCCAGTGACCAAAAAAATACACCCAACTCGCGTTCTATACGAAAAAATAGTGATTTTTTTTGTTATTCCGGCGTAAATAACTCGTTTTTCACAACCCAGTGACCAGTGGTGTATTTCCAATTTTTTTTTTTTTTTTTGGGGGGGGGGGGGGGTTGAATATTTGTCTAAAAAATAGGTGATTTTTTTAATATTATATAAATTCCGAGTTAATTACTGGTTTATGATAAAAAGATCACCCTATATAAATCAATGTTCTCTTTCTCTACACCTTCGTAGCAAGTAATGACTTTAGTCTTAGTAGTTAAACTTAAGTTTATAACTTTTAAACCATATTTTTTCTTCTGGTGGGGGTCGAGATCCTGGAAACGCTCCTTTCCCTCCAAAAATACACCACTTTCAGTGACTATTTTGACACCTTTTTCGCAAACACCTATCGTATTATAATATACCGACGTCCAGACGCATTGTATTCATATGATATTATTAACTCGAGCATCTGACATTAGTTTTATTTATATCGTAGCTCTTGCGAAACACCAGTGACCTTCAATATTGCTTACCATATAGGTATAATACAAAAACTTTAAACAATTTAACATTTCGAAAGTACGTTAGGGAACTGCCACATGTATATTATAATATTATATAATGTACATTTTAAATTCTGAGTAGAGCGAGAAAAATCATATGTATTTAAAGGGTATCTCTATCAATAGTTGCCTTTTTTTTAGACGATAGTTTATTGAAATTATATTGGTGTCTAGGGGAAGGGGAAGGGGCGTCCAGACGCCATTGGAGAAATTTGGTGGTTTTAAAATGATGTTTTTTTTTTCCTGTGAACAACTTTTCCACCAGCGATTTTGCCCCGATTTACAATGATAACAGTTTTTCTGACTGGGGCGGTACTTCAGGAAGGTTTGATTCCCTGAGCAGTTTTTCCAAAAAATGTGAAAAACTGGGAAAAAACGGGAAAACATATACAATATTAAACAAATATTATTAAAGAATTACATATTACCTAATTACCTATGTTTTACCATAATATGACATATACATATATATATATATATTGTTCAAAAAGCAACACTATTGACCGAAATCCGTTTAGAATCGTTTTTCGTTAGCAACGGTTACATAACATTCGATTTCCCCACTACCTTCCCAACTTCTCCGAAATATGACGTCCGTCTTTTTTTTTTTTTTTTTTCTATTTTCCCAGCCAAAGAATATTGGAGACATTTCAATTGGATTTATATTAGGCACGCACCGTGTTGTTATGTCAGTTTTGTATGAAATATTATCTATTTTATAACCCGATTTTCGTCGGTTGAACATTTACAATATTGTTTCGCAGCGTTTTTCATCTAATCGATTGTCTCGTACCTACACGTTATACCTATAACTACACTTATCTCTTCGGATATTGCACGCAGCAATACTGTTTGCGCACGTCTCGAGTACCCGAATTTTACAACCTGTACACGCAGATAAATTAGCAATCGAATGAAATAAATACATATCTGTGCTTTAGAAATTCCCTCGGTAAAATCGTATAATAAAAATGTTATTATATCGAAGCGCGGCCCGTTCAATTTATTACAACGTTATTATTATTGTATCAAGATTCGAGACGAGTGTTTTAATGTAATATTATTTTTTAAGATAAAATAAGTAGCCGCGTGTATACATTTTTTTCGTTTTTATCACGCGGGAATTATCGTGATAATAAAAATAGACTTTTGTACGTAGGTAATAATACTATAAAATTATTATTACCTGCAGAAGACCGTATTAAGGTAATACGTTTATAATACGAAATAAATAGCCGTATTTAAATATTTAAATATTTTATTCCGCGATATTTTGTTACCCGCGGGTAAATTGACATTACTTTCCATTTTATAACAACCCCCTACAGTATACCTATGCTAAAATAATTAATATCGCGCACAATGTCTCGTATTTACGGGGTGGGGGAGCGAATAGGGTGTTTACACTACTTCACGTACTTTTACTTAAATATTGGTCGGCTCGGTTCGATTTGAGTGGCCATCTAAATTATGTTAATCCATCTACTTTCCTCCGTGAAAAAAAAAAAATCAAATCGTAAATAGGTATACGCACCACACTGAATGTTTTTTTTTTTTTTCTATCCATTTATCGTTGTAAAATACGTTCATTTTATACGATTGCCGAATCGTAATTTTTTTATGCACCTACGTTACACTCGTATTATTGCAGTATACGTACGCACGTACACATTTTATCTGTCGAATAATCTGTATTTTATCAGTCGAAATCTATTTTCAATCGATTCGCGATATAAATACGCCGTGCTCGAATACGTATCGGCTGAACGTCGGCGAACAGTTCGTATATTAGCGTATTGTTGATTAACAACGCGACGAAGTGTTAAAGTGAAATAAATTGTTAAATTTTGCATAAAATTATACAACATCATAATACAATATTATTGTTTATACGAAACTGATGTTGGTAAAAACAAAATGTCAGCCGATATAACAGTATGGTCAGCGATGTTCCATACGTATAGTTATCACCTATTATTATATTAAATAATGATTGTTAAGTATATTGTATTAGTTCATACCCCATTTTTGGTCCGGGGCAGAAGGTCTACAGTCAATTTCGTATGGTTTTCAATGTACTACAACTTAAATGTTGAAAACACACACTAATTGTTGTACGTACAATGACATGGATTTTAATTGTATACGAAGTATAGACCAAAAAAAAAGAGAACAAGTTATCTGTATACGGTATAGAAATCGTACAAAATTGTATATATATATATATATATATAAAAAACATAGGGACCAAAGGTATTGTTAGAATATCGTTGTGACTCATCGTGACATTAGATTTCGGCACGGGCGCAATATTACGGCCTGATTTAGGGATTCGAGTGGAACGGGTCGGTTTAAAATCCGGATTGCTCTTGTTTTTCGAGCACAGATTTCTCGTTTTCTCGGTCCATCGGACAAACCGCGAACGGGAAGTTTTTGGCGGTCCCGTTTTAGTATTCCGTCGTTATGTGCCCGTGCGGTAAAACAAGAGGGCGCGACGGCAAACTGCGATAGGAAAAACATAATACATTTTGGTTTTGTCGCAGTTCGTATATGACGTATTTATTTTCTGTTTTGTCGCAGTTTACGTAACGAATTTTAGAAAATTGGCCAATTTGTTCGCGGTTTACGTTCATTCGAATCACGAATCGGATAATAACCGACGAAACGAGCGTCGACCGCGAGCATATGAGTTTTTTTTCTTTTCTATAGTTCGACCGAAATCGTTCCTCCGGGTTTCCCACACCCCCCCCCCACCCCCCCATAGGCTAGGCTAAGTCTGGTGATTAGGCCAGCCTCTTACCTGACGGGGAACCGTTGAGCTGAAGTGCGTTGCCGAAAAGCGGCAAGGCCGGTGGCCCGGGCAGCGTGCGGAACGCGCGGATGAACTTGAGCCGCTTGCTGACGACCACGGCTATGAGCGTGACCGCTACGCACGTCAGAATCAGAGTGCACATGAACATGATGATGACGATTCTTCACGTCGTCGTCGTGTCGTCGTCACGCTGCGAATATGTGTAACAACAACAGTAATAATAACAACGGGTACAAGAACGTGCCCCCGATTATTGCGTCTTTTGAGGCGGACACGACGATCGTCCCGCGGTAAGTATTTTACAAAATAATGTGTACGATAATATTGGATATATTATTGTTACGCCTAACAGCGGCGGTGGAGACGACGACGACGGCGGTAGGTCCGGGACGCGGTAATAATAAATACGCGGCGCGAGTCAATATTGTTCCGGCGGGACGAACATATCGTTAACGAAAATAACAATGATGATGATGTTATTATGTTGTCGTCCGTGTGCTAATGCTGTTACGGGCGTTATTTTGTGTTTGTCGTTGCGCGCGGGTCTCGCGGTGTGCCGAGAAAATAGCGAGAAATACGGAAAGAAAAACGGAAAAAAAAAATCGAAAAAAAAAAAAAAAAAAAAAAAAAA